CTGTCAAACAGAGAATGGCTTAACACCCGCGAGGGGAATCTTCCTGAAAGATCTGCCACAACCTGCTCATGAACCCGCCTGTAAGGAAGATGACATTAATGGCGGCAACCAGCACCTGGAGTCAATGGTGGGACAGCATTCTTCACTGATTTCAGATGCGCTTGGCGTTGTCCGAGAAGCCACGAGCTTGCAGCTCCACGAGCAGCACAGCCGCGCGCAGCAGATTCGCAGGCAGAGGTGACGGTCGTCTCAGCTCAGAGCAGCTGATGTGCATGCACAAGCCATGTCCGCCACACCCATAAGAGTGAAGAAGGCTCCTTCTCTGTCACAGGCCCTGTGCTACCAGTGACAGGCACCTCCCCTGCCAGAAACTCATGAAAACTCCATATTCGTCCAGGCAACGCCGGCTTGCAATCATCTCCTGCAAAAACATGCTTTGACAAGTTGCATCTAGCCATTCTACTTGGTATGTTCCCTCTTATGCTAACAGGCCTAAACAGGGAGTATAGTACCCTATGATCATCCCCATCAAGGACGGCTAGTTATAAGGAGGAACATCCCAACTTTCCACCCTCAATGGAGTCAGCTGGGCCATGCCTCCTTGCCCAGCGGCTTCTCGATCGTGACATCGACATGAACTGCCACCTGGGCCATGACCTGCCACTAGGGGATTTAGGGTTTAGGGCAGTTGGAGTACCGCGCAGTTCCGCGCTGACAACAGCATTAAGGCACGTTCTTGCGGTAGCGAGCACGCTTCCTGTTCCCCTCCAGGCTGCCGCAAGAGATCACACCGAGTTCGGATTGATCATGTATGCATCTTCATGCCCATATGCTCAAGTCCACTAGGTTGCGACAAAATTGCTACTGGGAGAAAGTTCTGCCTCGAACATGTTCGGCTCTTGCACTCAAGCCGCCGTTACATCATGCAGGCCTTGTCGCTGGGCTCGGGATGCTGCTCGTCGACGTGGGCATCGGGACCGCGTCGGACTGCAAGACATGGTGCGCACGCAACGGTGCATATGCAGCAACTGCGCGCAGAGGCGCAGAGTAACGGTGTACATGTGTGCATTTCCCAAAATACGGGTACCCCTAATACCCCAATTATAACACCAAATACTATAATCATATGCTAAGAACCCGCAAAAAAGGTACCCCTTTTGTCGTAAACCCTCGCGCACTTTACCGTCACATATGTTGCGCCTTGTGCAGGTGGGATGTCCGCGCAGCCAAGCTTGGCACACTGCGCTTTCTGCAGACTCCCGACTACCAGTGCATAAGATCTCCAACCACGTGGGCCCACGTGCCTTCAGAAGCGCTGTAGCAGCTGGACACAGACAAAGACCTGAGCAGCTGAGACATGCAACCCTAAACCCGAAACCCTAAACCCTAGACCCTAGACCCTAAACCCTAAACCCTAAACCCTAAACCCTAAACCCAAGTTGGCAAGCGCCGTGAAGAAATGTGCCAAGGCATTGGCTCCGGCTCCGGCTCGGAGGAACTTAACAGTGGCTGCCTGTTCAGAATGAAGATCTGCATTAGGCTGCTTGCGGCTGCTTTACACAAATGAGTTGGGGGGCGTCTCTTGCTGCACACGGGTGTTGCGACACCTCCCAATCCCCGCTTTTTCAGGCAAGGCTGGCAGCCTGAGGGACTGATCTGGCGGCAGATGCGGGGCAAGCTGTGATGGGCTCGGCTCCCTCACCGAACCTGTCCGGTCAGATTCATGCGAGTCTGCCCTTGCTGCCGCAACATGATAACTTCATATTTGTAGCTTGAGCTCACAGTTCAGAGATTAGTGACAGCAAGCTGCTAGCATGTCGCATCATGTCACCGTGTCCGTGTGCCAGCCTTCTGGCACATCCATGATGCCCGGCCTATGTCTGCGAGGACAGAAGACAGTTGCCGTTTCAATTGCTCGCATCCTTCTCTGACAGTGCTTCTTCAAGGCAGCCTCCTACTGGCATCCAGTTAACGATTTGTACGCAAAGCATTGAGCTCATGAAGTGTACGTCCCGCGCTCAGTTTTGAGCAAGGACCTTCCAGCTGATACACGCAGACCGTCCAGATGACTCATGTACAATGTACAAGGCACGTGTCAAGGGATGGCTTCTTAAAGCGACAATGGGCACAGCAGCCGCGCAACCACACAGATTTCCGCAAGCGCTCTCTGGTTCCTCTCCAGGTGAGACCCCCGACTTTCATGTCAGAGACACTCGTTGCTCCTCTTCCTTTGCCTTTGAGTGCTCGCTGTGGCGTCTGCATCGTCAACTTCGATCACAGCCGCCCAGGCAAAAGGAGGCTTCAACATGCCCGCATCGAGCTTTCCAGGGTAGGGGTCATGTAGCCTTGGATTCTTGGCACAGGCTGGGAGGGCACCCCTGAAACCAATCGATATCGACAGCAAAGGTCATGGAAGCATCATGAAGCAGCACAACATCCGTGCATGAGCCATCACGCATCTCCCACCTCCTCAACCACCGCTTGGATGCAGCCCAGCAGCAGATCGAACCTCATGCAAACGCAACGCCGGCCGCAGAACCCACAATCTCAGTGAGTCTACAATCCATGTGAGATTGCAAGCATGTCATCCTGTGCTTATGTGAGAAGTGCACCAGGCAAGACCGCCAAGGCACCCTTCTTCACGAGCTCGTGCCACAACCACATGTCCGTGATCACCCCGTGGAGACGTCCCGCGCAGCACGCAGAGTTTGCCCACACCTGACGATTTGGGGATGCCCCAAGCTTCTCACCAATTTGGCTTTCCCAGACACCATGCTCTAGGGCGGCAGCATCTTTCAATGGCATCTGCTGGGAGTTGTCCGTCTTCCTCCAGGGCTAGGATCAGCCGATACGCTTGTAGCCGACTCACACCAATCCTTTGCTGGCCCTACCAACCCCAGTCGTTCCAGGGCCATCTTTCGCCACGTCATGCGTTGTGCCGCCAGCCAGGTCTGACACGCCTTGTCCTGGGTGCATGGGAGGCATCCGAAAAAAAAACTTGTCCAACTCGCTGTTGCGAAAATGCGCATATATCACACGTGAAACGATTGTGGCTTCCATCAATCTGAGCCAGCTGACCCTGTATCTGTTGTGGCAAATGAGCAATGTCTCGCTATCTATCAATTTGACGAGATGGGCTGCATGAAAAACTGCAGCCGTCTTGCGTCGCAAACCAACCACCCCTCGAAAGATTGTGCCGATTCAAGGAGCACAGAGCAAGAACTGCCACGAAAAACGCTAACCCTAGCCAAGGGGAGGTTCATCATCTCTCCGTGCAAAAAGCATGGGAAACCAGAGATCGTTGCCGTCCAGATTGAAGGCCTGGGCTCATACCCGGCTGGGTCTTCGAGGAAGTTAGGCACATCATCAAGCGGCCGGCGCACCTTATGTAGACACAGCCATGAGCGGCATTGTCGCCACATTTAATGGCTTCTCTGTCGCGCATGGCATGGCAACTTCGTGACCACATCTTTGTGCCAAGGTTCCTTTCAAGCCGAGGCACGATGGATGCAACAGCTGCCTGAAGGGCGTTGCCGGCCCCAGCTGTGAATATTGTTTGTAGCACCTGGCCCCGGCTGCGAATGCTGTTTGTGGCACCATGTGGGCTACTATTTTGTTCGACCTGTCAGGTTGAAGGCCTATATCCTACAAAGGCCGGTTGGAGCCACTTCTCTTGTAGGATGCAGGCAGATGGCTGCTGTTCTAAAATGCGGGTCCCTTTTTGCAATCACCTTTCCAAGTCTACCGTAAATGTTACCTGTAAGGGGCCGGAAAGGTTACCTATATAACGAGGATCCTGACAGGAGCGGACTCCCCAACTCAAGCAGCAAGGAAGCCAAGGCACTTCATCATAGTCCTTTTCGGAATCCATGCCAGAGTCCAGCTAAAATCCACACACAAAAGGCTGTGGAATGAACGACAGCTGGGAGACCCAGGGATCACGGCCATCATCAACACTTGAGGGCGGGGTAGCTGGGTAGTTGATTCGGTCAGCTGCGGGTACTATGAGGCTATGGAACGGATTCTCTCGTAATCTGTGATGACAGTTGAACTGAGCAGCAGCAGACAAATGTCAGGCGGGCCTCGGGAGACAAGGGCTTCTTTTCCAAACGTCGATCAGAGACTGTGCAGTTCCCCCTGTGCTTTCTCCAGACCCAAGCCTTTTATGCGCGTGCGTCTCTTTTTGGGGACTGCAGCTCGTGCCTGCATTCGCGAGGGCATGTCGCCCAAGCGAGCTTTAAAACTTGGCAAAGTCCGCGGATTCGGTAGTGAAACCCCGCGGCTTCCCAAGCAAAAATTTCCAAAATCTGCATCAGAGAGTCAGAGAGGCAGGACGCCCAGACCTCAGAGACCTGTTCGGCCAAATTCTCGTGATTTGGCTGCCCTGGGGCACTCGGCATCCCTACGTACTCTCAGGTTCAATGAATTCACAGGCGTGCAGGTGTCTATTGCAGGCAGCACGGGCATCTTTCTTTCCAGCCCGCGCGGGTCCTTCATTCAAGCCGCCCAGTCTAGCATACAGCTTTAAAGGTGGCGCTTGCTGGTGCAAGGCTCATAAACATGCAAAAGGAAAACTTTGTTCGGATCAGTGCCCTCAGCAAGTGTATGGTTGCTGGCCTGTGCATGGGAATTCGTGAGGCGACACATCGCTCGAGTAACTAGTTTCTATATTTGCAGCTCTGATCTAGGGCAGCTATAGGGCGGGAGCAGAACGTAGAAACTGTTACCCAGCCAGGCAGGGGATGCCGGTTTTGGGACGCGCCCGTCAGACATCAAAAACCATATGATGCAACCCAAGCCATGCGCCTTGCGATGCCCCAAGTGCATGCTTGTTGGCCCTTAAAGCTGTATCTCCTCTAGGTTCACCACACCTCCCATCATTGCAGTACAGCACTGTAGCACTGTAGCACTGTAGCCTAGACATGGTGTGCCTACTCATCGACCGGGCAGTTTTCCACAGATTTCGAATATCATGGACCCAGTCACCCAGTCATTCACCTTCACGGCAACAGCGTGGTCTCTGGGAAGAGTGGGGTTTCTGGCAGCACCGTCCAGTCCGAGGCTTGACCTGACAAGAACAGGATGAAGCCCCAGCTGCATCCATGAAGCGCTACACCACCTTGCTTTCACTGAATGAATTTAGGGCCATTCTTTCTGTCATGGGGCCCACATGTTGACGGTACTGAAGTTGAAAGGCTGTCTCGCGCGAGATGCACTTGGTCTTCTCCCTCGGCGTGGGCTGCTGGCTCATGTTCTTCACAATGTCCTGCCTCAGTACTTCAAAAAATCACCACATGCACAGGTGCAACGCCCCTCACTCTTTTTTGTCCAGCAGACACCGCAATCCAAGGAATGAATTCCAAAAAGCATCCGAAACTGCCGCTGCAAGGCAAAGTAGCTGTCCTTAGCACAGGTAGATGGTCAAACCTCGCTGCTCATCCCAAGCAATACGCGGCCGTTCCACCCATCAAGGGACTAAAGGAGGGACCCTTATAGGGGACCTTAGGGGTTATTTGGGGTTGTTCAGGGGCTACTTAGGCATACAAGGACTCTTTAAGGTACATATATATATAGGGGTTATATAGGGGAATAAGATTAGGGGTCCCTTCTAGGGGTTCCTCCTTATACCCCTTAAACCCAGACAAGACTCCGTGAGTTTGATGTCGTTCTGGCCTTTCAGGAAGCCCGGAGTCATCACGAGGCCAAACCTGGCATTCGAAGCCATTCTCAAAGGCAACGTCTGGGATTCCTAAACTCTTGTAATCCCCTCCCCCAAATAATAAACCCCCCCCCCCTACCCCCTAAAATTAAATACTCCCCATGTACTATCATATAACGTTTATGGGAGTATTTAATGTTAGGGGCTAGGGGGGGTTGAATATTAAATTAGGATTATCATGGATTATCTGGCCAGCTCAGGGAAGTGGCTCATTGTTCTCCATCGAGAATTCGAAGGCCACTGCGCCACTCACCTTGCAGTGAACCCTAAACCCTAAACCCTAAACCCCTTTTAAACCCTAAACACTAAACCCTAAACCCTAAACCCTCTTTTGCACAGGCTTGTCTCGGCGCGAAACCCTAAACCCCAAACCCCAAACCCCAAACCCTAAACCCTAAACCCTAAACCCTAAACCCTAAACCCTAAACCCTAAACCCTAAACCTGGAAGGGAGTGGTCGCACACCCTTGCACACCCTTTGGGCGCCCGCTCTTCTGGGGCAGCCGAAGCATGCCGAGGGGCGAAGTCGATCATCCTGTCGGCCATAACAGACCTGAGAGCTCTGAATCCGGCTTCTGGATGTGGCCATGGGGTTTAGGGTTTAGGGTTTAGGGTTTTGGGTTTAGGGTTTAGGGTTTAGGGTGTAGGGTTGGCCTCAGATGCTGCTGTCGTGCTGCCAAGATCGGCCATTGCACATCTTGTGTAGCCGAGACGCAGCTGAATCCACGTCCGGCCACCCTGGTAGTCGGGACACTCCCACCTTATGCACACCGTGGACGGAATCGCGCTTGTGCACTGAGGCTCTTGCCAAAGACGTGTCCTGGCTGAAGACACTCATCCGCTCAGCCAGGGTGCTTGAAGCTGCCGATGTTGCAGCCGAACTCTGTAAACAGGAAGGGCTTTGAAAAGGAGCCAAATTGTCTAACAATCTCCTGGTAGGGGGACCACCTGAAGTTCACAGCTCCTTAGCTGCAAGTCTTGGCAAGTCGGTGGAATGTCAACATCTACGACTTCTGAACCCACACCGTATTGCATTCCAGCGACCTGTCTCATCATGGTACTCTGGATCGCCTGGGTAAAAAGGGATGCAGCATGATGCCTTCTCACTTCTTTGGCTTGGCAGACAGGAGCACCAAAAATCCGTGACCCGACTGCTGCTGTGCCACACCAGGAGTACACGTTGAGCCCAAAAGCATCCACAGCATCGTCTGGGCTCTCTAGTTCCTCGGCTCGCAAGCAGCCCCGCAGAACTGTGCAAGATCTATGAGTGTCACCTGCCGTCACCCACACAATTTTGAGACACCGCGCGCAGGCCAAGTACTCCCCGATCTCGAGGCGGTCTTGTCCACCTTGGTCCTTGTTGGAGTAGATCAACGGAACACGGCGGTATCCTGCCCCGCATCGCCACGGCACTTAGGCTACCCGATACTTCCTCCGAAGTCCTTCGGCTTTCTGATATCGGTGGATATCCCGAGTCAGAGCTTTCACACAAGGATAGGCTGCAAAGCCTTGTCCTTAGAAACACACAGCTACAACACCAGAGAGTCCCGAAGCTGAATGCAGGATCGAATTGCAACCGCGCGACAAGCACCGAGCCCGCAAACACACACCAGGGTTTAGGGCTTAGGGTTTAGAGTCTGTTGCTGAAGCCCGGCCTCTACGCTCCATGATCTGGATCTTGGGTGTCTATTACGTATTGCGCCCAGATGCGGTCCAGATGGTCGATCTCGTTGCCAACCACAAACATGAATGTATTCCTGAACTCCGAGATCCCCCCCCCCCCCCCCCAAACACTTAGAAGCTGCACAAATGATCACAAATGGCCAACTTTGGGTGCAAGAGTCTCGTATTGGCTGAACTGGTCCACTATAAGCTTCGCCTGGCAGGCCACTTCTGCGAAGCATTGTACAGTGCGCTTGCCCATTGCTCTGAGCGGCCGAGGTGAGCAAGTTCAGTCCAACATGGCCATAGTCCGGAAGATCCTTGACGAAGCAAGTGCACATTCTTGCAAGTGCACATTCTTGGGGGTGATTGCAAAATTGTCGGACCCGGCTGCCACAAATCTCTTGCAGAGACCCGGCCGGTGACAGCACGGAAACGAAGGAACATCTGACCCACAAACATGCAAGATTACCAGCTCCTCGAAGTAGCACTGCGGGGAGGGCAACGCTGGAAGGAAGCCTGCGCTGTCCCATGTTTGCTCTAATGACTTAAGCTACCCAAGGGGATGAAGTTGAGGTTGGTTTAGGGTTCGGAGGCTGAGAGGAGTGGAGGGTGTGAGCACAGATGGCCAAGGCATCTAGTGGCAGGTGGTTCTGGGACTGCACACGCCACAACACGAGGAATCCTGGCAGAAGCCAGCAGACCTACCAGGAGAATAAGCAAAAAAAAAACCGAAGCCCCCTAAGCCCTCCGTCAGACAGGTGGCCCCAATCGCCACGGGTCAGTGGGACCATGACATAGAGGCCCAGTGAAGCAGCCTGTTCCATGAACTTTCCTTGGGAGGGCAGCTTCAGATTGGTTCGGAATGAAGGTGTATGTGGGGACGCTGCGTGAGATGCAAAGCAGCTACATGCATCCGTAGAATGTCTTGCATCTACTGCGGGGTCAAGATACGGTGGGACTTCTCCGGGTCAATGTTGTAGAGACGGACGACCTGGGTTCAGCGTGGAGCAGCAGGCTTGGCAACCAATACCCAGAGTTCCAGATCTTAAACGAGCTAGCAACGGGAACACAACGCGCATGAGGAGGGTTCAGCAGCGCCTTACTCATATATGCATAGAATGGGAAATTCTTGCAAGGCGCTTGTCTATATTGAAGGATTTCACAAGAGACAGGAAGCATGTTCTAAATGATGAGATTCGCTCACTGCCAAAACGCTAGAGTCATCAAGGCAAAGTGCATTCGCCCCGAGGTTCGCAATCAGGGGCAAGTAGTCTTTGAACTGTTCCTCCATGTCCTCAGATGGCTGGCAGCGTCCTCCTACCCCTCCTTAACAAAGTTCGCGGTGTGTGTGTGTGACAAGCCAATGCAAAACGTCACTCAGCTTCGACGTGCTATGAGTTGAACATCTTTTCGGCACCACGATGTCATGACGAAGCTCGTCCGCTGCCGGATCTGCAAAATATGGAAGTGGCGGGAACTTGGGCTGACCTGCCACGATGTTGAAAACCACATTGCCACATTGCCATTGACTGGGTTCAACTATACATGTTCTTATTCTGAGTGAGCTGTCTGCACCTGTAGGTCTGCAGGTTTCCCGTTTCTCTGGAAGAGAGTGAGACTTTCGAAGCTCGAGAATCACCATGTAGAATGAAGACCCTCGATCACTTCTTGGTATCGATGCGGGGACAGCACTCGATGCTTCTCTCGGCACGCAACCGGAAGAGAACACCAAGGCAAGTGAGTCACCCGCCTGCATGGCTCCTGGCCACGACTCCGTGAGCCTTTCTGTCTCGTTGGGTCTGTGCCCTGGTCTGTTTCAGCATGCCTTGCTGTTTTGTGTCCGACTTGGCGAAGATACCATGCAACGACTCTTGCTACGAGCCTAGAGCCTAGAGCAAGCAAGGGGATGCGAGCACAGCAGAGTAGCTGGACCAATGAGCCTGCGCATGCAGGCTTTGGAATGGATGAGGCTGCGACTACTGATAGTTTGCCCGTTTTTGCTGCTTTGTTGCAAGTGTGCTTAGTGCTTGGATCCTCGCGGAAGCTACAGAAGTGACACGAAACGCATCAGAGTAGGTTGGTGCGAAGCACCACAGAGTTACTGCGAATGCAGCCGGCCTGGGATACATTCGGCCTTGTGCGTGCCAAGGACCTGTCCTCAACAGCCCCGAAAATTCGAGGATAAGGTGCCACACTAGATAACATACCGGGCACATGATAAAGACATGTCCATGAGATCAAGACACCGTAGTTACCATTCCTGGGGTTGTACGCGACGCCCTTGGCAAAGAAGCGATGTCCGGTCACAGAATCATAGAGCAGATTCCCCCGGATCACCACCTCAGCCATCAAAACAGAGGGGTTTGAATCCGAAGTTTCTTGGTGCAAGCTCTGCGACCTCTGAAAATCTCGCACGCTAAGCCACTGGGTGGAGTGATGATGTCATCTGATCTGCAGCTGTAGTAGTCGTGTCATTCTGAGCAGATGCGGGACTCCCAGCTGAGCTGTGGTTTGAGCTGTTGGGTGCCGTGGTTTGCTGTGCAGCTGCAGCCACCACCAAGGCCCTCAGACGTGGTATGGATCATCGTGCAGCTGATAGTCTCTACACGACTGATGCGCAGCCCAGGACTATACTCCCCTTAGAACCTTAGTAAAAAAACAATATGTTGATATCCTCTTGGGTTTTGTATAAACATAAACAAAAAACAATTCCAAAGGGGGATATACAGGAGATTCGGCTCAGATACCGCCATCCTACTCAAAGAGCCCCCGCATGTTTGCAGAAGAGGCACAAGACTGCGGTCTCCAGGGCTCCCATAGCTACAGATCAAAGATGATCAAAAGAATTTACCACAAGAGGGGCACGATCACGAAACTTTGCTGCTAAACGGCTGCTGAGCTCGCCTTGAGGCTAAGTCACAGTCAAGTCTTTCAATCGCCGCGAGGTCATAGCCCGCACTGGAAAGGGCTAGGGCCAGTATTAATTAAGTCGAGCTGTGCGGTTGGCAAACAGAAGGCTGCATGTAACATGCCTGGCATCCGTCACTCCGAGAATACCTCACCAATCGCAACTCGAGCACCGCCTGTCCAATCTTCACTCAAGGCCCCTTTCTCATCCCGCGAGCCTCTGTACACGCGCCTTTGTCTCTTAACGCATGGCTCCGGAAAAAAGCAATACGACCACAGCTGGGTAAATCCTACACTCCTACGGACTCCTACACCTACAATAAGCAGCCTTTGCTTTCGACTCTCACACTGGCAGACGCTGGCGAGGATCCGGGTAGAAAGACATTCCGCCAGCCGTCGCTCGTCGTCTCAGTTCGGCTGGGCAGCCCTCACCACCCCGCGACGCGTCACCCCAGGTGACCACCGAGCCATCTGCACGTGCCGCTGCGAAAGCTGCAGCAGTGGCGTAGACAAATTCCTGCAAAGAGCGGGGCGCAAAAAGACAAGCAGACTCTTTGCGACAATTTGCCAATAGACAAGGGCGACTCTTTGGCTGCTCCACTCATTTGTGAGATTCTTGCGCTGGTCTATATGCCCCTAGAATTGAAGCACCCTTGCTCAAGCACGAACTTTAAAACGGTCTACATGATTAGGCCCAGCAACCTTGTACATGTTCCAGTGGGAAAACTATGTCATGATACTTTGGGCCTGAACCAGCCGTCCCCTGTAGACCTTTCGGATCCTTACGGTACCATGTCGGTCCACGTCGGTGAGCTGATGCTGGACATGGCTGCTGTCACCTAAGAGGAAGTGCTAAGCTCACCGATATTGACTGAGCAAGGCCTCAGCCCATTGGCTTTTTCCCCTCCCAGAGTTTACATGTGTGACTCGAACCTCTGCAGGGTGAAATTCTTGATTGCGTCAAGTTGTTTTGGGGATCACAATCCATCGTTCTGCCTTTCTATTTCTGTCCCCCAGACTCTGGGCCGCAAGCCCGGCAAGCTCGCAAGCTCGGAACAAGGAGCCACCCGCAAGCCACATAAAGCCACATGACCCGACCGACGAGCTGTAGCTCGGTGTTCCACGAGTGTCAAGCCGTGACCAGCAACAGCAACGGTTAGTGCGGATGACTAAACCTGTGTCAGCCGCCACTTCTGAGATAAAGCTACCTTGCAAGTCGAGCCAAGCCGCCACCGCGCATTGCTTGGCCCCATGTCACCACTGTGCCATCGCGTCCTCAAGTCTGCTGGTGGGCCACGGAAACTTCGGAACAGTTCGGCACTATGCTTAACAGTCATGACCATACCACGGCTCGGCGGAGTCAACTCTCATTCGCCCAGATTCTGACTGCAGCGAAGGCATATGCATTCGCACACACCTGTTGTCAAGAGTAGTTTGCTTATTGAGCATGCCCGGCAAAACAATGAGAAGACCAGATGCCAGCTACTGAGCAGCTACTGGTATGATCAGCACTGGCTTCACTCCAACCACGCCAGCTGAAAAACCCTGCACAAGCTTTTCCACTGCCGCTCGTTGGCTAGACACATCCAATCTTGGTGCTTCTTTACCCGAATACACTTATGGCTTGCCTGCTCGACATCTCGCAGCTGGTCTTGCACCATGCTGCTGTCTCCACCCTTTTGCGGCTCTCCCCACGTCACAACCCTTCCATCCCTACCTCAGCTGCGACAGAAGTACACGATCATGCGCTGAGTCGCATAAGCTCTAGGACAGGTCCAGATTTGTGCAAGGGACGGAGAGCTGCCCAGGCAAAGGAATACACTTCGATGGACAGCACGTCGGTCAGGTCGTGCTGGACGTCGGTGCTGTTGCCACCCATGTCTGGGTGGCCCCAGGTAACAACCTCGGATGCGAATAGCAGACCTCTTTCTGGAATGCCCTTGTCTGCAAGCCCTTTCAAGGGTGCAAAGCCTGGCTAGAGCTTGCTTGCCAAGTCACAGAGCCATCATCGCGGACAGCTGCAAATGCCAGCGCGCGACGTGAGCTGTAGATCCTCCTGACCTGACTTCGGCCATGGGCAGAATACGGCATACACTTGCAGTTCTCATCCCAGCAATTACAGGGCCCCGTGCACACCCCAAGCCCACGAACCCAAACCGCCGCACCACAGTTGACATGCTCAGCCGGTGGGTCTGACATGCGACAACATGGGCTTTTGCCCTCCATGAGTCAAACTTTGACTGTCAAAGGAAGAAGGAGCAAGCCTATGCCCCTGATTCCCGCTCGAGCCGCGCGAGTCAGGGATTCCCGCACCGATGAGCTGTCGCCTCCAGCATTGTCATACCCTTTCCCGTTGTCATGAGCTTTACATGGAGCATCTCGAGTGGAACAGCAAGCTGGAGCAGAAGCTCAATCGATCAGTCTAATCTCTGCGGCTGTCGACCCTTATAGCTATGCTACTGCTTGCGCCACGATCACCCCCCCCCCCCCCCCACAGCCCGATTCCCCCCCCCCCCACAGTCATACACCCTGAGCACACCCTTTTGCCTCCAAAGGCCGGATCTCCCCAGGTCACAACACTTCCATCTCGAAGCCGTGCCGCAAACGCACTGGCACTGGAGGAAATTTCCTGCGCTTGCCATGACCGGAGCAAGAAACGGCTAATTACCACGAGAAGCCCCCTGTGTTTTGCGTAAGTTGGGTGGTGTTGTCCTGAGCTGGAAGGAGCCCAGCTGCGGAAGATGCTATGGAACTGACATCTCCCCCACGATGCGGACAACCCCAGGCCAAGAGTTGGCCCTCCAGAGTCTCCGCCACGAAGGCGAACTGGTTGGAGTGGAGCCGTGTTACCACGTTGCGCCTGAGTTGCTCGTGCGTACGGCTTGTCGTGATTCTATTGTAGCCGAAGCTTCTTTTCGACCACGCCCTATCCATTCGATCTGCAAGCCTGAAGTGCTATGGAGCAATTCTGCTTGCAGGGTGAGGTGGCCCAGATCTTGAACATGGCTTCAAACATCTTCAGTCCCAAGCACCCTGCAACCTATTCTGCAAGCTTGTGCGGACGGAGCTCTCCAGCTCACAGGCCCGTGCGCTGCTGTCACCACCATGCTCAGGGTGACCCCATGTGACGACTCGCCTTGGATCTCGAGTCGACAGTGCGTGAGCATCCGGGATCGCTGACGTCTGCGACACTTTGGGAAGTTTTTACAGACTTGGGGCCGCGCCCATCACGTCGCAGAGCTGCAAATGCATGAGAGTTTGCCCAGACTTCCTTGACCTGGATCAAGCAATGCTTGAACAGCAAGGCTCAAGGCGGACCAAGTGCAAACAAGCAGCCCCGACAAGCTGCTCACGCACCGAGCTCGAGTCACCACCCATCTGGGGATGGCCCCATGTGATGACCGTGCCATCTTGACGCACGGCAGCAAAGGCATGCCTTGACAAACTGGAAGATCTTTTGCTTTCCATTGGTTCTTCCTTTTGGGCATCACAAACAGACAAATGCCTACGAAATCTCTGACAAAACCCGATTAAAACCTAACCACCGCTCCAAGTAACCCGAAAAGAGGAGAGGTGGGCTTTACTCAGGGTCAGGGTCAAGAGAATCCCGCAGCAACCCCAAAAGCACCTGAATAAAATCACAAAGCAACCCACCAACTTCCCACAACAACAACAACAACAACAACAACAACAACAACAACAACAACAACGAAACAAACCCCACACGAATGCCCACAAAAATCTCACTTCCCTCTTCAAGAGGGGCGGTGCTGTGACGTGGTGCCCCCTGTGCTCTTCATGCCGCAGACCCACCAGATCCCACCAGGCAGAACTCTCAACTAAGGCAGGATGGATAGGGTGAAGGTGCCGGATTCCTTCACTGGTTGACGACGTCTGGCGTGTTTTCGGCGCTGGCTTCCACATCCGCTTGTACATAAGCCCCAAGTGTTGGAGGTTTGAGAAGCCTCCTCCGCCATCTCCAAGAAGCCCATAAATCATGCGCACCCCCAATGTTCTGAAAGCTTTGCTGCACTAGCTCAGACTGTCGAAGATGCCAACACCCTCGAATCGAAGGATGTCGAAAAGAATGCCCCGGCCACTTTGCGACTTTTCTGTAGTGTTCCCACATACAGCATTTTTTGGGGAACCCGTACTCAGGCCGAGGCGTGTGACGCGCACGTGTTTGCCACATACAGAATATGGAACCAATCTCTTCGTGCTCTGGCGAGCTGCGCAGAGGCGCAGATGTGGTCCACACTATGGAGATCTCCCTTGACGGGGCTGCTATCGCCTCGCTGTAGATGGGAGGGAACGAAACATGCAGAGTCACAAGAACAGGCCAGGCATCCCAAAACCCTAAACCCTAAACCCTTTTTGCATCCGGGCAAACCCTACCCATTTGCATCCGGCCTGCTATGACTCTGCCAGGTGACCAATACTAACCTGAAACCCTAAACCCTAAACCCTAAACCCTAAACCCTAACCCTAAACCCTAAACCGTCTTGCTGGGTGCTTCTGGGTTGCCACCCCTTCCTGCATTGCCCCATGTTATGACGGAGCCGTCTCTTCGAAGAGCTGCAAACCTAACATCGAAGCGCAAAGCCATCCACTCCACACGTCAGTCCGTCCACTGGAAAACCCTAAACCCTAAACCCTAAACCCTAAACCCTAAACCCTAAACCCTAAACCCTAAACCCTAAACCCTAAACCCTAAACCCTAAACCCTAAACCCCAAACCATCCCAAACCCTAAACTCTAAACCCAGCTCTTGTGTTTGGAAGCCAAGGTAGCGCGAACGAGTGCGTGCTCAGCTGCAAGATGCCCACGAGATCGTCTTGGATAGCGGAGCCTGACTGAGGGCTGTATAGGCCAGCTTGCGGGTTTAGGGTTTCGGGTTTCGGGTTTAGGATTTAGGGGTGATTGTCCGGACCCCCCTAGCTGCAGAACTCCCACCCGTTTAGCCTTGAAAAAAGAAAAACGATCTAAAGGCAGAAGGGGAGCAATCTCCGCCCCGCTGGGGGTGGCCCCAGGCCAAGACCTCCCCATACTGGGAAACTACGGCAAAGGCCGCACACCCAGCGTGAAGCCGGGGCACACGGCTCAGGATCGTCATGACCTCGAGTCCAGTTGCCGGAGTCTATACGGAGGTTTACGAGAATAAGGGAGACGTAATATTATAACCCCCCCCCCCCCAAATAGTAGGATTCTCCTGTTTTTGGGACCCCAATAAGGTACCCCTAATGTCGTAAACCCCCATATGTCTGAAAGTCAGAAGGAATGGTTCGGACGCACTTGCAGGTCAGCTGCGGTGTCACCATCTCGAAGGGACCTCGGTTTTAGCGGCGTTGCGGGCGGCTTATGGGCAACTGCAGCATGAATGTTGCCACACCGCTACATCGCTAGGGCAAGGCACTCATACACCTTGCTGTGCGGTGGGAGGACCTTGCCCTCCGGTGTCACCAACGCCTACAGGGCTCAGATCCTCTCAAGTCCCAACAGCGCTTTCATTCCCGAAGTGTCTCGCTAGAAAGTGCAAGGACTTTTGTGGGGCATCTGGGCCATCAAACGGACCTGTTGCATCAGCCAGATCTACCCAAAGGAAAACCCTGCAGATCTCTGGTGTCTACCCACATAAGCCACAATGGCAGCGAATCCTTTACTTCTCTCTTGTTTGCACTATTCTGCACTTCCCCCCCTAAAACGACTCAAAAAGCAGGAAAAGATCAAGCCGTGCCTGTAGACGTCCTCCCAGAGCTGTCCCTGCTTGCAGCTGCAAGACCCTCACGGCCTCTTGCGGGTCGACCTGCAACATCACAGCTTTGGTGAGAGGGTCAGGGCTTTGGGTACGGGATGATATGGGCAGTGTAAGTTTAAGGTGGAAGCTTAAGGGTCTACGAAGCCATTGGGAGATTTATAAAGTCTAGGGAACCTCCAAACCAGCGGCTCCCCGGATTCCCTGCCCGATCCTCGAGGTCCAGCTTCTCGCCGCTGAGCAAACCCACAGACACACGGATCGTCATGGCAGACACCTGTATGGACTCCTGCGTTCCTCCTCAAAGTCCGGAGTCCTGAACTTGAATATTTCCTGCTTCTCCCTGCCCGGCCCGTCAGCGCATGCAAGAAACCTCAACTGTCGCATGTCAAGCTGTGCCATGGGTCGGCAACGTGCATCTCCAAGCCAGTTAAAAACGCTGCGAGTACAGAACCACGCATGCTGCAAAACATGATGCATGGCCCAGCAGTAGCAGCGCTTGGGGCAACCCAGCCCTTGTGTCGCTTTTTTTCCCTGACTCAATCCAACAAAACCGGAAAGGGTCCACTCAGAGCCGTCCTTTTGAAGTGCGGAGGGCATGTTGGCCAAGACAAGCCTTTTACAAAACCGCGCAGCAGGGACTTTTGTTGCGTGGGAATCAAGGTGTCACTCGAGGACGAAAGAACAGGGACAACCGACAGAGCAAGACCAAGGAACTCAGGAAATACAAGGCAAAAGTTCAACCCACACCACAAACGAGACAGAACGATGGAGGCGTCTCGAAAAAGCCCCTCATTGACGAAGCATCATCCTCACGGGTCGTTGGGCTGTGCAAGGTGTGCATGGCGCAAGCATCAGGTGAAGCCCAAGTTCGTTCATGCGCGGTCGTGTGCTTTTTAACTCTGGTTCGCGGAACATTCCTCAGTCCTCTTTTGGAGGCAGGAAGGTCGCGCAGAAACCGGAAAATTGCCCGCGACAGTGCGCGGGCATCAAAACCACGTGGCTGATGGCTTGCAGCTGCGCAAAACATTAACTACCGATTGTTCCAAGACTGGCAGCTTGCAAAACTTGCAGGACAGCTCATTCCTCTGGTGCAGCTCCGCCCGACAGACAACCTTTCTCCCCTAAGACCTGACATCATACATGCACAACAAGAAGCACAGACTGCTTAACAGTGGCAGCTCAAGACAAACGAGTGAGGCAATCTCCCTTCGGGGAGTGCCACACTAAGCCACGGCAGAAATGGGCCAGCCTGTCGTCACTGCCCAGCCGCATATGCAGAAATGCAAACGAAAGGCTGACAAGCGCCTTTCCACGCCAGATTTTACAATGATGCTCGCCTCGTGTGCTCGCTTCGGGCTTCAAGCATCAAGCAGCACGCAACGGTCCCGGCTCACTCCGTTCTCGCCGAAGGCTGGGCAAGCTGGGCAAGCCAGGTCGATCCTCAGTGGTGTGCGCGTCTAGAGATCAGAAGCAGGGATGACAGCTCTTTGGCTCCTTGGCCCTGGGCTACAAGCATGCATGGCACTGAGCAAAGCAGTCCATTCGGCCTTTCTCGAAGCTCTTTCGCGGCAGCTTGTGATCAACTACTGCCGCCTGCAGATACAAAGCTGGCCCGGTACCACTTCTGCTGTCCAGTGTTGGCAGTCTGCTTCTGTGGATCCTGCAAGCAGCAGCCCCACTACAACTTGAGCATCAAGAGACTTGGTGCCCTCTATGCCGGATAGGTCGACATACTGGAGCATCTTGGGAGGCTGCGCATTCAGCCCCCGCAGGCCCAAGTGGTTCCAGCTCAGGTTCGCGCGTCGCAACTTTGGCAGCACAAAGATTTCCGCCGCATCCCCCCTGATTTGATTCTTGGACAGGGAGACATCCTCCAAGCTGATCAGTCCCAAGACGGCACCGAACTCACTCAATTGGTTTCCGTCCAGGTTCAAGACCCGAACACCAAACGCGAAGGTGGCGATCCCTGGGATGAGATGGCGCATGGAGAGGCTGCCCAAATCCAGGGTGCTTCCGTATGCGTCTGGGCCCGCAAGCCAGGCCTGCACCTTTTGCCGGGCGCGGGCTGCAGCCCCTGCATCTGAATAAAAGTTCTTACGCAAGGGGTCGAGCGTGCTGGCACGTGCTGCGCTCTCTGCGAGAGCCACTTGGACACTGTCCTGCTGCTCTGAGGCGCAGCCGGATGCCAGGCCCTCCTGCAAACGGGCCTGGGCCAGAAACGCCCATCTGCAGTCAGGCTCAATCTCCAGGAGCTCATTGATTCTGTCGAGCTCTGTCTGGAAAACCTCCCTCCTCTGCTCCTCAAGCTTTTGGCCCAAGAATGCCTCCAGCACCAGTCTAGATGACACAGAAAGGTCAATCAGGGGACCACAGAAGCTAACCTCCATAGAGGACACAGGAGATGCCTTGCCGTCGGGAAGGCTTCCAAAAACTTCGATGGCGACCTTGATCCGAACCTCCTCTGAACAGGGCATCCTTTCTGTCCTAAATTGCCAGCCTAGGCCACAGAGGCGTTGACGCCTCGCAGAAGGCCGTGTCCGTTGCACGGCAGACCTTGAAGGGATGATCGGCTCAAGGAGCCCCTCTACTCCCTCCTTCTGGCCGGCTTCGGAGATGGAGGCACGAGAGGCGCAGACGGGCTTCGAGAAGAACACGAAGATGGAGCCGTCCATGCGCACGCAGTGTGTTATCCGAGGGGTGTCGGTGCCGCGCGCCAGAGTTGTAAGCCAGTTATGATAAAGCCACACGGACTGGTCGTTTGGCTCCGTAAAGATGCCCTCTTGGACCCATTCCAGTTCCTGATGGATGTCGATCTCCATTTGGGGCTCCTGACAAGGCAAGCTCTCTCGCAAGACTGTGGTCACAATTGGCCGGACGAATGCCATCAACACAAAGCTGTCGGTTGCTCTGGGCTTTAGTGCAACGGGGATCTATAATCACAAGTTTCGACAGATTATTCTGCGAACTCAGTTTGTTGGGGTCACCCGCGATTGTCACAAGTTCTTTTTTCCGGATGGTTGCTTTGTAAGGGTTTGTATTTAGGGTTAAGGGCTTAAGCAGTAAGGCTTGAGGCCCTGAGGGCCTTGCGCTCCAGCAATCTTAAAGAGCCAGTACCCGGAGAATCCAGGAGCCCGGCCGGTTCCATCTAAAGCCTTTTTGAATTTCAGTACGAAACGAGGCCCCAAACAAATTTCGTGATAGATTGGTAGTCCACGGGCCAGCCCGACTCGCTTGAAAAAATGGAGGGGGGGGGGGCCTTAGCAAGGCAGGCCTAAGGTCCGAAGGGCTTGGCACCCTAAGGGCCCCCCCCCCCCCCCAACCGGGGGGGGGGGGGGGGGCGGTGCCCAAAAGCCAGTGCAACAGTACTACCAGTGCGTATGACTATTCGTGGGAGCAACACGGAAGGGAACAAAAGCACAACATAAGCAAAAACAACTCACAACAGAAGATGTGCGAGCAAGTAAGCAAAAACAAGTCACAACAGAAGATGCACGTTTGGCACGTGTGATGTTCGTTGCTGTTGTGGTGGCGTTGTCCAGCCGGCTTCTGTGTAAGTCTGCTGGTTTGGCAAAGGCATTGTCTGCCTGCGCAATGTAGTTTGCGAAAGAAGTGAACGCGAACATGTAGAGGTTTGCTGCACAGCGCCAAGCCACCAATTCAGGGTCACGACTGTGTTAGAAGACAGGGGCGGGGTGCCACAGAACTCGCTGCAAGAGAAAGGACTACTATCACGTCACTCCTCCGTGCCAGCACGCTGCTGAAGCAAGGTGCGCAAATGCCAGGCCGAGTAGTTGGAGAAGTTCCGGTTGATGAGGTCGGTGCTCAGCTTGAGATCGATGGAACCCAGGTCCATTGGCTCTGCTTGATCCTTCTGCCAGGTCCGAATCAAGCCCATGACGTGCATGCGGTGGTTCCAGCAGTGGAAATTGCGCTCGTCCACCTCCAGGAGCTTACCACACAAGTCCAGCTCAGTGTCCAGGAGCTGCTTGACACTTTCCTCAGGCGCATCACAACTCTCATGTGCAAGAACCAACCTTGGGAAATGCATGTGGAGGTGTGGACAGACCATGCAGATGAGCAGCAGGATCACTTCCCAGCTCTGGGAACAGGTGTTCAATTACCCATTTCCGGTGGAACCAGATCGAGTAGACCTTCTGTGACTTTCGCAGTGCCTGGAGGGGCCCCGGCTCCACTTCACTGAACTTGGAACCCTAGCAAAAACTCGTGAGTCTAGCTGTTTCTTTGGAATTAAGCAATATTTCCAACCTAAGACTTTTGCCACCCGCCATCCTCTTTGCTGACCGCTGGTTTGCTTCTAGCATGCGGCTCGTGGTTTAGCATCTGGCATGATAGCACTGCAGCACTGCCCCCCGGGGTCAACAAGCATACTCAGCATACTGTCCGTTGCAAAGGGTCTCAAACGCAGACGCCCCCAAGTAGGACTAAATTAACTAGATGAGGAGAGACGAGCGAAACCATCATGGATACATCTTGTTCTGGTGCGGTCCTCTCCGATAGCTCGGTCCGACTGGCAACCTAATGTACCGTTGATCTCGCATGAGTTTCGAGCTTTTAGAGGGGGCTCGCACTAGAGGCGGCCAACATTGCCTCCTCATGGCCCTTGGTGGGCTCAACCAACAGCCCGTTTTTTTTTTTGACCCAAACCCTAAATCCCAAACCATACCTACCAAAAAAAACCCACATGGACCCTAAACTCCCCCAAAACCCCAGAAAAAAACTGCCGCATCCCTGCCATGCCTTCTCCAAGAGCTTCATCTCCACTTCCAGGAGTTCCCGGAGGGGTTTGCTGATCTTGCCACTGGTGAGGAGCTCGCGTCTGTAGCCCCAGAGGGTTGGGAACTCGGGATGGAACTGGAGGGCCTTGGACGTCATGTCCAAGGCTTGCTCATTGTAGACTTTGTTCTGTCTCAGCTCCAGGAGCTTTCCGAAGAGACCGCGGGCTGTGCGCACCTGCTCGCGTTGCTTCTCCTTCTCCTCTGGGCTGGGCTCCACCACATCCTTCTTCACACGGCCGTGCATCTGACTTTCTACTCACGACTCTACTGCTGGGTCTGGTGCTGCTGCTGCCGCACTATGTGCGCTGTCCCTCTTGCAAGGTTGCTGAAGTTGCTGAAGGGCAAACAATCAAGTCGACACGTGCTGTCTGCAAGGGGGATCCAAATGCCGCCTCTGCACCTAGGGGGGGCTACGGCTCTCCCACATCTCGCTTGGAACTCGGAATATGACGGAAAGATCACGTCGCGGCGATGCGTCTCCAAGTGGCTGCTTCACATCGACAGGTCTTAAGCCTTAAGATGAATGAGGTACGCCAGGTACGCTATATAATCCCTTAAATGGTATATTTAGGGCCCTAATTCCCTTATTCCCTGCCAACCAACAGTCAGTAAGATGATCCAAGGCTCTGCGGCTCTCCGCACCTCCGAGTTGATGCGCACAGGGACTCCGGCAACTGAGCGCCCCACCTATCCGGCTTTGAATTTGGGCATGGGGGGGGGGGGGGGGTGGGGGGGGTGGGGGGATGGCGAGACACATGCAACCGTGTTTGTACAGCTGCAAGCCATCGACTTAAGCAAAGCTAGGTTATGCGAAAACTACGAGATAGGCGCATGGCAGGCAGCTCCTGCCAGGCTCTGTAGTTGTTTCACACCACAGGCAGATTCCTATCTCAGTGCTGGCTCAGGACGGCCTGCTGATCACCTGAGCTTCAGAAGGACTTTGAGCGCTCACGACAGGTGCACGAAGCCCTGCCACTCGCCCTATGCATCCGCGTCACGCATCAGAGGGTGTGGCAAGAGTGAAGGCATGCGTTCGAAACACCATTTTGGTTGGACGCCGCTTGGCAACCTCATTCAGGCATGTTGAGCCGGAGCACCCGCAACACGCTACTTGACCAAGCAGAAAGGCGTGAATAACCCAGACTACCGCATATTACAATACTACAAGGCACCGTTGCATGAGACATGTCTCGTCGCAATTTCACCGACCGCCAGTTTTTTCTGCACCTTCGCTAAACTCAATGGCATCAGCAATTGCCACATCTGTAGTGAGACCGACCTACTACAGGTGCAAGTCCAAATGATGCAGGATGCAATCCTGTGCAACTAGGAGCATGGGACAGCAATGGTGATGACTCGCACATGCTAGCTTGCTTTCTTGTATTCGTGCATTCGACAGAAGGCGTGTGACTGTACTGGTTCAGCATGAAAATAGACATGATTTGTGACGTGCACCCATGACACCATGGCACATGAGGCCACGACGAACTACAGGGACAGCCCAATGCGATATTCTCGCGCAGGCTCCAGCATGGGAATCAATTTACAATAACTAAAAATCGTCACCTAGCTAAAGCCCAGCATGTTGCGAGCTCGACAATCGACAGAGTTGACTGGCCTCAGGCGTGGCCACATTGGAGCATAGGCTGCTCATTCAGCTCCTCGAAATTCTTGTTGCTTGGTAAAGCTGTGTAGAATGGTGGCTTATCCCTGATCTTGGGCAGCTCCAAGTAATCGTTGCGCAGCTCATGGGGCCTTTCCAAGTAGGGAACCGACGCGTGTACGCTTTGAGGTGGCGGGCGCTCAGCCAGGCGCCCAGGCGCTTTGAAATCTTCGTGCGAGGTGCGGTTCATCTTTGCCAGCTTGTTCTGCATACTCCGGTCCCGGTCCACAGCATCGTAAGGGGAAGCGGCCTGCACCGACTTGTAAAGGTTGGCGGCCTTGGCATTGGCGACTTCAATCTGCTCCCGCGACCTGAAAGGACCCTGTATTCGCTGGCAGCGGCCGGTGCTCGCGGTCCTTGACAAACACGGTGCCCGGTCTGGAAGCTCTTGGGGAGGCGAGGACAGGTCGGACATCATCTGCTCCACCTGTGACACTCCAAGGCGAGGCATGCGAGCCCCACCTGCCCCAGTCGCTCCATTGTGGAGGTGGAAGCTCTGAAGGTGATGCTGCGGGCGTCGCATTGACCTGGGCAGCTGAACCCGCAAGGACTCTCGCAAGTGCTGCTCGATGGGTTTGTCAAAAGCACGAGGCAAGTGGTCGTTGTACGGGGGGTTGTAGACACCTGGGATGCTCTTGGTGCTGACTAGGTGGTGGATCTCGCCTGCCACGTTGCGGATCTCCTGCCTCATCTGCTCCTCCTCCTCCATCTTGCCCCTTGTCAGGCTTTGTTGGTGCTCCTGCGCCAGATAGGCTTGGGTCCACTCGCCACGCTGCGCGCACTTTTCCATATACCGCTTCCTCCCATGGTAGTCATGCAAGTGTTTGCGACTGCTCCAGCCGCGAAAGAAGCGCTGGATCACCACGGCCGATTGATAAAAGAAATGGTTCTGCAACCGCGTGAGACGCTGGAAGCGTAGGAGGCGCGCCCGACGCCGACCCGACCAACCACGAGCCACACGCTGGACTGTCAGCGTTGCGGCCACCACCGCACGCCAACTAAGCCGGACCTTGGAGGCACGGAAGACACTCTGGATCCTGGTCACTGCTCGAACTTCCCTTGCCAGGTTCTCGCTGGCCGCCTGCGTCAGCAGGAAGTAGTTTTGGAAGACCCTGTCTGTGCCCCTCCGCAGTCCGGGAACGTGTACCATGGCTGGAAGGGCTATCGTCTATCGCCATAAAGGGGCCATCCTATGAGCGCCTTCACACAGGTCCAGCGCACATGTTGAAGGTAGGGAGGATACGTTTCGTTACCTTTCATTCGATTAATAGGTGGAGCTATGCCCACGAACTCAGGGGTTCCAGGACCCATGCTGTTGCAGGATTCAGCCAGGCCACCCACGTGATGCAACGTTGAAGAGGCGCGCAGCAGGCAGCTGCACTTGCCTTATGCACGCAGGAAAAGGAGGGCGGACAGAAGCCGATCAGGGCCGGGTCACGTGCGTTAGCAACATGCAAGGTTCGACAGAGGCCACCCAAATATGAAAGCGCACTCAGCACCCTCAAGAAGATCATGGCATGTGGTTGTGATGTAGAAACGTCTGGCGCGGAACATGTAGGCGGTGCAGCCATCGCCGCTGCTACCAGGCACATTCTCCTGGACAAGTTGTTTTGCTCATGCATGTGCAGGATACCATGCTATATTACTCTTTTACTATATATATATATACACACATTACTATATTACCATATTGACATATTACTATACTGCTATACTACTACATCTTACTACTATATTTCTATATAAATTCTACTAACTAGAGTATGATAATTAGGACATTCTCATCGCTCCTGAATGTCCGGCCGTCGTCTCGGCACCGCACGTCCTCCATGAACAAAGCTGTGATTGACCTGTCGACAAAGGCAAAATCTGCAACAGCTTCGAATGTTCGCGAACATCTTTATATGTATATGTCCGTGCACATGTAACCAAGCGAAAAACACAAATACACAGAAACAATAAATGCACGAAACGTGTTTTGCAAATGTATATATATATATATCTATCTATCTATATATGTCTATCCAGATGTATGCATACATGTAGATTCACACGCCCCGACGCAGCAAGACTGCGCACGCAGCCTGCGGAGGGGCAGGCGCCATCCTTGGAAGAAAGCAACTGGCCCGGTTTATTTCACCCTCCAGCACAGCTGGGCGAACCGCATCGCAGGGAGGAAAGTGGTTTGCCTAACAAGTGCCCTGACGACAACCCAGGAAGGTAAACCCAAAGCCATGCAAGACGACAAAAAGCACCTTCCAAGGTCACTAAGGTCGCTGGCCCGGTTTAAGGTTTAGGGTTTAGGTTCAAGCCGTGCGTCACTGGCGCCGGCGGTGCAGGTGCTGAAAGTTCGGCGCCCTGCACACTTTTCTTGACCCACCTCGCGAGGGAACATCTAGAAGGCTGCACTGAGGGTTGTGCATTTTCCTTGTTGAGCACCTGTTCCCATGCGAAGAGCCCCAGAATGTGAGCTTGAGCCCGCCAGGCTGCCTGACAGCCTGGGCCTTCAACCACTTTGTCAAAAACAAAGAGAGGGAAAGAGAGTGGGACAGAAAGAGAGAGAGAGAGAGACAGAGAGGGAGCGAGAGAGACAGAGAGAGAAAGAGAGAGAGAGAGAGACAGAGAGAGAGGGAGACAGAGAGAGAGAGAGAGAAAGAGATAAACCCATGAATATGCAACTGTGTGTTGGTTTGGTTGCAGTTACACTCATATATATATATATATATGTGTGTGTGTATGTTTATGTACATATCAATTCACATGTGTGTGCGTGTGTCGTGCCGAGCGGCGCAAGGTGGGCAGTCTGCCCATGATGTCCTGAGCCGTTGATCGGCTGAGCAACGAGAAGCTCTTGATGGCCCACGCGGATGAAAGCATATGCAGACAGATGCAAGGTGTTCAATGAATCAAGCTCTGACTTTGCCAATGATGCAGCTGCTCGGCATGGCACCCTTGTCCACCTCTTCAAATCAAACGTTCTCTGGTTGTTTGTGCGTGCAAGCGGCGGATGAAGTTCCGAACCTCGCTGACAAGCGACAATGACATTGCGCAGCTCAAGTTGCACATGAAACTTGCACCGCAAGCAAGCACGGATCCTGCCAACTACCCTCAAAAACTAGCCCACCTAGACGAATCGAGTGGGGACATGAAGCCTGTTCACGCAACATGATGCAGCCAATTTTGCCCGTGGGGCCTCGGCAGCATCACTGTGGATCTGTCGAAGCGACTCGCCCTGGGATCCAGGAATATGCCAAAGTTGGTTCAGCCCGTGGGGCCTTTGACCTTTGAATTCCTTCATCTGCATCATCCAAGTCAGAATTGCGCCCAGTAATTGCCAAGCAGCCTGGTTCCAGGACCCAATCTCAGCATTCGTGGATGTCCATGTCATGGCAGGACTAGCAATGCTTCTATAAATCTTGGAACACGACTCCAGTAGGCAAATCTGGCGGCATGTGCTTGTCAATTGTCCTGCGCATCACTGTGAAGCCAGGGCACTGAGTTGCTTGTGGGGTTTACTTCGTGGCTCTGCTGTGCAGTTACATCTGCTTCCAGGCGTGACAGGCACACCGCCTCACGTTCATTTTTCACATCCCTCCCGGCTGACAAGCACTGGCGGCCGAGCATGTTCTGCACTCCAGACTGCAAAACCTCATGCGCATGTCTACCTATCAGTTTGGAACCACCACTAAAACTCGCTACTGCAGGCCCCGCACCGAGCCTGTGCCTCTCATGTCATAACATGAAAACCCATCCCTGTTCCAATTTGTCAGCTCACAAGACTCCCTAAAATCGGAGCAAATACTGTTGGCGGACCCTAGAACTTGTAATTCAAAAGCTGCCCGGCTACTCGACTAGTCGGGCCCTTGGCACGCCGAAATCCGAGGCCGTCGTCGCGGCCGCACGTGTGTTCGTGAAGAAATTCGCACACGACTTCCGTGCTTCCGCCATTTTATCTTCCATGTCCAGCGTGTCATCTGAAGTAGAACTCCCAACTGCAGTCGCTGGGCCTTACAGGGCTGCACAGGACTGACATGCTGCACAACGACTGAGCTGTGACCGGAGCTGCAGTTAAATTAAAACATACAGGACAAAATATATGTAAACCAAACCCTCGGCCTTCATCCTTAGGCCTCAGGCTTCCGTTTATTCTTCCGAGCCCATGTCTGCCCAGGCGCGGCTGGCCCGCGCCCTGTGGGTTCATTGCGACAAGCTGGTTCCAGGTGACAGTGGCTCGCTGCTGGTCACCTCCTGTGTTGAAGGGCATGAGTGACATGAGCATCCGAGTCTTGACTGAATGACTTGCGATGATCGGATTGGAAAAGACTATTCAGACTCGGACAGTTCTAGTTTGAGAACTGATCGTAAGATAGGCAGCTGATTGGCACCACTTTGGCTCTCACTACTACTCGTGCCGGGACATCCGCTGCCTGCCATCATCAAGGCGACGGCATTGCGCCAATATAGGACATTGCCGGGATCTATCCGCACCGCCTGGCATCGTGGGCCATGCACTTTGCAAAGCATCCTAGACTGGGGCCCCATGATCATAGTCTCATGGCTGTAGATCTGAATTGCGTCACGTCTGAAACACAAACAGGCTATGCATTTGCCACAACAGGTGCAGTGCATGTACCGTCACGCACTGCGACATGTCGCCCATTGCCGCCTGGTCCAATGCGTTGATGGCATGTTGGTAGTACTCCTTCGACAGAGCGCCTGTGACGGCACCCAGCCCAGCAGCACAGGCCATGTTGTTCAAGGCCTCCCGACGACAAAAGCTTGCAACGGCCATCTAGGGTTTAGGGGGTTTTTGCCACCCGTCTAGCCAAGCTCCGCCGGGCAACTGCAGAGAGAATGCTTTGCACAATGCTTCAGAAGCCCAAGTCCAGAAAGCGTGTTTAAGGGGTTAGGGGAAGGGCTTGGGATTCAGGGTTTAGGGGTCTGGGTCTGAAAGCATGAGTCTAAGAGGAACGACCAACCCTTTGATGTTGTCACCAGAGGCTTGAAGAACCTTAGGGATGAGCCCCTCTTCCTAACCTTGGGGATGACACCTCTGCATGACACCAGCACCCAAAGCAAACTAAACTGTCTCTGGAGAGCTGGGCCGCCTTGGTGAAGCCTGGGTTTATCGCCAAGGCCTTCTGAAAATGAGCAACTGAAGCTTGCCTTGGCCCAAGGGGAGCAGACTGCGAGCCCATCTTGCCAAAAAGTATATAACATCGTGCCATCCGAAGCACGGCTTCTGCATAAAGAACAGGGAGAGCGCGTAGTCATGCCAGATCTCTTCTTCCTTGCGGGCTTCTTGACCCTGGACTTGCAGCCTCGGCCTACGCCGCCTCTTCACGTTGCAGTCAACTCCCAGGTGGCGACTTGCATGCATCATGTATATATATATATATAGTATATATAACTATCTATCTCTGTACATGTATGTAAACCTATGTATACACTATGTATATATATATATAGAAACACACTGTATATATTTAATTATACAGTTACATATATATATATATATATATATATATGTATATAACATATGGCCACAAGCTCCAGCACGGCTCTCTTCCCTGAGCATACTCGGGATTGCCCAGCCTGAATAGTCAAGGGGCTGAAATAGCCGTTGACGGCCTAGCATGGCGGCCACAGGGCAAAGTTATCCATGCTACCATATTGTATGCTGCGATGCCTCCCCAACCCTAACAGATTGACCCAAGCCAATCTCCCAGCCCTGCACTGCTCACATCTCAGTTTCGTCTCCAGCTTCCTGGTAAGACTTCAGACCTGCTTCCTTCCTTCCAACACGCTTGACCCGAAGGGGTCGCCCCAGAAAACGCGTGCTATAGGGTCCTCTGAGGTGAAAAGTGAAAACGATTGTTCAGTTTCACTCTCTCGCCCTCTCTGTCTGTCTTATCCTCTCGTCTTCTCTTCCGCACAGCGAAGGGTCTCCCGAAAAAGGCCCGACGGCAATGACCCGCCGGTCCGACAAAACTTTATACGCTTCTTTCTCGACATCTATCATCCTCGGACGCCCCTTTTTCTCTTCCAGGACCCATGGCCACTGCCTTCTCTAAATATCTGGCAGCTTCCTGATGCCGCCCCTTGAAGAAGAGGATTTGCCCGGCATGGTAGAGAGGCAGGGCATCATGATCCTTGGCTTGGCCCCGGCGAAATTGAAATTTAGGGTTGTTTAACGTCAAAAAACCCTTAATGGGTTTTTATTTTAACGTTAAAAAACCCTATCTTGTCTTCACCCACAACTCGCGAACGATTTCTTAACAACCTCGGGTGGGGAAGAACCGACTCCGTGTCATCACCTTTACACCTTCTCCGCCACATCTTCTGCTCCCTCTGGAGTCCCCTTAGTCTCCCTTTAGAGTCTCCCATTTAACGTCCCTCAAGAGTTCCTCTAGAGTCCCTCTAGAGTCCCTAAAGGGGACATAGGGGGGGACATAGGGGACCCTTATGTGGAAATCAAGAACGCCCCCAATGGCAACTCAGGCTCCGTGGGATCAATGTCGATGGCACGCTGATACGTGGCCAGCGCCTCATCGTATTGCTTGGCCTCGCGAAGTGCTTTTTCATGCTTTTTCTTTCAGCATGGGCACGAAGTCTCATACATCTTTCCCGCCTTCAGATACACGTTGGCAAGGTTGAACTGCACTCTTGCCTCGCCACTTGGCACATGCTGCCGTCTTCGACATTCTTCGACACCGGGATGGCTGACTCTTTCAAGTGGGACGTGCGAAGCATTGCAAAGCTCGATAGAAAGTTGCAACCACAAGGGCTGAGCGCAGCTGGGTCATTCCATCTGCAGTGGTGATGCTGTCTGAGTCCTTCCACTCCTCAGCAGACAGAAGTGCGACGACTTCTGCAAGAAAGTTAAGAAGTCGGTTTGGTCACACCGAACTACAATGGCCTCACTATGGCACAGTTTCTGGATCCCCTTATGCGAACGACACAGAAGCTCTGCCACTAATGCCACTAATGCCTCTGAGTCGCTGGAACTCTAAGGGCACTACGCCAAACAGCCAGGCCTCCAGCCAAAAGCCTTGCAAAGCGCCACGTTGACATCTGCGCCGCTCTACAATACACTCCACCTTGAAAACTTTGAAAGGTCTGCAAGATATGATCGGTCCGCCAGCCGGAACAGGGCCAAGGCGCAGCAGAGATGAGAGGAGCCGAGGACAAGCAGATCGGTGGGCCAGGCACACCAGCGTTGTCAGCAGCCCTGAACCGAAAGCCAGCCTACTTCTTGAATCACCCGTTCCTTCTTGAACAAGAAGTTAACACTTGGAATGAGCCCCCTCCCCCCTTCTGCAAACTTTCCAGCACAATCCTTTGAGAAAGTACACTTCTCTATGATGTGTGGTGAGCAAAGACTCTCTCGGGCCGTCGCAGCATGTATACAACAAGCCAAGCGCTGCTCGTCCTGCTGAAGGGATGTAGAGGAGCCGCTCGCCAATCATTGTGCCAACTGGAAAGAGAATGTTGGACCTGGAAAGCTAGGTGCTTCGGTGGCTTCGGCTTCATCTGGGACATGGGACATGGACGGTCGGCAGGCTGCCGCATTATACGGGTGCTACCAACGGTTCGGGCCATGCTTTCTCGCAATGGCCAGTGAAGCCACAAAATATGCTGCTTGGCACCCGGCAAGCCCAGAGCAAGCGGGCATGGACAGACAAGAGGCATGGGAACAAAGCTCAGGATGAGAATCGCCAGCCCAATGATCGGGCCCTCTGCTGGTGACCGGCATGCCTTTGGCCGTAGCACCTGCAGAACTCAAGGCGGTCTACGTCCACATTGTCACATGGGGCTCATGTGCCACAAACTCCTTGTGCCGCACGGCGGCCGCAAGTGAGAGGACCAGAAGGATTCCAAAGCCGAGGTAGGCCGTCAGTGGCAGCAGTAAGCGCAGGTCCGTGGCGTCAAAGACCAGAGGAATGGCATCAAAGGAGTAGTCATAGCCTGAACTAGCTTTTTCGAAGTTGCTCGTTTGGCATGAGCATGACAACAAAAGCTTAGCACTCTGGCAGTTTGACAGCGTAGTAAAGCATCTTTGCCAATCTTTGGCAGATGTGAACTCTGCATGCAGTGCAGTACACTCTGATACTGCTTTCCGAGGGTCTGAGGAAGGTAGGAAACACCAAAAGTTTGGCATAGATGCCATGCACCAAGGCGTAGCTACGCAAGCGGACCCACCGATCAGTGTGAACAGCCTTGGCAAGGCCAGAGCACAACACCTCAAAGTCACTGATTGCCGGCACACTCTGCAGTAGAACCTGAACTGCCTACAACGTGCACATATGAGCACTTGCCAGAAAATCGTTGCGATGAAGAAGCGACAGGATTACTGTGAGGATCCATGTTGTCGATCGCTGTCCCACCAGTGTACCTGGGCATCCGATGGACAGAACAACCATATGATCTGCATGTGATTATTGCACCTGGATGCCAGCAGGCGCGATTGTCAGAACGTAAGGGACTTGCAAGGGAGCATTGTGTTGCTTATCTGAAAGCACCGTTGTGGGCTGCCAGCCAGATCTCACGAGAATACCCTGGCACAGCTAGGCACGAAGAGATACCGCAGCCTCTCTGACTGCGACCAATAGCGAAAAGTGACAAATGCCTCATGAAATCGTGAGTTGGGACTGAGGCCCTCTCGATCCTTCATGCAGCCAGCATGCCAGACTCTGACACCGCAAGCAGCAATGCCCATCAACAGGATGGCAACCAAGCGGAGTGCGCGGAAGACTTGCGATTGGCTCGTGCTCGTCAAACCTCCCGGCCAGGATACACCACACTGTAAGAAATCGCAGGGCCTTCGGACTTTGGGTCCGACTCTCAACACAGCACGTGCCACATGAAGTGGCCACGGACCCCGGCTGCAAACTCAAGCTTCCAAACGACTCTCTTGCCTCTGAGAATCTCCCATCCGGCCAGCAGCCCAAAGAAGCAGAAGCCTCTCAACGAGCGCCGCAACGCACATGTGTCAGCACCGCTTGATTCAAGGAAGTCCGACTCCATACTGAAGCTAACTTAAGCACGTATCATCACCCAGCTCGGAAGCAAATAGCCGCGTTATCTCAACTGTGCCGGCTGACGTTCTTTTGCGGCGGCAATGCAAGCGCATTGAACTCTGAATCCTCATAGCTCTGGGCAGCTATGAACCTCCAAAACCTCCGAACCCTTCATGGCCTGTCTCCTTGCAGAGCCCTGCTGCAACGAGCAGCGCCGAGGCAGAAACGGCCAGCACCGGAGCCAGGGCAGCAAAACCCCGCTGCTCCTCCAACGTACACGGTCTACCGGCATGCAAATATCAAACTCGCGTAGCATATACACCCGGTATACACACATACGTTGCTTGACGGAGCCAAAGCTGCTCCCTAAGAAGTGACTGGTTGATCGCATGGACGAAAGAGCCAGCAGAATGAACAATGGGCTTGGCATGACAACAATATGGTTGCAGATTCCTTGACAAACTGCTACAGTGCATCTTGAATACCGTGAAAATCCTTGCGTGCGCAGAACCAGTGTACTCTTTGATAGCAGTCTTGCCCATTTTTGCGGAAGGACTCCGAACCACAGCTGCCTGTTTTTCAAGCAAGCTTCAACCACTGCCTGCTTCGAGCTCAGCCCCTCATGGCAGTCATGAGTGGAAACTCTGCCTCTCTTCTGCGGTATGAGAAATGAAGCCCTCAACACAATGTGGATCCTGGCTTGGCAGTGGCTAACCCCATCAGCCTAGTGACCTTGAAGGTAAGCCCTCAACATGATCTGGGGGCAAGAACAAGCGGCTAAGCGTCTCTGAGCTCCAAAATGTGCCCTTAGTCCCCAGAGCCCCCCAGAGCCTGAAAGCTAACAGCGTTGAATGAAACAGCAGGCTGAGCGGCTTTGATGCAGGGCGCGTAGATGAGGGCTGCCAACAGCACCAGCAGCAAGCAAAGGAGGTCAGCCCTGCCCACGATGTAGAGCACCTCAGAATTCATCCTTTCGATTCCGGACGAAGCCCAATCGCAGGCTTCTGGCCCTGCTTTCCAAGGGGCGCTCTCCGTGTGGATCGGATGTGCCAAGAACAGCGCTCCCAGCAGCACCGCCCAGTCTAGGCTGAGACCAGCATGCTGCCCAAACACGGCCAGGAGCACAGCACATGCCTTCGGAACATGAACATGTGATGTTGCGAGGGATCGGTCTATTTAGTATTTCTATTTGTTGCGATCCCGCACCCGCACGTGGTGGGCACATTGAGCGAAGGCATGTCTCCGCAGACCGTCGGCACACGTGCGCTGCATTGTGCTGCACAACACCCAACTGGATCCTGGTGACAAGGGGCCGCGTTCAGCAGAACATTTACGATGTGGAAGCCCGAGCCTCATCACCACAGCCGCCAAAGGTTGTCCACTGGCTTACGCTCGCAATCTGTGAGGAGCTAGCAAAAGGCGCATCACATGTACAGCTCTGGCAGAGTATGAGAGCAGGCTCTTGCATGTCTTACGACTGGACCTGTTCTTCCTTGTGGCATCTTTCTGACGCTTCATCTTGGCTGCTGCATCATGCCGCGCAGTGGCCGCTGAAATCGTGAATCGCATGATTCCAGCGGAAGGTCAGCACGGTCAGGGGTCGGAAGGACTTATGCGTCCAAGGTCCCTGTCAAAGAATTGGCTTTCAACCATCTTCAATTGCTGAAATCAGCACTTCACTAGCCTTCGACTCTGGCCTCAAACATGTCCAGGCCCCAGTAATCGGTCCGAAAGAGACGGCGCCAATTCAGCTCTTCATAGACGTTGGGGTTTTTCCTGGGATGGTGCATCTGCGACAGTAGCTTTGCGTTCAGCACCAAAATCACGGAGCATTGGGGTCTGAACTTTGCTCAGCTTGCGCCTGTGCTTCCGCCGAACACCATGGGCCGCAGGAAAATTGCAGGCCAGGCTTCTGAATCATGGCATCGTCCATGAAGAAGCCTTGCTTGCAGAAACTCGAGCACAGCAATCTCATTACACGGAACGCTTCTTGTGCCCCCCGGAAGCCTGCAACAAAGCTCCATAAAGCTCCTTTTCATGCCAGGGGCCACCCTGGAAGTCGTAGGTGAGGGCAGGAGCCCAGGACAAGGCGGCAGCCGCTGCCAAACAACTGGCAGCCAGCAGCAGCGGCTTGGAGAAGCTGGGGGCCTCAAGATAAAAGCCCCAAACCCTTTTGCAGCAGGCTTGCAGAATGTCCTCGCCTGGATGGAGCCGCCATGAGCCGCCATCCCAACATCTCGTGTGTCGGGCAATCGCCCCAAACCCTAAACCCTAAACCCTAAACCCTAAATCCTCTTTTCTGAGCCCCGGTGAAGCCCCGCGCGTGCCTCGGCACGCCGGCCAAGCTTCGCCAGCTCCCTCGCTCGCCGCCGAAGGCCTCCCAAACCGCAGATAGGATATAAAAATGCGAAACATATAGCAATGCAACAAGATATGAATAGATTACATCCAGCAATACGTAAAATTCTAGGATCTGATAGGATAGGCAAAGGTCCAAAGCCCTTCAAGGACAAGATTGCGTCGTGCAAGCGCAACACGTGGATTCGTGAAACTGCGACGCGCGGATTTGTGCAACTGGAGAACGCGGCCCGTGAACATGCCACAGCTGACGTTGGGTGAATAGTCCGTGCCTTTCTGGCGCACAAGTAGCATTCGCAACATGTCGCAACAGTGGTGGCAGTCGTTGAGATTATTCGGCACACCTGCGCTCCGCGGTCAAGCAGGTCGGGGCAACCACGTGAATTCAACCCAACCTTTACTGAACTTGGAACCCTGGCAAATAGCTGTTTCTTAGGAATTATTAGAGTGCCCAAACATTAAAACTTCCCCTAAGCAACCCCATGAGCGCTTGTTACCCTGAGCCTTCCACATCGATGGTGCCGGCAGCTTCATGCCAAAGCTCCGGAGAGGCCTTGTGGCGACGTATGCGCACATGGCGACAGAGAAAGCAGGGAGAGGGAGGGAGCGACAGAGAAGAGAGAGAATACAAACACAAAATCGATGCACTTAATTGTGCATATAATCCTATAAGTAAACCGTTTGGCCATGAACTTCGACATCCACCTATCTCTCTTGCTCTTGTGAGGACATGGCCTGATTCAGGCCGGCAATGAGCTCACCTCGGCAGATGTTCACAAACACAGCAAGAACACACATCCTTGGCCAGAGCTCATCCTGAGGCCGGGTTGTTTAAGTGCAGCTTGCACTCAGCTCGCGGCATAGCTCATCCAAGGTCTTGATGGCAGTCTTCTTATGCGCAGGCATATTGCGTGCAGCTCTCTTGCTAGGTATCTTCAGCCATGCCAGCTTGCAAGCTTTGACGCGCGTTCAGTGCAAACATTGCGTCAATATCGCTGACTTGGCAGATGCCGGTACAATATGCGCTGCCCAAGAGGCTTTGTCAAGATGAATGCTTGCCATGGGGTGCATCTGTGTGATGTAGAAGGCCATAGGAGGATGCCTATAAGCCCGCATGCATGATGTGCTCGCACATGGTTCTTGTTGTGGTAGCCACCGCAGCTCGGCGTGCTCGGCATGTGGGCATGGTGTGGGCATGGTATGGGGCAAAGACAGAGGATGGTTTACTCCTGTTGACTGGGAAGACAACATTGGAAGTAGCCCACTTCTCATGTGGGTACAGTCGAGCACTGGTCCAACCTGCACATTACACCCTGTCAGCGTAGGATATCGCAAGGCCTGCAAGAACTTGAAAGAAGCTCAGCTGCTGCTGTTTTGGCCGAAACTCAGGATCCTCGCTTGGGCCTGCGGCATGGTGCAGTGGCCAGGCGAGTCGGTACCGAGATGGGATGCTGCGCATCCAGGCTTGCCAACGCCGAGGCCGAGAGCCAAGTGCTGGAGCTGCTGGAGCTTGAGGTGCTCCCAGTGGGCACTGGACCATTCCCCGGCCCATCAAGCGTGGCATCAAGCGTGGCACGCGCGGCACCCGGTTTCCGGCTCCTGCGGCTGGCGCGACCTGGGCAGAGATGGTCAGAAGCCTCGCTACGATAAGCTGGCAGCAACTACCGGTAGCCCCTCCGCCCCCTCTTACAGTTTCTGCACACGGTCACGGTCCTTTTTTCTTTCTGATGGCTACCAGGCAGTTTTATTCGCGGGAGGCCAAACAGTGAAGGGCTCGTCTCCTAGAAACCGTGCATTTGCTTGGTGGTGCGGGCCGATCTCAAGGCCGACACCACCCGCAAGCGTCATCTTCACCCGTGCCCAAGGTGTGTACTCCAGCTTGTGGGAGCTATCTTCCTGGCCCTGACCATGGATAATTGGCCAGTTGTTCTTGACGCACTGGTTCAGAGGCGCCAGTTCCCTGGCTCTGGCCCAGAGCTGCTGGCTCAATGCCTTGTGGCCTCCCGTTTTGGCGGGAACCGCCGCTTCGCCTGCAATAGGGCTTCGATGTGAGCTCAAAACCCTGCAACTTGCAAGCAGCTGCCTCTGATGTTGTGGCTCTCCGGATATCAAGACGAGTTGCACATCAGGAGACCGGCCCCTGGCCCAGTCAGATTCAGCAGCGGCCTCTCACCAGCCTTGCCTTGCGAGAAGGCGGCTGGGCCAGCGCATGCGTGAAACAAAGGCAAGTTTTGAATGATGCCGTGCAAGGATGGCCCTGTTGGTACGGGGCTGTGTGTTCCGGCTGGCAGCTGTTGCCATTCAAAGCAGGCTGGAAGCACGAGCTCAAAACCAAATGACAAGTATGAAAGTTTATGCCGCTCAGCGCTTCAGAGCACAACTTCTGCTGAGTGGCAGACACTGGCCATCGCTCGCCGCTACAAAGTCTCCATGCTACATAATGCACGGGCACAACAACTCGACCTAACCTGACTGCCACGCCCGGCCTGCTCTTGACCTGCGCTCGACGAAAGATGTCGAGAACGTGGGGTCTTGGAGCGCCAAGTCGTAAAAGAGAATGACCTCTGTCAGCACTTTCACCTCAGGCACTGCCAATCATGACTTCTGTGTCGACTTCATCGTGGGTCTGGATGTCAATCTTATGTTCGTGAAGTCCTGTGCGGGGGGGGTGGGTAACTGCACGCCCAGCGGCGTTGTTCGGCAAGCTGCGGAGCGCCTTGTCATAATATGCCTTCGCCTCCTGTGGCCTGTTGGCATCCACATCCAAGAAGCGAGCCTGATAGAAATTGACGTAGCCTGCACTGCGCAGAGCAGGTTGGGAGTCTGGCACGGGCACATGGCATTGCATTGTTCTAAAGTCACAAAAGCTCTCCTGAGGTACTTCTGAGCTGACTCCGACTCCAAACTTCGAGCTTAGTGCGGTTTCGTCGAGGGGCCGTTGTCGGGAAAGACCTTCAGGGCCCATTTCCGCAGCTCGGCAGCCACCTACCCATCGACAGGAATGGGTGGAGCTCATGGGGGGAATGGTGCAACGGATCGCCTCAAATGGCTCAAACCCTGGACTCTGGACCCAGGGCCTTGGGCTTCTTTAGGCCATGATGAAAATGGGCCGCGGCTTCCATAAGTCTAGGCCCGCAGTGGCGGCCTGCCAGCACAGACTAGCTTCGCTCTCTCCTCGAAAACGTTGAGGGCAAACCTTTGGGTGCCTACAACCTACAACCTACATCCTGGAACCATACAAGAGGACTCGCCACCTTGGTTCTTCTCGCAGGTGTGGACGTAGTCCTTCCAAGTGTCCGCCTCTTCGAGCCAGATCTGCACATCTGAGGCGCGAGGTGCAGGATTTGCTTTCAGGGGATTCTTTCTCAGTTGAAAGACGGCATAATTTCCGTTCATGAACATCAGCTTGAAGAACCTCGATCGCGCATGCAGCTTCATGCACATCAGGTCTTCAGTTTTGTGCTTCTTGGAATTGCAATTCTTTCTCTTGTCATCCAGGTTGTAGGGAGTGAAGAAGCAGCGTGAGTACTCAAAGATCACAAGCTTGGCATGCAACTGCTCCATGGTCTTCGCAAAGGACTCCTCCGAGCCGCAGTTGTACAACTCATACGCCCGCTGCACTCGTTTGCGGAGGTTCTCCGACTCAAACTGTGGGTGAATGATCATGGGTACATGTGTGAATGCCCTCATGCTTCCTGCCAAGTTCATGGAGGCCAGCACAGGTGTTCCGGCAGGAACGACGTCGTTTATCCAGTCGTATAGATCTACCAAGTCCCCATCATTGGAGAACTTGTCTGCCATATGCTGGCAGATGCCTTCCTCCTCGGTGATACAAGGAAGCATGCTCGCCATCCAGAACATGTGCGCGAGCCATCCCAAGAAGAACAGGGACGTCAAGCCTTTCGGAAATGCATTTTGCAAAAACACCGGCGCAAGCCGTGGTCCCATCACAGCGGCTGCGAGCACCATCATGAGTGGTCCGAAAGCCACACGCAGCCGGTTCACCAAGCTTCCCAGGAGCAAGAAGAGCAGGAACTGCACTGCGAAGAAGAGCAAGGCAGCGTCCTCGGCCTCGACTTGCACAGGGGAGGCTGGCGGCACCTGATTCTTCGAGGCATTTCGACCACTGCCAGCTTTGGGCTCCTTCTTCTTCTTGGAAGCAACTTCCTTTTCACTTGCTGGAGGCTCATCTTCGATCTTGGCCTTTCCAGACATACCCACCCAGTGCGATGCACACCGAAGCGTGATGAGTAGCAAGGCACCAGCTGCAGCCGGAGCCGCAGTTGTCTTGATGTAAATCTCGGCGGATGACCACTCTAAGAGTTTGAACACACCCATGATGAGATATAGGTTCGCATTGAAGCTCGGCTCAGCACAAGCTGGAAGTTGACTGGCAGAGAGCTGCATACGCTGCGGCAGCATGTCATTGATTGCTGACACCTTTGTGCACAGTATCTCGTACACATGCGTGTCTGCGGTTGCAAACGGTGCCAAAGCCTTGCGCACCAGCAAGAACACAACGATCGCAATGAGGCCCTCCGCGACGTGCGCCAGCCTTCGACCCATCCACGCCAGCCAGCCACGGTGGACACGCGAGCGGCAGCAGCAGATGGAAGTTGACACTTTCAGCGCGACGAGCTGGAAAAAGAATGGAGACGTCAGCAAATAAGGGCTTCCGAAGTGTACTCCTACCGCCAGTGCCATCGACAAGCTGTAGATGTTTAGAATCTCCACAAGGGTTGGCCGGATGCTCTCGTAGCCACCAACGATGCACACAAAATAAAGCGCGGTGGCCTGCAAGAGCAGGAGGAAAGGACTGAATTGCCAAGACACGATGAAGGCAAACGTCGCCACCGTCAAGCCCACACGCAGGCTTCGGAGCATCCCATACCTGTAGGATGACAGGAGCGCGCGCCAGACCAGGTAGGACTGCACCCAAAGGAGTGGAATACCCCAGAGCTCTCTTAAGTCCGAGCTGGTATAGTTTCCCAAGCGGCTCGTCTGGAACCGGTTCAGAAAAGAAGCCAAGTAGCAGCCTACTGCAGCTAGAGGGCTTCCTGAAATCTCCACGGCCAGGAGACCTAGTGTCGCCTGGCCCAAACCATTTAACAGTATGATGTGCATCCGGAAGAAGTGGAAGGGATGAGGCAGCTCCAACCCTAAGTCCCGCAAAAACCGAAACTCGAGCGCCAGGAGGATCTCCTGGTAGATGTTGAACCGACGGATGGCATTCAGTGTGTCTGGGTACTCCGTCCGCCTGTCCCAAACAATTCGGCCCAACCCATCTGCAAAAGACTCACAGTCGACGAGTTCCTGGAAATACGAGTAGTAGAAGGCATTCTCCGTCTGCAGCGCAGCAACCGCAGCGAAATCTGTGGGCAGTCGGTTCAAGACGTTCAGATATACCGTGTTTTCATACACGTACAATGCACCTGTTACCACCGAGAGCACTGCTCCACACATCCACATGACCATCTTGGCCCGTTCTCCCATGGCTCTCGGAAAGCTGCACTAAGTCACTATGCTGTGTTCCAAACGCAGCTCATCACGCCACGTAGACTGACACATGCTTCTGAGGTATTCCCGCTGAGCGGGTCTAGGAGTCTAGGACAGTTTTGTGCAGCCCAAAACTTGCGCATGGAATGGAGTTCCATAAGGCCCAGCTTTTGGGAAGGCACAGCTCTTGGGAACAGAAAGAATCGTGTCTGGTGGGTTCAAGTCTCGGAAGAAGTTTCTTTGGTGATGCCCAACATTCAGGTGCACCAAGAAGGCCTGCTTGCTGAAGTCCAAAAGAGCACAAAACCAAGTGAGCACGAATAACACGGACAGCAGCCTGCCAAAAAAGCTTAGTGCAGAGGAAGCGCTCTGCGTTGGGAGGGCCATGCCACCAAATAGCGATGCGGCGGCAGTCTGAAAGTAGCAGCAGGCCACATGGCTTCACACCACGACTGAGCAAGCTCCAACGGAACATCTGCAGATTTCAGGGCCCGGCTTTTGACGCATCTTCTTCCGTGCTGAGTGAGAGCTGCCTTGGCAATTCAATCGCCCCAAAGCAGGGCTGTCAAGGCTGTCCGCACCTTTGTTTTCTGGACAATAGGTTGGATCCTACTCTAACTGCCTGCGAGGGCGCATGGTCTGGTTCTATTTTAGCGAAGCCACTTTGCCAGTAGCTCAATGCGGTGGTGGACGTCTTTCCTGCATGCTGGTGCAGTAAATCGCTCGCCATCTGTAGGCAAGGACCCGAGCCACGCAACCTTCAACACAACTAACTGCAAGTGAAAGTCCAGCTTCCCTCGCCCCCGAAAGCTCTCAAACAACGGCATCCGCGCATCCCACCCGCAACCCCCGCACGCGCGCCCACAAGCGTGCACGCACGCGCGCACACACACACACACGCATACACTCATACACTCATACACTCATACACTCATACACTCATACACTCATACACTCATACACTCATACACTCATACACTCATACACTCATACACTCATACACTCATACACTCATACACTCATACACTCATACACTCATACACTCATACACTCATACACTCATACATTCACACACACATACACACATACACACATGCACACATACACACATACACACATGCAAACACACATTGGGAGCCTGATCAGCAAGTCCAGACCGCAGGCCTTGCGGAGGGCACGCCTGGGTACAGGGTACAGGGCTGTCTGCTTGTAAGCTTCGGGTCTCAGGACGGGCTATGGTAGAAGCTGCTGAGTCGTGAGATGTGGGGTGGTTTTTGCACAGCGATGACAGCCAAGCAGGGCTTTGTTCCTCCAAAACTGATAACGAGCAGGCGAGCAGGTGTCATCCTGGAGAAAGGCCTGACCGGAAAACCTGGTCGAAAAGCGCAGAGGACCCATCAGCAGACACATGGGACCAGTTCGGACAACACAGGGACCCTGACCGGCAAAACCACGGGATCAGCGAATCTGCAGTGCCTTTTTCCAAACACTGAACACTTAACACGATAACCGTAAAAGTAAACTCTTAACCCCTAAACCCCTCACCCGAAAACCCAAACCCACCATGTTTCGGGACCCCTTTTTTTCTGCCCCCGGCTTCTCGGATCAGGTTATCTGATGATAGGTCCCTGTGTGTTTCTGATGCGGGCTTCACTGGTGGCAGCCTCGGGGTAAGTATTGTATTCCGGTATTCCTGGCTTCTGGCTCGCCATCTTTCAGCTCAGGCACTTCGCATCTGGCTCGGCCTGCCAAGCCCCGCAGATGATGGCACCCAGCGGCCAGCCTTTGTCGGATTGACACATGAACACATGGTTCCTTGGAAGAAACACCAAACAAAAAAATCGCGGCGCCTCCATCCAAGGCCAGCTGCAGCAGATCACCAAGAAGCGCCCGGGAAGTGCTCGCAAACTCTTCCTGACAAATCAACCACAAGCTCTCGCAGCTTTGGGGAAACGGCGCATCCCTGTGCCACATGCAAAAGAGCATTGAAGCCTATCCTCGTCTGCCACCAGATTCATGATGATGACAGAGATGACATGCGGCACCAAGTGTCTGAAGGCATCCAACGCATAATCCTGAACATGCACTCATCACAGCACCACAAGGTGCGCAGGTGCGAGAGTGAAACTTGGCACATGCCCCATTTGGCCACGATCGCGCAAAGCAGCTTTGCAACTTACTATGGGCCTGGGGCAGGTTCTGCACCAGAGCCAAGACTCCTCCATCAGTACAGGCGGTGCACGTGCATCAGGCATCAGGGATGCACTGCATCAGGGATGCACTGATGTCACATCCTCTGAGAGCCGAAGGTCCGGAACTGCACGCTTCAGGCCGTGCAGAGAAACCCCCCCCCTCCCCCCCCCTCTCCCTCCCCCCCCCCCTCCCCCCCCCCCCCCCCCCTCCCCCCCCCCCCCCCCCCCCCCCCCCCCCCCCCAACCCTCCCCCCCCACCCCCCCACCCCCCCCCACTCAGCTCAAGAGACTTGAACTCGGCAAAGTCCTTCCCATGCTTCGAGAACTCCAAGCTTCAGCTCGCGGTCGCCTCCGCACGCATGTCCTCCGAGAGTAGGGAACATCACAAAATAGCGGCTGAAAGCAACTCCAATCCCACAGCGCGTTTGCCCTACAACTTTCAGGCGGCACACCTTCTTGAATGGATGTGAAAGCAGTGAAAGTGCCCCAAATTCGGCCAAGAGACGTCCAGCCGAAATGATCAGACCACAGGTGGGAGGTAGCGGCCTCAGATCACTTCATGATCATAGGATCATAGGCATGCTCTCCAGCTGTCACCGCTTGCAGGGTGCTGTCTGCGCCATCGAGGCTGTGACCTTCTCCCAGCAGGTCATGGAGTTCCTGAATTTCAACAGAAGCTCGCAAGTGTACACATGTCCGTGACAGCAGAGCCCGGCCATTGAATCAGACCCAAAATCTTCAAAGCTCCAGCAACCTCCCAACAGCGCTCCTTGGCGCCGCATCCAAGGTGCAACGCGGGCCGTCTCCCAGAAGCTCAGCAGCCGCCGGGCGCAAGGGGATTCTGCCAGGGGTTGGGCTTCCCAGGCAGGTCCCTAGAGCACAAAACCTTGACGTTTTAAACGTGAATCGGCTCAAGTGCTCCACGCTGTCCGATTCTTCACTTGCAAGGCACTCGCCACAAGCAAGGACAGGGATCAACACAAAAGACAATTGCAAAAGCAGCCTCCGGTCTACAACTTGCTGCGAGATTTGTGATGCGTAGAGATTCAATACTTCAAGCAGCCGCCTCGACAGCACTGGAAGTGGAAAGCCGCTTTGTGCTCCCACATCAAGCTGGGCTGGAGAAGCGCGAACATGGCACCGAGCATAAAAACAGCAGAAAACGCGCTCAACTTCAGGGTGGCGGGCAAGCAAGTCTCCTATTTGGGCAACTTCGCCGCCCAGAAGCCCAATGCTAGATTTCGACTGCAAAAACTTGAGACCAGAATCATTTTAGATGATCTGTGCGTGGTTTGGAAACATGCTCTTCTTCAATTCCAGCCAATGTAACCCACAGACACTGAAGGTCTTGGACGCTGCACAGTGAGTGAAGTGAAGGCTGCACCGAGAGTTAGGACATTGGCTAGAAAGGCTCACTGCCCAGTCTCATTCTCAACCTAAATCCAAAATTTAACAAAGCACGTCCGCCCAGAATTCCCTGCGCCAGAAGACTCTTCAACCAGGGAGTCAGGTCGGAAGCAGGACAGAGGCTCGATCCAGGACTGCGCCGCACGCCTGGCTCCCAAAGCATGCAGGTCTTGCCAAAGCTTCGATCAAGGTTTTAGAGCTACGTAAAACCTTTGAGGGCCAGGCGTACGTGCTGCTCTGGGCTGTTGGGGCATCTCAAAAACCAAGGCGACTAAGGCGACGGAGGGCCTTTGCCCCTCTAAATATCCCCAGGACTCTGCCCTGAGATCCACTGTGGGCTTGCTGCGCCCGAGAAAGCTGCTGCGATTGGATTCCTGGGGCCGATGCAGCCGCAAGCTCAATGTCATCCTGGAGGCCACAGTGCACGCAGCGCGTACTTAACTTCCCATCGGCCAAGTAAATCTCTAACGATTTCCTGGCACAAATTAAACAAATGAAGCAAGAACACTTCAAAAAGTAACACAGCGAAGATGACATAGCGGCCAGAACCGCAGAGGGCAGGCTCAACTAACAGCTGTCATGGAATGTCCTTTCTGGCATAGAGCATCTTGAAGCTTTTGCCGGCATGGCACCACACCTCGGGGCAGAGGACTATCTACGTAACTGTAACTCGTAAGTCTGAGTCTGAGTGTCGGCACAGGACTCGGATTAATAGCTCCGGAAGAATGGTCACCAGACTGCCAAAAGTCCTGCGACATCTGCGAGAACTCCCCCGAACGCACTGCATCACACACCCCTGATATCCCTGATCAACCCAGGTCCTTAGGCACACCACGTCGGCTGTGCAAAGCACGGTTTTCCTCTGGATGGCAATCACTCCCAGCCTTGAGGAAGCAGAAAAAACCTCATCCCTCCCTCCAATCACAGGAACCCAGGTCCTCATATGGGGTTTGCAATATTCTATATACCTGATTTGACTCCGTAGTACAAGGCAAGCCCTACTATTTGGGGGGTTTTTATTCAGGTTCCCTGCTTATCGTAAAGCCACATATAGGAATACCGTCTAGTAAATTGGGGGTCTACATACTTGGGGTGTGCATTGAGACCACGTGCTGTCAAGATTCAAGCTGGCGGAGATGCTCGAGCCTTGACTGTCGTCACACACGTCACACTGGCACGGTGCAGTTTACATTATCTACGATTGGCTTAGGATTAATTTCTTTTGAAGGGGTGGGGGTGGGGGTTCTTAAGCAATTGTTATTTATTGTTGCTACATTCGAGCAACTCCAATGCAGACGGTTTCTGCGTCTGGTGTGCGGACGCAGGTCTGAAGATGGCAAGGTGCTCCCTTTGAAGTTGCCACCGCGCGCCAGCCAGGCCCATCACTGCGGCTTCAAGCACGAGAACCTAAGTTGAGGGCCCATCGTCAAACACATGTGACGCGTACTCTGTGCCAATCTTATATTTTGGCCACGACAACCCTGAACCCTGCCCGAGTCCTTCTCTCAACCCTGAGACGCCAGGGCACTGCGAGACGCAGCACGGGGCCATCACTCAGCTGCGGGAGCAGGGCCGACGCCTCACACCTGGGTTTGAGGGATGACTTTGTGTTGTTGGTTGTCACCTGCCTACAGTAGTTGGGGCAGCTCTGGAGGGATGTGTGCTTTCGTGGTAGCTACACTTCCCCTAACTGATCCTGCCCCAAGTCGGGACATGTGTGCTTGACCATGCGGGGGTTGTTGCGTCTGCTCGCTCTGCGTGTGTCAACAAAGAAAGGTAGAGTCAGAGCCGCACACTCTGTGAAGTTACAAGGTGCACATCGGCTCTCGTTCCAACTACTGCGAGGATGACTAACGATTACCATCGGGTTCGTCTCCGAGCAAAGGCTCCGGAGCGCGAGGGCACAAGGCGGGGCAAAGCCCCACCATGCCTCCCCACGGTGGAGGCTGTGCTTGACGGTTGCCATGGTACTGGAAAGTGTGCTAAATGTGATAACACATCCTCGAATCGCAGGTGTCAACTTGCAGAATATTCCGCCACCCCCCCCCCCCCCTCCCCAGGACTTCTATAAACCTCTGGAGCTGACCAAGGCCTTCCCGGAACCCTTGGCATGCGAGGGAGTCATGCTTGTGGCCGAGGGGCGCCAGGTCGGCCACTTGCTGTCCAAACTGCCCCCTCACCAGGCTCAGAGCTGGCCTCGCATGCAACGAACAGGCCGCATTCGTGTTCATGCTCTTTGCTCTTTGGTGTGTTCCCCACCCTCGGTGTGGGGTTGCTAGATTTTACACTCAACTCTTCTCCTCGCCCGGAACTCCGGAACTCTTCTGTTCGCCCGGTCTACTCCTCGCTCATGCCTGGAGTGCCCAAGCCCAGAGTGTCCTTGGAGTGCTCAACCCCAAGTGCCCAACTCTGGCGTGGCCAACCCCAGCCCAACTCCCCGGAGTACCCAGCCCCAACCCCAGAGTCTCCCTGGAGTGCCCAACCCCAGAGTGTGCCCGGAGTCCCTGGAGTGCCCAACCCCAGCATGTCCCCGGAGTGCCCAGCCCCAGAGTATCTCTACCAAGAGAGGGTGGGGATGTTCGAAGTAAAATAATTATTTGATGCTCTTTGCTGTTCTTTGTTGCTCTTTGCTGCTCTTTGTTGCTCTTTGTTGCTCTTTGTTGCGCTTGTTCTTCTGTTCTTGCGGTTGCTGTTGCACAACGGCACAACAACACAAATGCAGCAACTGCGCCGGGGTGCTGCTGGCTTGGGACCAAGAGGTGCTCCAACCAGTACTGCGACAGGGTCTCAACAGCCTCGTCTGAGTCACAGACTGCTGTGAGTTTGAAGGAGATGATCAAAGGGATCGGGATGCGAACCGATGCGGAGCGAACATACAAGAGCGACCAAACGTGACAAGAGCCCTTGCCCCAAGGTGCCCCAGGGCCGTTCGACAGTAGCAGCTGCTGCTTCAAAGCCCGGAACTGGACTTGCTGACTGGCAGACAACCCTAGAACCCTAAACCCTTTTGCATGCGGGCTTGGGCAGTCGGCCGGGGATAATCCAAGGTGCCTGTTGCAAAACCTCGAGGAGCGTACAATAGCCCGTGTTGAGGACTGGCTCTTGGGACAGGAGCGCCAACAATGCCTTGGACAGCTCCTGGGTGGCCCGGTTACCCGGTTTAGTTTCGGGTTTTGGGGTTTGGGGTTTTTCTCCACGGGGCAACTGAAGAGGGAATGCTGGGTTTGGGGTTTGGGGTTTAGGGTTTAGGGTTTGTGGCTTGGTTGCCTGCAGCCGGCCTTGAACGCCAGCTGGATGCCCACATCCTGCACGGTCTGGGCTTCCCGGGTCATGGCTGTAGTGAAAAGCGACAGGAGCTGCAATAGCGAGCCGGTGTCTTCGCCTGGGCACACAACCACTACAGGATGTACGAGTACCGACCAAGGCTAGGGGACATGAAACACCGAGCCAGGCATGAATTCTCCGTGTACAGCTAAGCTCCTTGCACTCCCTGGCAGCTCTTAGACGCGCCAGCAAAAAGTCCAGGGTCTCTCTTCGAACCACGCCGGCCTGTGCATCGAGCAGTGCAGGATGAGTTATGCGTGTGCTTGTGGCTGCCCATGTCCAGTTCCGATAGGTGTGTGCCTCCAGCTCCTCAAACATCTCGCCTCAAGGATTCGGTTTGGCATTTGCCGTCTTGCCTTAAGGGCTTGAGGCGGCTGAGGTGTCTACCTTCACATCTTCTGCGTCCTTCTGGGAAGAGACGCGAGATCGCATCCCTCAGGAGCACGGACACCTGCAGCTGCTCTGCGCGAATCGAATCGCTCTGCTTTTTTCGGAGCTGAGCCTCGGGGCATCTGCTAGACACAGGCTTCTTGCAAAGGGGACATTCTCGCCGCCGGAACTGTGCTGCGGAGGAGTGCAGGTAGGACTCGTAGCAAGCCTCCATAACAAGGCAAAGTCATGCAAAATCCAAGAATATCCAAGGATCCAGATCTAATGAGTCACGAAGCAGCGTGTGGTCAGAACCACTCACGCCTTGTCAAAGGAATGTCCACAAGGCGTTGTCACGGGGTCCACCAAGGGTGCGGAGAGGCAAATGGCACAGGCGAAGTCCTGCAGAGACTGTCAATCTTTGCACCAACAATGCCTGCAAAGCGAAGCTCATGGGGGCACCTCTGCACTGGCCGCTGCTGCTTTGCAGGGCTGGGTCCTCGGAAGTCAGAACTGGGGTATGTAGGCCTAGTGAGAAAATCTCCGGGTTCTGGTGAAAGAGGTGTTCCCATTCTTAGGGCAGGACGACATCTGCCAACTTAGTATGCCAGCACGCCGACGAGCATCGGAAGGCGTCGCGGCCAATGGCTTCTATCTACTTCTACACTCGAGGATCTGAGGATGACTGGCTTGCAGCTGTTAGGATTGAAGGCTGTTGGTTCTCAGCATGCTCGTGCTTGGCTGAAGTAGTCCATTGCAGTGGGAGCGAAACAGCCAAACCTGAAACTGAATTCTGAGAAGCAAGAACAATCATTCGGCAGAGGACACATCACCTTGGCAGCGATATGCAGGCTCGCAATGCTCGCGCGGCTTGTATTAAGTGGGATGCCAAGTCTCACGGTCTGCCTTTATCTGTACACCTTCGTACACACTGGAGTGGATTGCAAAAAATTGCGGCGTTTAGCCCCGCCAGGCTGCCACAGGGCGACCAGGCTCCCCGTCATAGTGCTTCATAGTGCACCCATGGAGGGTGACATGATAGCATATGCCTCTAGGATAAGCAGACTGATTCACAAGAAACCATAAAGCATAGAATCATTTTGATACTATTCAGCATAAAATCCCGTTGTTACATAGACGAACATTGCAATCATGACCAACGCCAAGTAGCAGTCCAGCGAAGCAAGTGCCGTGCTTGCCCGAAACTGTTCAAGAAACAACGGCGGAGCTAAGGCGACTGTTCAAAAATCTGCACCCCATTGGGTCATATAAGTCATATGTGCACTGCTCGCACTGGCACAGGCAGGCGAGACATTATAGACGCTACTCTACCAACCCACCCGATGGCTTCGTGCTCGTAGGGCTTAGGGGTTCCAAACCCTCAGTCGCGGTGCGACCGCCTTCAGCACGCGCGTCGAGATTCAGCATGCAGGAAGGGAATTGCACAGAACCCTAAGCCCAAAAACCCTAACCCCTAAACACTAAGCCCTAAAACCTTTGCCCTACTGTGCTCTTACCGGCATGCCTGCCAAATCCCTTCCGGCAGACTGCTGTGCACTGCTTGGCGTCCTAGACTACTGCGAGCTTCATGGAGCACGATTGCATCAGCTCCTTCGGTGCCGAAGGAACAGCAGCCTTACTTCTTCATTCGCTCCCGTCGTACTCGCGCCGCTCGCCACGATGCAAAATCCTCGGAAAGCTCCTTGGCCACATCCACACTTGAGGGGAGCCCCGGACGAAAGCGAGCAGGCACACGCGAGGAGGCAGTCCCGGCCCCGTTTTGCCTTCTTCGCCAGCTTCTGCCAGCTTCGTTCTCTCTCTCTCTCTCTCTCTCTCCATCTCGCCCTCCCCCCGTACAAGTCCCAGGAAGATTGCCTCAGTCTGCTCCACACCCTCCCATGCAGACAAAGGGGCCACCTCCAGTTTCCGGGAGGCGTAGGCGCAAGTTTGGCGGCACGCCTCCTTCGCGGCTGCCCGGAGCACCTCGCGCTTACGGTGTTTAGTTTAGCAAACTTTAAGAATTACTTAGTTGTCCAGAAACCTGGGGGGATTAAAGGTTAACCTTTGGGATTATAAGGGAGTATACTCCCCAAAAAAGGTAAAAGGTTACCGACTCTACCACTGTTACTAGGATTTGGGCTTTATCAGGGCTTAGGCGTGGTTGGATGGTATGGCTTACTTCGGGCGCTCGCTTAGCAAGGCGATCATCGACGTTGGCTCGGGTGACCGGCTACGACATAAACAACTTCAAGGTGGAGACGCCTGCCAATCACAGTCCTGCCCTACTTCCTGCCTCCTCTGGCAATGTAATTCCTGCCACGCTCGGCACCTCACCCTGCACTTCGATGGACACCCAGCCCACTGCTTGGGACCTCGAGCACAGGCAGCATGTGACGTGACATGAATCATCACCGCGACCATAAGCAGTAGCACCACGTCTGCGCAACATACGAGCACATCAGGAACATGGCGTTGGGTGTTGGCTACAATGGTCTTTCATGTGGGGCCTGACCGCTGGCCAAGCTAGGAGCCAGATGCACGTTTTGCCAAGCTTCCGATCACCGTGCTTCGTTGATAAAGACATCGACCCCCTCACTTTAAGTCGACAATTTGCGACACAGCAAAATGTAAATGCAAGGTTCTGTGCAAGGAAATCGCTTGCACAGTGCTTCACGCCATAAGCAACTCTATGCTGCTCACGGTGGTACAAAACAACACTAACTCGCCCTTGCATATAACACTTTTAGAGCTGGAGTCGTCACAGCCTCCGAGCCTCCGTTCCGAAATCGCGTCCTCCTCGATGCTCAGTGCTCCGGTGACGTTTAGTGAGAACATAGGCAGCCCGATCTCCTGGCAGGAGGGGAGAACATAGGAAGACGAAACAATGTTGCCAGCCGCACTGCGTGTCCACGTGTCCACGTGTTTCCTGCCATTGCTGCATGTACCGCAATATGGACTCGTCCCTCATGCTTTGTAGAGTTAACGAGTGGACCCTTGCCAGCATACTGAGCCGCTTGCTGCTCCGGTGGCAAACCGAATGCTGGCACGAGGGTTGCCGAAGGTTCCGATGTCTAAATACCTGCATGTCAACGGGGAAATCGACGAATCCGACACTGCGATATTACTTCGTCAACTGCCTAGTTATTTCGCCGAGCAACTTATCCGCATCAGGCCCATCCAGGTTCCGAATGGCACCAAAAAGGTTGATGGACGACGTGGCTTTGCCAAGCCTTTCGTAAACCAAGGTTTGCAACATCCGATTGCCAGGTTGCGCACTGAGACGCACTGAGTTTGGCACCGGTAGCTCTGCAACATGAATTGTTGTCTAAATCAACAAAACTTATCCTAGCGACTGCCCCAATCATGTTAACCAGCCAAGGGGCCCCATTAAGTCCAATGTGGGCAACGAAAACTCGTAGACTTGCATGTCTGGCGCGTTTGCTTCCAAGTCCTTGGTTGAGCAGCTATGGACTTTCTTTCCCCCAAGAAGGGTGAACCTTAAGAGAACCACCCCCACCCTTCTACCCCCCCCCCCCCCCCCCCCCCCAAGAAAGGGTAACTCCACAGCATTTTGGGAAACCCTCATGTACACCCCCAGGCCTTGGCCCGCTGAATGCTGGAAAATGCCGGTTTTCCAGCCTGGACCAAGCGGTCGACACTGTTGTCCTCGCAGCTTACGTCCCACCAGCAGGGTTTAGCGTTTAGGGTTGAGGGTTTACGGGGGGGTGGGGGGGGGGGGGGGAGGTCCCGCTAGCAACGAGAGAGAACATTCATCGGTAACTGTTAACTTGTTTTTCACGGCAACCATTCAAATCTGTGTTTAACAGGTAAGATGAAGTTCGCCAAGGAGCTCCCGGCCCATCTCCATAAAGCCACTGTTTGGCAAGGTCGGGCGGGCCTCAGAAACTTCAACCGGTCTTGAGCTAGGGCATGTGCTGCAAGCGCAGACAAGGTGGAGACGTCAACGAGACATGGCCAAGCCACCACCCAAACTGACGCGGAAGGGGGTTCTGGCCCCGAACTTTGCTGCCGAGCCTCGCCATGCAGCACGCACAGCCATGCAGCATATTTTTAAGAGATACAATATGTGGAATGAATCACGCGATGATTTTTGCAAATTTGTGATGGGGCAGGAATCTGCATAAAAGGTGCCTATAGAACGTTTCACCTGTACCCTAAAGGGGACGCCTTCGGGCGATCAGGTCTCGACTCGACTCTTAAGAGGAATATTTCTTCTGAGAATGTTGCGACGAATAGCTTGGGGGTGGCCTTGGATGTCAATCCACTCATCGGTGAATGTGCCAGTGCCCTGTGCCGTTCTTGTCGGCGCGGCTTGATGAACGGGAGCGTGGACACCTCAAGCATTTTCAGCGCAACCACCTGTCCGGGCTCCGACAACACCAGTTCAGGCACCATGGAGACATGACGCAGTTGCCGTCCCAGAGGCTGCTTCGACTGCGTCTCTGGCCGCCGAACACAGGCCCGCTGCCCACACTGCAAGGCCACAGTCAAGCAAAAGCTGTCGACAATGGATCCACATTGATGGCATAGCCTATCAAATGCTCTGCCAAGCAGCAAGGATCGGAGTCGCCAACTGGAAACAGCCAGCAACAGCCACACAGGCAACGAGCGCCGCATCCCGGAGCGGCATGGAAAGTGTGCCATGGTGCCAAAAACAATATCTTTGGTTTGTGGGCCTTACATCTGGACATGTCGCATCAGCAGTTGTTTTTATCAGTTCGTGGATAAGCAACCACAAAACACTCCATTCGAAAATGGCTGAATTGCTTTACTTACTTTACTGACACATATAGCCATATAGGGCCACAACAGGAAAGTCCTTCACAGCGTGAGAAAAAAGTGCCACCACATATTGTGTCTCCGGGTACTGTTGATGCACGCCTGCCATCCAGTAGCAAAACCCCGCAAGACCCTGTTAAAGCAGTCAGAAAAGCTGCGCAGGCATAAACAAGGCTGTGGGCAAGGTCTCCGGGGAGCGATACCTCATGCTTTTGGAGCCTTGGACGGCTGCCCGCCTCAAAGGCAAGAAATACGACGTATGAATGAAACACACTGCCGAAGCGACCACTTCAATTCTTCACAATTACTTTCTGCCTGATAGGACGCACTGCAGCGGAGCAAAACTTAAAGGTTCGTAAACTGCGATGCATGGCTGCGGTGCCGTCCTCACAAGTTGAAGAAGCAGCTCACTGTAACAGGTTTTGTGGCAACACAAATGGGCTGTATCTTCCCCACTCAATCACTACGCCACGCATGTAGCTCACTTCCATGTACCTTAGCGTCTGTTTGTTACAAGTGCGCTTGTCGATATATTCTAAACTTCAGAAAGACTGTCGGAACGCGTAGACCCTGATCTAAACAGGTGTTTTGGAAAACAACTCGGCGTTCGCCTCTCAGTCCTGCTGGCGGCTCGACTCAGGAATGTGCTCAAAGGCGCTGGACAAAATGAAAAACTAAAGTGTCAGATTGTACTAAGGTAAGCTCACGCATCTGCCACCTAGGGGCATAAAGGGCAGCCATTGCACTTTCCGTGCTTGTCACAAGTAGTTGTCGTCCGAAAGGGTGCAAATCTACGGGCTTTGAAAGCTGAAGATGAAGCGGAGCTATGACGATCCACAGCCATGTGCCACTGCCTTCCAGAAAATGGAAGCGGAAGCGGAGACCCCTTTCGAAGGAAGCGGCTGCCGCGTTCACCTCCTCCCATGTGTAACCTACGCTGCTTTAAGTTGATGAAAGCCTGGTCGCATGCAAGAGCAAACAAAAACACAAAAATCACAGTATATGATGAGCTGTCCAGGAACTGCTTCGCATCGTCTGAGGGTCGACTGGCACTAAATACAGCCCGGCCAGGCGCGCACGATCCCCTGCATGTTGTTGTGGAAGAAGCATCATTGAGGGCGTGGCCGCGAATATTGCACTTGGGAAATGTTTGCATTCCATCGCTTCCTTGGAATTGCAGTCCCCGTAGCCGCAATCCCTGCCAAGCCTGATGCCCATAACACATGCGACGATGTAAACGCATGCCGTGTTCAGAATGGTCTCAACGAGAAGCCTTCTGTAGGGCGACTCACACCGCCACCCTTTCAAGATCCCGCCAGCGAAATCACACGCGATGATCTCGTCGCACTCCCACTTCGACAGCCCACCGAACGCATGCCGGATCAGCCGATAACAATCGTCATCCGAAGCATGCTTTGATGAACGATGGTGCAGAAGCTTGGGGTTGCCACGTTTGTCGAACTCAAGTCTCAGCAACTGAACTGTGCTGTCCGCTTGGTCCACCAAGTCCTCAATACATCGGACGAGCCATATGTCATGACAACTAAACGCATGTTTGTGCAACTCCCCAATCCAATACTCTTCGCCATAATGAAAGAAGAGCTCAGTTCCTGGTCCAATGTCTGTTGCAGCAACGGCTACAAAGGCTCCGCATCGTTCCACCAAATAAACATTGCATTTCGCCGACGATTCCTGGTATTCCAAAAGTGCTTTCTGGAGATCTGCTTTGGACCTGAGCACGCTGGATGGAATGTTTGCTGCGTCATTTCTGAGTTGAGCGACACCACGACTGCTGTCTGTTACACGAGGATCTCCAGCTATTCCACCAAAATTATAGCTGGAGAAGTTTCCGTACTCGTCATCGTACCAGCCCATGTACTGACTTAAGATGCTACCTCTGCAAACAGCGGTAGCACCAGTGAACACGCCGCGGCCGGCCCCACGAATTGAAGACGGCTTCACAACTAAGTCTCGACGGTTTAAGGAAGGCACGTGAGGCACCCGAATCTCGTCCGGCCGGGATTTATAGGAATGCTGCGTGGACAGGGTGTGGTGATACATTGTACTCTCATAGAAAGACATAGGAAAATGTAGGACCGCCTCATCTGCCAAAAGAGGGGTCGGAACCGGTGTTGCGTACCAGCAGGGGATCTGGTCTTCCGTCACCCTCAACGGTGCATAACGGTGCAAATGGGACCATGTTGTGAGGTTGAAGTTGAACTCCTGTCGAAGCACCTTCGAATTTGACTGGGAAGCGAAACGTGGCAGGATTCATGTCCCCGATAATTCGGCCGAGTTTGCCATTGTACTCCTGCCTCAACATTCCCACAGCCATGAATGGATCGCCCACAGTCCATTGCCAACGCGTTGTGTCAGAGATGGAACCATGAAAGATGATGTCGGACAGCATACTTGTCACATCTTGCACGCCTGCTTGAACCGCAATGTTCGTTTGGTTCGAACATATTCAAAAAATTTTTCAACCTCGGCAAGCGATGTCCACAGGCAGCGGCATAACGCATAGGCCTCAAGGCATGTGGCAGACCGCAAAAATTGCGGAACAACGGCAACAACGCAAGCGCCTGGGAGAGGGCGAGGACAGTGCACAGGGCTGTGGACAACTAGCTGGACACGTACGGCTGCATCAGCGGCCGCGGCGATCCACCGGCATTGCACAACACCCCACTGCCAGTGAACCAGGAAAGCAGCGGCGCCGACGGGAAGTGCAGCAGACGATCGCGCCCAACCAAACTCACCACCAAACCCCCACCGTCGAAGCGGGGTGTTGAAGGTTGGGGGGGGGGGGGACTGCAAGCCCAGCAAGCTGGCTGCAAAGGAACCCCGCCCACCTGCGACGGGGCGGCACGCGCGCGCCCGTGCCCGCGCGAGCAACCGGATGAAGGCGGCAGCAACGACCACCAACCTCCAGACCAGGGCGTGCCTCCGCTGCGCCGGCATCCCACAATCCGGTCGAATAAATTGAGTGGCAAGACCAGCAACGCGCTAACTCTGCAGCCACATGCGTGCGGTGCCGGCGGTAGGGCAGGAAAAGCACGGGAAGCTGGTCCGGCCCGGCCAGCAGAAGCGGAGTTCGGGCCCCAGAAAGGGTAGCATGCACGCCAAGGTCAGGTTCATGCTAACCATGCGCGCAGCGCCGCCCTGGCACGCTCTCCTCTCAAATCGAAACTTTAGAAGGGGTTTCATGTGAACGGTTTTTAATACAGATGCTTGCAACCTTCCACACGCCCCAAGAACATGCCAAACACCATGTAAACGAAGCGGAACGATGCATCTATGACATCACGCATGCTTCAACATGCGCGAAACGTGTACAACACCATCTGAACGCAGCGAAATGTTGCATCTATGACATCCTCAACAGCAACGCTAAACAGCAACTACGCGCCACAGCCGAAAATCGCATGCCGTGTTGATACTCGAGCCGCCCACTCCCGAAAAGCGCGCACGGAACGTTGATTTGGGAGCCGCCCACATCCGAAAATCGAAACATGCCCGTATGAAGACCGACTGCGGTCACGCCTTGTAGGGATGTTATATGTACAGCCGTTGGCCTGGTCACATCAAACCGCGCACGCCATGCAGCTCTTGCTCTAAAGCTTGGTACCGGGACGGGGCCAAACAAAACAGATGCAGACAGTGCGCGGCGAAGGTGCGCCGGAGTGGACGGCGGGGTCGAGGTCCTCCCAACAAATGCAGCTGCCGTACGATGCACCGACAGGGGCCTGCCGGGCAGGCGCACGGAACCGGCAGTGAGGCAGCTGGCGCATCAAATGAAGCCAGCACAGTGAGTATCAAACAAGAATCGCCAACCGGACAACCGAGATGGCCGCAGCACCAGCTCCACGAAAACGACATAACTGTGGAAGTCCATATCCTGCAGCAGATAGCCGCGATGCAGCCAGTCATCGTGGCTACTGCCTACTGCCAGTGACAGAGAACATTGCCGCTGGCTGACAGTGAAGCTCCTGGGCCTCTGGTGTAGGCTCTGCAGCGCCAGCTTGATTGCCCTCAGCTCAGCTCCCTGCAGCAGCATTGCGTCTTTTCTTTTTTTTCTCCACACGCTCTTTTACTCCTGCCCACTTTGTGTCCGGTCAGTGGGGGGGTCCTACGGAGCCTACGAGGCCCTACGACTACGACAGGTGTCGCAGCGGCAGGCGGCTCGGCCCCTCGGCCTCTGCGAGGTCGAGAACGCGGTCGAGCGGCGGACCCGCAACGCTGGTGGCCTGCGGCGGTTGGGGCCATGGCTGCCCAAGGGCAGTGCTTGCGACTGCCTGCTGCACTGCGACAGACAGCATGCCCCACCAGTGACGCGTCCAGCCGGAAGACGCGGCGGCGCACAGGGCTGGCGGCGCAGTGTAGGACCGCAGTCGGACCAGGTCTCGCACCAGTTGCTGGGCGTCGCTGTTGAAGCGCCCTCCGACCTCGCTGCCAAGCACCAGGAGCTTCTGCGGCCCTTGGCGCCGGAGCTCCGGGTAGGTGGCCGCCTTGCGTCGCTCCGCTGCCCGCAGGGCGGCGCCGTCGACGTCGGCCGTGCATGGCTGTGGTTGCCCCGTGCGTGTAAGTGGCGATACCAGCGTCGCATCGCAGCATAGCGCGGATCAGTTAGGCGTCGCCCCGTAGATGACCACGTCTAGGCGGCGTCTGTCCTCCGTGCGCACTCCGGGCGCCGTGGTGTGCACGAGCCATTGTTGTGGAACCACCTGCCCTTCGGCACCGACGGCTTCGCGCGCGACGCGGACCCACGCACGCTCGACGACCTTGGCGCGTCGGGCGAGCAGGCCGGTTCGCGGGCAAGCGAGCGCGTGGTCGCCGAGGCGGTCGACTTGCGCCCCACAGCCGGGCGCCGGGCCGCATCTGCCGTGGCAGAGGGGGAGTGGCATGCGCAGGCGTCGGCGGAGCGCGAGTTGCATGGCCTGGGGCGCAAGCGTCGTGGCTGGCTCGGCTGGTATGGCAGTGAGCCAGGACCCTGCATGAGGCCCGATTGGGACCGCACCAGCGCCCGGGCGTCCGGCAGCATAGCCGGCAGCATCATACTATCGCGGAAATGTTGGTTGCGAGTGCGCGACGCATGAAACTGCCAGCCATGTGGCCAGTCTCCCGGGCCGGTGTTCCGGCGGGGCCGGGCGGGCTCCTTGGAGGATCTCTCGCCAGCCTGGGCAGGCTTCCCAGCCTTCGGCTCATAAAAGCTCACGGGCCTCTGCAGCAGCGCGCAGGCTGGAGGCATTGTCACCGCCATGCTCCAGTACATCCCGGCAGCGCTCGGCAAACTCAGGCAGCCGGGCGTGGATCACCGGCAAAGCATCTGCAATGCCGGCCCAGTCCTTTTTAAATTGCTCCCATCGCCGTCTCTGGCATAGGGGCTGGCAGCTCTGCCCGCGCAGTGCTGCGGGGCTCAGATACCCGCGAACACGCTGCGTCGCTTCGTTCCCGCGCGCACACCTGCACGTTTGCACGAGTATTCGCAGACACCGGTGCCTCACGCGCATAAATATGCTGCGACTCAATCTTGGATCACCGACGTGTGTGGTGCTATGAGGGGTTCCAGCGCGAAGTTACCCACAAAATGACACCTATGGCCAAGTTATTTAAACTTTCTCCTGGGGCAGCCCAAGCCTTCCATCGCCCGCAAAAGGACTCTGTAGCCGACGAGTTTCTGCACCATGTGCGACCTTAGATTTGATGATGCAACTAGGAAAGCTGTATTTTTTTACGCCTATTTTGCGCCTGCGCGACTGCTGCAATTCGTACATTAGGCAACTGGTAGTGGGTTCCCGCTCTTGGGCACTGGAAAGTGCAGCTGGGGGGGAGTTCTGTAGCGGATGGACACGGCGGTGCGCGCGCTGCTGTCAGGCGGGGAATGGGCGGCTCGGCTGGCTCGCGGAGCCGTGCCGACACTCGCCTTGCTGCCGCCGACGTGCAAGCAGGCAGCAGCACATGCTGCTCTGGTGTGCGTTGGTGTAGAGCCGGCTTACTTCGCGCCGGGGTTTGGGCCTTGGCCGCTGGCTTGGGGGTGGTTTGCCGTGGGCGTCTTGTTGGGGGCAGCTCTGGTTGCCGGTATCTGGTGCGCTTGGGCCAGCCGGCAGCCAGCCATGCCTCGCTCCTTGGCGCCCGAACTGGCGGCGGCGAACGAGGTCTTGATGGCGTTCCACGCCGGGGGCGAGGCCGAATTGAGGGCGCTGGCCGCCCAGGCTGGCACAGCTCCCATGGAAATGCTGTGCGGTGTGCTGGCCGCAGCGCTTGGACGTCCGATGCATGCGCCGCCCAGTGTGGCGGGTATCCGCCGCCGACAAAGGCCGGCGGTCAGGTCGGCTTGAAAGCGCATAATGGCACAGCTGCAGCGCCTGTCGCTTCCAGGGCGGGATGGCACCGCCCTCGCAGACATGGCGAGCAGCATGCTGGCTACAACGCCAGCCCACCCGACTCACCCGCCGCCGCGCACGACGGGCATCCTCCACAAACGGCGCCTGGCGGCCCTGCCGGCCTTACCTTGCCGCGCCGTCCATACTCGCCCCACGTGCGTGCGTCGGTCCACGTTTTCCAACGGCGGGCCAAGCCGAGCGTTCATGACGCCGTCGAGACTGCCATTATTCATGCTCAGTTTGCGCAACTTGGGCTGGTAGGTGTAGGACGTGCCTTGGTACCGTCTGAGTTGAGCGTGTTGTTTGCACCGCCGGCCCCCGCCAACCCGACAGGGGGGGGGCAGGGCGGCCCAACAATCCCCGCAGCTGTTTTAGCCCGAGCACCACGCCGCTCAGTTCGCAGCCATGGCCCCTTGCCCCGCGTGCCGCGTTCGTGAGGCCGAAGGTGGCCCCCACTGCAGGCACTGTGCTGCGGTGCACGCCCTGCAAAGGGCGGTCCACACAGGGGCATCGCCGACTTGGGCAGACCCTGCCATCTTGGCAGTCTTGGAGGCGGCAGTCGCTGTCCTGCAGGCCTTCACGCAAGGGCCGCCTGTCGCTTATCCACCCCGCGACAGGCCTTCTGACAGCCGAGAACCCTCTCGCGAGGGCCGCAGCCGCAGCCGCAGCCCGCCCGCCCGGCGGCTTCCGACGCCGCCGCCGCCACCGAGGCGTCAACACCGTGCTGGCAAGAAGCACCGTTGATTCTGGTTGCGGGGGTGTTTTTTTAAAGGTCCAACGCCCGCCGCTACAGCACGCAGGCGGGCGGCCACGGACCCTAGGCAGGCAGAATAACCCGCTCAGGCCGCGCTTGAGAAAAGGTGCGCTCGCACAGGGTTTGCTAGTGCCGCCGCGGCAGCTTTGTTTTGCGTGGCTGACAGGGACGAGGGTCGGGGAGGCAACGCACCCAGGACCGCTGGCATCACGAACCCGTGCACTGGCAGCCTTAGCGGACATTGGCATAGGATCTGGTGACCGTGGCGGGCCGCACGCCGTCCCGCAAACCGCATTGGACACGCCGTCATCGGAGCCTGGGCCCGACCAGCTCAGCGGCGGAGAGCAGTTTGAGGACTGCAGTGAAAGCGCCGTCGTTGGCGGCATGACACCCCCGTCTCCTACTGACGCTTCATACCCGCCGGCACAGAGTCCCGTGGCGGTTTGCCCGCCGACCAACTCGTGGTTCTATGTGCCCCTTTTGCTGCATGTAGCAGGCCGTTTGGACGCCCCATCTGCCGACGTGTGGAGCTCGCACCCCGTTGGTGGCCGGCGTTGGGGGCTTTTGGTTGACGCGATCGTGGCGGCGCCCGCTATCCTTGTCGCAGGCCTATTGGCTGCGGTGCACACGGTGGCCCTTGTGGATGAAGCGGTGGGAGTTGACGATGTCGCCCGTGTTTGCGCGCAACTCGGAGCCGCCTCCGGCCCTACGCTTGATGCGCGAGACGCAGTCCTGGCCTTGCTTGTTGGTGGGCGGTACGTGCCAACCCTCGGCCAATCCGCCATCCTCCAAGCGTATGGCGGCGCGCGCGGGGCCAGCGAGGCCGCGACGCTTGCGCGTGTCTATGCGGAAGACCCCCTCGGACCACCTCGCGCTCTCGGCGGGGCGGGGGGTGAGCTTGCCGATGACCATCTTCTGGGCGATGCTGCGGCCCGCGTGGCCGGAACCGAGCGTGCGAGGGGTCGGGGACGCCGGGGCAGGGGCCGCGGGCGGGGGCGCAATGGCGGGCCTGGCAGGCCACCGCCATGCCCGCAGGGCGGGCCTGGCAGACCACCGCCAAGCACGCAGCTGGCCCCCAACGCGTCTCCTGCACAGTCCACAAGCCCCGCGCCGTTACAGGGAGTTGCAAACCGGCAAACCAGGAGTTTTGGCGGACAGTCGACTTGGCTGAAACGTTGCAGCAGCGAGTTTTCACGTTGCAGGCGCCCCCACACTCTTTGCGCGGGGCCTTGCGCCAAACCATGCGTCAAGGCTTGGAGCTCATTCGCGACGGGCGGGAAGCACACGCCGTCGACATGGGTTGGAAATTGTTTTTGCTCGCGCCCCGCATGCTCTTGTTCCGATCGCGGGGCCAGGTGCATGTCCCGCCTTCGGAGCTGACCCGCCGCGTAAACCTCCTCGCCCAGCAGCGATGGGGCGAATTGCTGGCTGAGGCGGCGCGGGCGGGCCAGGACCAGAACGTCCAGGCAAGTGCATCCCAACGGCGCCTGCCGGGCACTGGCACAGACGGGGATCTCCAACGACGGGCCGAAAGGGCAGCGGCGCTGGCGCACCTAGGCGAACTGTCAGCGGCCAGCGCTGCATTGGAAGCTGCCCCCCTGGCGCCGGCAACGTTGGACACAGTGGCGGAGCTTCGTGATCCGGCTAAAAGGCCCCAAAGTCGCCAAGTGCCGTTACCTCCTTGGCTGGCGGAGTTCGACGCTCCTGCCCTGCTGGCGGTCAACGCCGCCAAACTCAGCGCCAACCTGCTCCGGGCACGCCGAGGTGCCGCGGCAGGCCCGTCAGGCGCCACGTGCGAGCACATGCGCGTGCTGCTTCATGACGAGGATTGTTGCGAACTCTTGCACAACGCGGCGCAGTGCCTGGCTCGTGCGGAGGTGCCTGAGCAAATTGCCGCCGGGCTTCGCCTTGGCCGCATGGTGGCCCTTCAAAAGCCCGCGGGGGGTATTCGGGCCTTAGTTATGGGCGACGTGTTTCGTCGGCTGGTCTCGCGCACGCTCGCCCAGCACTTCAGCGCCCAATTGCAGGAAGCCTGCGCTCCGTACCAATACGCTTTGACCACGAGAGCAGGCACGGAAGCGCTGGCGCGTGCACTCCGCTTTGCTACGGAGTCCAACCAATCTACAACAGTGGTCAGCGTTGACGGGGTCGGAGCCTACGACCACATATCCCGCAGTTGCATGTTCCAAGGTCTCCGCGATTGCCCAGCTCTGGCGCCCCTCATCCCCCTTGTCCGCATGTTCTACGGGGGGGACAGTCAGTACCTGTTCTACGACGAGTCCGGCCACGCCCACGTCATAACCCAGGCGGAGGGAGGCGAACAGGGGGATCCGTTGATGCCAGGCTTGTTTGCTGTCGGCATCCACCGAGCGTTGCGGACGGCCCAAGACTTGTATGCATTTTTGGATGACACATACATCACGTGCCCGGTTGAACGCGCCGTTCCCACCTTCCGTACCCTTCGCACTGCGTTGGCGGAGCACGCCAACATAGACCTGAACCTCGGCAAGACGCGGGTTTGGAACGCTGCGGGCCAGGAGCCTGAGGGCCTGGCGGCGGAACTGCCGCCACAGCCCGGGCACTCCCCCGTGTGGGTTGGCGCCCACTCCCTGCCGGCAGAGCAGCAAGGCATGGTCGTCCTAGGCACACCGCTGGGCAGCGACGCCTTTGTCGACGCGTTCTTGCAACGAAAGGCTGGGACCCACGAGTCCTTGTTGTCCAAAATCCCCGCCGTCCCGGACCTCCAGGCGGCGTGGCTGCTGTTGCTCATGTGCGCTGCCTCGCGTTGCCACTACCTGCTCCGCGCCTTGCCGCCCTCCGCCACGGCGGCTTTCGCCCGCCGCCATGATGAGGCGGTTCTTACTTGCCTGGGGGCGTTGTTGGCCAACGAAGCACCGCCGGAATTGGACGGCCTCGCCATTCGGCGGGCACAGTTGCCTCTGCACTTTGGTGGGCTCGGTTTGCGGTCTGCGGAGGCCTCGCGCCCTGCGGCGCATTGGGCCTCCTGGGCGGACACCCTCCCCACCCTCCACGAGCGCCACCCGGGCATCGTTGAAGGGCTGCTTGCCCAAGCCCGGTCCCACCTGCAACATGAAGGTTGTCTCCTGCCCTGCGTAGCCGCCGCCCTTGGCTCGGAGTCGAGTCTGCGGCAAGCTGGCTTTGACGCCCCGCACTGGCAGCAGTTGGTTGAAACCTCCCGCCCTGAAATGCCGGCGGGACGAAACTTCGGGGATCCTCTGCGAGGATGGCAGAGGGCCGCCACGTCATGCTTAGACACGGCGGCGTGCGAAGGCCTCCTTTCTGACCTCGACCCGGCCTCGCGCGCGCTTCTGTTGTCTCAAGCTGGCCCCGGCGGCTCACGGGCCATCACAGCCCTCCCCACCGCGCCGGAGCTCCGCATGCCTTCCGATTGCATGCGTGTCCTGTTGTTGCGGCGCTTGAGGCTCCCGCTGCCGCACGTGCCGAGGCACTGCCGCTGCGGCGGTACTTTGGATGCGCTCGGGGACCACCGGGCTGCCTGCCCTGTGGCGGGTGTTCTGGGCCCGCGGGGCGCTCCACTGGAGCGAGCCGCCGCCAGGATTTGTCGGGAAGGAGGGGCCCGTGTGGCGACGAATGTTCTGTTGCGTGACATGAACGTTGACGTCCCGCTGGCGGATTCACGCCGCATAGAGGTCCTCGCCAATGGGCTACCCCTGTGGCAAGGTGCCCAGGTCGCGGTCGACACGACCTTCGTCAGCCCCGTGTCGCGGGACGGGTCTGCACGCGCGGGGGCCGATCGCGTCCCCGGCAAAGCAGCAACCGATGCGGGACGACGCAAGCGCCAAGCCACCTACCCTGAGCTGCTGGCGGCCCGCCGCTGCCGGCTGGTTGTCCTGGCAGTCGAGGTAGGCGGCCGTTTCGGGGCTGAGCTGGCGGACTTCCTCCGCCGCTTGGCGGCCTCGAAGGCCCGCGCAGCTCCGGCGCAGCTCCGGCAGTCTGCGCGCCAAGCGGCATGCCACCGCTGGGCGGGAATGTTGGCTGTGGCCGCCCAGCGAGCCCTGGCCTGGTCGTTGTTGGAGCTCCCCCTTGACATGGCGGACGAGTGCGATGGCACTGAGCCGCCTTTGGCGGACGTGTTGGCGGATGCCCGCCACACCTTCCCGGTGGTTGCCAGCCGCCTGCCGGCCCGTCCGTGAGGCTGCGGTGGGAGGAGGTTTGGCCTTGTACATAGAGATTCGCTCGCGGTAAAACAAAAAAAACAGAGGACCGCAAGCTTCATGGACCATGGACAGCCATAAAGCTTGGCTGTTTCCAGGAGGTTTCTGTACTAAGGCTCGATGGACAATGCAGAGTGATTCATCGCTGCCATTTCCACAAGGCATGGTGCTTAGCTGGTTTGTACGCACTTGAGGTGCCCTTTTTCTGAAATCGATCCAGGGGACGTGATTGACATGCAATTTTTCGTGTCGCAACCCGAGACATTGAGCTTGTCATCAAGTCACCCCCGCGCGAATGCGCAGGGGTTCTGTCGCATTGGCGGAGGAGAAATTCCTGCCCGCGTAATCGCGGACGACCACATGCGCCGTGCTGTGTGCAGTGGTCTCCATGGGGTTCAGGTCCACTCCAAGCTCAAGGCATCCCGTTCTCAAGCGCGGCTCGCGGAAAGGTGGTCGATCGCAGCACGGCAGTTGGGCCAACGGCCGTGCAGGCGTGCGCAACGCATCAAACAAGAGAGATGGGTGCACGCGTCGCAACACGGAAAAGTAACGTCCTCGACGCGTGGGCGACTCGAAACACACCGAGCACGCCGCCGTCGCGAGCGGGGCATGATGGCGCCATCGCAGCGAGCGGCCTCAGAGGAGGACGACGACTGGACACGGAGGGGCGTTTCATCACGCAGGGTGTCTCCTCCCCAGTCCGGCTGCGACGACATTGGCTGCACAAACTCAGACAAACCTGAAAGTGGGTAGGTGATTTTTCGTTCTTTGAAAGTGCGAGAGCCTCAGGGACCGTCACTGCAATCAGCCATATGCGCCTCCAGGGCGAAAAAAAAGGGCACGCGCGCAAGGCATGAAGTACGTGCGTCAGGCATGAAGTACGTGCGCCAGGCATGAAGTAGGCTCCAATCATCGCACCCACAAAGGCATGGGTGATTGAGGGCACGGTGACGGGCAGCACGGCCATCCAAAAAGGGATGGTGGCCACACCTAGCCAATGTCCATTCCCTGACCTCTAAGATCTCCAAGGACGGCAACCGACGAGAAGCATGGATGTTTGGCGAAAAATCCAAGATGACACTGGATGAAGGTGGCACGCGATGCAAGTTCAGATGCCTCAGCCTGGCATGCGCGCCAACCGATGCTGTCGCGGGCTGGGCATACACAACGATGCTTCCAACGCTGCAAAATGCAGAGGTTGCTACCGGGACCCAAGCCAAATTCATGAGGCAACGTCCCTGCTGAGCTCAAGGCTCGAAAAGCTCCTGCTGCCCAAGAACTTTGCCAACGCTAAACAGCATAGCGAAAGACCCGAGCAGCAAGACCACGGTGCACGGCACCAGGGGTGGCCGAACACAGGCGACCAAACAAACTGGCGAATGGGTCCCAACCAAGTTCACCCAAAACGGCTGCATTGGGTGCGCCGGCTGGCCAACACAGCAAGGGCCGCCCCAGCTGGCGCACATGCTTATCCAAGCGCTGTACAGACGCGTCATCAAGGAAAGCAGCACCATGGGTGATTGAAGGCAGCACACATGAATGGAATAGACTTCGGCGAAAACTCGTGTGCAAACCACGGCTTTCTGCCCAGGCAATGCTTTGGTGGAATTTGCGGGTGCTTTGAGAGATCAACCTGTCGGTTTGCTTGTTCCAACTTTGGAAGCCTACTCAAGAAGGATGACAGGAAAGCACGAACCGAAAGTCACAAGACCTACCGCCGACAGCAAGAACAGCTGTCTTATCGAGGCCTCTGCCAAAGGAGAAACGCCAACGGGCTCCCCAAGCACCAATGGCGTCAAGTGCACGTTGCAGGCCACTCTCCGAATCGGCCAAAACAACGTGGTGTTCCTACGCATCGGTCCGGTTCTTCCATTGATCTCGTGCGTCGCGGGATTTGCCTATTCGTAACCTGGTTGTGCACGACGGCTCCTTTTGCGCATGTCCACCCAATGCTTGTTGCCCGGCTTTAGGTAGTGATCACAGGCTCATCACTTTCCAGATCACATTGTCGCCCACAGCTACTGACGACACTGCCTCTCCCCGCTGGCCGCGTGTTCGCAACTGGTTACCCATTGTGCAAGCCTTGCGTCCTCGCCTGTTGGCGTGGACAGCTAAATTGTCGGAAATCCGTGGCGAAAACAGGTTTTCCTCCGAGGCTCGCCGTGCAATTCTCGATGTCCTGCATGGGGAGTTTGTCCAACGGCTCGCATTTCCTGTCATCAGCCCCAGCCTGATTGGTGGGACGACGAGTGCTATGATATGATGGTTTGCAGGAATGCTGCTTGGCGTTCGTGGTGCCGGGAAGGCACGGCTCAAGCGCGTGATGCATTCCGCTCCATGCGTCGTGCGTTTCATCATTTGGCTCGCGAAAAGAAAGCTTTGTATTGGCATAGTTGGCTTCAGGCGCAAGAACGTGCCTCAGCTGCATGCCCTCAGCTTGCAGCACGCAATATTCGTCGGCAGTTTGGTTCCTCTCGGCGCCCGCTACCTGCTAACATGCGTTCATCCTCCCCACATCGTGGCGCAGTTGAGGGTGCAGCATGTATTGATGCTTGGCGTTGCCATTTGCGAGACGTGCCTGTCTCCGCGAGCTCCGTTTCTGCAGCTCGCCTGACCTGGAGTCAGATGTCCGTCGTTTGCGTCGTCAAATGTCTGCCACTGCCAGTCGCTTCCATCATTTTTGCAGACGTCGTGCGTCGGACGGACGTCGATTGTGCCTCGACGGGGTTGCACCGACAAGTACGGCACGAGCAGCGCCCAACACGTTTCGGAACCGCAGCATCAGTTCCGACGGTGCGGTTGCGCGAGTTGGTGCCGAAGGGTCTCGGACGGGATGGCGTCTTTCGGCGGAGCAGGACGATGCAAGGCCTGTGGCCACATGGCCTCGCCGGGCGCTTGCTTGGCCACGGTTAGCACCTGTGGGGCCCCTGCCACGCCCCCTACCGCTTGCTGCAGTGGTCGTGCAGGACCTGATCGGCTGCTGCGGCCTGTCGCGAGTGAGGCGCGGTCCCTCAAAAGCAAAAGCCAAAAGACATTTCAGCGGCTCGTGCACGTGTCCATAGAACGGCGCGGAGTGTGTCACATGACGGCGTGTGCGTGTCGAGCTTCTGACTGCACTGCCAGACCTTCTCTCGGCTGCGAAGATCAACTAACACTGTGGGCCTGCGAAGCCACCATGCTCCTCACAGAAGTTCATACGCAATTGCCTTTTTTGCCGCTGGGAGTGAGACACCTGCATGGATCTGGCTCAGCCTACAGCAGCACTCACGACAGTGACCGCCCATCTGCATTTCCATCATAGGTCCTGGGATGGCTCTTACACTTCTAAGCAAGACTAATAATGGAACAATACAAGATTAAAACAATAGAGTAAAGAAATAGAATAATAGAATAATCGAACAATCGAATGATAGAGTCATATAACAACATAAAAATGTACCAAAAACGCAAAAAGACTAGTATCGAATAAGCTACAAACATCATAGTCAGATGATATATTCATACAACCATAAGAAAATTTTCTATTTGGCACGATTTCAAAAACAAAACACAACCAAATTGATTGCACTTGCAGTCAGCTTGTTGCTCTAACTGATTTGACAATTTATTGATTAAAAACTGAGAATCTGTCTGCAGTGACGCTTCCGCAATGAAAACACACCCAGACGCTTTTTGAAGATTCTTCAGTGTCACTGCACACACTTGAAGCTCTGAAAAACAATCAGAATATGATATCATAACATACCTTAACGAAGTCTGAGTATCTCTGGCTCAAAACCCGAATCGGCAGCATGGTGCCACCAAAACCTTTACCGAGCAAATCACTGGCTTTACTATACTCGCCTCATCCTGGGTCCCATCAAAGACACGACTTCAAAGTCCGTCAAATGTACAGACTCGAGCAAGCTTCACGCAGAAAAGATCGGCGGGCAAGTCGCGACCTGAGCACGAATTGGAGGATCGCATGCTATCTGTCTTGCAGATCAGCATCCACTACCTGTCACCACCTCCTCTTCCTTCTCCTTTCAGTATTCACTGCTGACCCTAAGGCTGGCCCTCGTTTTTCAAGTGGAAACAAGACAGAGAACATTTTTTGGCGCTTCAAGCATCACTTTATTCACTTGATTCGCTTTGTTCACGCTGTTCACTTTTGTTCACTTGGTTCACTTGGTTCACTTGGTTCACTTGGTTCACTTGGTTCACTTGGTTCTGAGGCCGCCACGCACGGCAAACTCCGTCCACGACGAAAGCCATGAACGGCAGTGCCAGACAAATCCACACCTCCCTTCGTCAGAATGCTGCTCCTTGCGCCAAGCAGACAGAGTCGTTGCTTCTAGATGCTGCGGAATTGAAACGAAGCCGGGACGAATAAGACCAAGCCCGCAAATTGGCCTCCACCTCAGTGGAATCTCGACGCGCGAAGGTCAGCGAGCCCAAAGACAGGCTGGTGTCCTCACGGACAACCCCAAGAAGCCGGAGGCGTGGACAGTCGTGGGAGGATGGGTAGGTTGAGGCATCTCATTTGTGGAGGAATATGCCTCGTAACCAAAATCGGGCCATGGTCCCAAGAGGATGAACTTCCCAATGGGTCCTCCGACGGGAACCGGCCTGCCCGATCGACCTTGGGCTGTCCCACCCTCTGCCAGTGTGCCTCCTGAGAAACTCATGGACAGGACAGGCAAGAGGGCCACACTCGGCTGCACACTCGACGCCGAAAGAGACATCTCATGTAGCTTCGTAGATGTCATGTCATACACCGCGAGGTTGAGGGAAGCTGGGGCTGAGCTTTTGACAACTCCCAAAAAGCATTTCAGAGAGCAGACCTTTTTAGGTTTTCGGGTTCTTGGAGTTGGTTCTGGGGTCGTCATGCAACCAGCCCGCCAAGTCTTGCTGGAGCTTGCCGAAGATGGAGTCAAGGCACCTCGGCAAGTTCAAAGTTGCTTGCGGGAAGGCGCTGTCTTAAGAGCGTTTCTCTTCGCAAGCCCTTCCCCAAAAAATGAAGATAACTCAGCAAACTTATTAGATAGTGCAATTATGCAAAATCCGTAGATTTCTAAGAAGATGAGCCGAGCAAACAGGGGAGTTGCAGCTGATCGGCCTGTCCATGAAGTTCTTCTCCTTCTGATTCTTGGAGAATCGCAGGAGCCTTCGTTTTTGGGCGTGAGTGCCAGCAGACCAGCAAAGAACCCGATCATGGACTTCAGATGTAGGCCAAGAAGCTCGAACTTGTCATTGTGCAACGAGCTGGCCTCTTCAAGACATTTTGCCAAACCAAGCCCTAAACTCAGCCCAGAAGGCAGCCCGGTGCCAAAAGTCTTCAAGAGCGCTCCTCACCACACTCCGGAACGAGACAAAAGTATCCAGAAATAGCAGCTACAGCTCTATGCCAGCCGTCCCCCCGCCTTGGCCCAAGAGCTCCACAGCCACACGACCAGCGCAGCGGCCACCAGCAACGCGGAAAACCACCTCGTTTCCCGCACCCCCTATCATGACGCAGACTTGAGAGAGGAGGGATATCTGACGAAATAGCACCCTGCGGTAATAAAAGAAGGCTGCAGGGGCCGTTGGGTTGAGGGTCGAAGTGGGATCCCGCAAGGCTGGCTGTTCTTGGAAAGCCGCAGACTGAGATGCTGAAACATTGGCTAGAGAACAGACCCTGCAACTGACAATTGTAGTACCCCCAGGCGTCGCCAGAAACCGGAACCCTTATCCCACAAACCGGCACACGATCATGAAGATTCTCATGACTGTTAAGATTATGATGCTGATGATGAGATATTTGTGGGGTATTACTACTACGACTATGGCCAGTATAATGATGATTGTTGCTACTATTCTTCGTATGATGCTGATGACTATGACTCCTGTTGCATGAGCGCAATGCAGCAGGTTGGCTCCACAGCCTTGAGTGGCACCGGGGCCGTCCAGCGGTCCTGCGCCCCGATGCAATAGTAACAACGAGGCAAGGATCGAGCGCCAGGAGCAACTTGATTTCAGACATATAAGACATAAAGGAAAATACGTATATACAGGGATAAAATATATATGTAGAAATAGAAACGTTTATTTAATGTATACATATGTATTATATATATATATACATATATTTTTTATATGTATACTGTTCTACTGTATTACGTAGCACAAGATACTGTCACCTTGCATTACACTTCACTCTGTATATCAGTTTTTTTCATGTTTTCATTCCTACACAGCATTAAGTTATCCAAAGTTAATGCAAGTGCTGTACTTCCACGTCCACCCTCAGCAAAAGGTTCCGTAGCGTCAAGCCCTACACCACGAGGCCAAACCTAGGTCCAGGGGCCTTAGAGGTCACTTCGCCCCACACACCGTCAATCGGGCTTAGGGTTTAGGGTTTAGGGTTTAGGGTTTAGGGTTTAGGGTTTAGGGTTTAGGGTTTAGGGTTTAGGGTTTAGGGTTTAGGGTTTAGGGTTTAGGGAACTCTCCGGAACCCAGTGTCTTGGAAGAAGGTGCGCGCGGTGAAGTGCAGGGAGCTGCCGATCACCAGCCAGAACCCAGCCACAATCATGCCTTGGATGCGAGGAGGGAGGCGTGACTGCAGACGCTCGCGTTCGCGTGCAAATGCGCGTGCACGCATGCATGCGCGCGCGCACAGGTGTGCACGTGAGTGTGTGCTTCCAGTGTCTACCGGGCTCTGCTCTGAGGATCTCTGTGCCGGTGCTTCAGAAGACGGAAGTACCAAGAACTGGGCATCATGTTGGGCTTTAAGGAAGGGGTCGAGACGATCTATCACCAAGGAGATTCGGAGATTGAAGGTCAAGGCGGTCGGCGGTTCACCGCTGCCACAAGGCAAACACACATGAGCTCTAAACCTCGCATGTGGAGATGCCAGCTGGAAGCTATCCCTTGCTATGGTCCCTTGCTACTGTCCCTGTCTTCGGTGATGGCACCGTTTCCTGCAGCTTCGGCGCGCATGATGAAGAGGACCCGCGGGATGAAGAGGCCCTACTGTTGATCCACCGTAGGGCAACGTGGGGGGGTGGGGCTGAAACCAGTGGGTTCCTGGGCTTAACAAACCAGGGCATCCCCTTCCCCATTGAAGTAAGGCAGGGAGAGCATCCCAAGCCATGTCGGATTTGCAACGGCAGCATCCATCCTTTTGTTTGGGCAGCTCTGGCTTCATAACTTCCGGAACTCCCAGTTCCCCGCCTGGCTCTCGGGGCCACAAAGGTAGCCCCGCACAGAGAGGATGTGCTTGTCAATGCCTGCACATTTGACTGGTTCTGCTCGGCTCGTTTGCACATTTTAGGCTCAAATTTTGGCTGTGTAATGCCGAGCATGCAAGCTCTCTGCATCTCTACAGATCTCCGCAGACTCCAAGCCATGCAGCCAAAGGGCGGTACTTCATTGCGAAGAAAAGTGCGCCACAGGGTAGCAGTGAGGGCATGAGCACGCCGAGGCTGACAGCCTCGGGCAGATTGTGATGAGTAGAGAATCAGCAATCAATACAAGAAAGTCTGCAGATAAGACTTCAACAGTACTAGCAGACTTTGGGATCTGCTTGATGGACGACAGCCAGACAAAATGGTGGAGAAGAGAAAGGGCTATAGGGGCTGGGAGGAGGTCAATGGCTCAAGCACATGATGGACATGCAGACTGTAGAGAAACAAGTCATCATTGCCAACTTCTGCGATCCCATACAAGCACGCTATGGAAAACCGTCTGTACCAGACCACTGTGGCTTTCGGTATGCAGTCAACTGAGCCGGCCCATGAACCCGACTAGTAGCCGTGGTCAGAATTGCCAGGGTGAAGGCGTACCAGTATCCCCAGGCAAAGATCCATGGCTCAGGCTGCGAAAGCAGCCATCGAACCACAAGCTGGCTCAGGTTCCTCAGAAGATCGCAGTCAGCACGCAGTGATGCAACCAGTGACCTGCCAACCAACTGCCCACGAACTGCCGAGCCGAGGAACAGAAGGCTGTTTGTGTTGGTCAGGAAGATGCAATTCAGCAAGTACCGCACCTGACACGACACCACAGCCTGTCCACCACCACAGCGCACGTCTTCAAGGCAAGCTGCAACAGTAGAGCAGCCGGGAGCTGATGGAGCTTGCAGACCCAGGAGCATAGAAGAGGCCAGGTGAACTGAACATACTTCCGTCGAGCAGCTGCAGCACTGAGATGTCCTGGTGCAAAGATAGGAAGCTGAAACTCCCTCGCTGGATCGCGGCTATCGGGGCCTCTGCCTGTCCTTTCAGTATCTTTCAGTTCTAGGGTCCTAGACACACACACACACACAGAGCTTGTGTTGGTTAGAGAAGCTTTAGCACGGTTGAGCTCGATCCTGCGTCTGATCCGTGATCTTCATCTCCAAAAACTCCAGGAGGGCTGGGATGCCCGTGAGGCCCAGCAGTGGAATCAGAAGCTGATTCAGGACCTGAGGGCACCGGGGAAAGATCAAAAGAAAGGTCCAAACACTCAAAGCCTGTTGCGAAGGTGGGGTCGAAGAGGACCCAAAAACTGACACCAAGGCACCAGGAACACATAGTTCATCAGCCTCGGAAGTCTTCCAACAATTGAGCCAAGGTTCTTGCCATGCATGATGCCTGATGCTGAGATTGCTGAGATTGCTGGGCCAAGGCACATTTGATTCACTTCAACCTGCCCCACACGCATCACTGCAGGCATTGCAACATCTGCAAAACTCACTTGTCGATAAGCTCTGTTTGAGATGTGTTCTGCCTTCGACAGCGTGTGGCTCCGGGTGAAGTTGCCTCGTACAGTACAGACCGCCGCATCTTAGCACAACCTCCGCACACAGCACGCTGCACCATTTAATCCCGGAGACAGATTACGCCGATGATGTAGGGAAGCAGCAGCGAGTTGATGAAGAGAATGATCTGAGCCGGATCGAAATTCCAGGAGAATTGTGGACACAAGGAGCAATGCGCGCTTGATCACGGAATGCAATCCTTTCTCATGAATCATGTACCACATACCCTTTTGAAAGGTGGGATCCACTGCAGTTGCTCAAACCATCAGAGCAAACATTAGATGAAGGAGGGGTGCCATGGTGGGCAGCTGCAGGGACATCCAGCGCCAGACGCCCCGCTTGTCCTTCAAAGCTTCATCAGCAGATCATGAGGGACACATGGGAGCATCGAAGACCTGGCACCTGGCAACCTTCGATTGTGGGGGTTTCCGAAAATAGGGGTCCCCTTGTTGGGGGTCCCTTTAAGGGGATTCGAGTCTATTTGGGGTCACACAAAGGGGGTACCCCCTATTTTGGGAGATGCCCCCCCATTTCTCACAAAGTGTCCGGGAGGGACACGCCGAGCCGCTGCACCACCTCGGCTGCACTTGGGCTGCTTTGAGATCTCGCTTTGAGATCTCTTTCTCTGCATGGGGCTCCGTCGGTTCCCGGTTGGTTCTTCGATGTTTCACCAAAAGCGTTTCAACTTCTCTGCCGAAAGTCTGCGTGCCGGATGGCCTTGGAGCCCTTCCGGAGTTCCTTGGGGGCAATGGGAGTGCTCCAGGGCGTGCCCCGGGGTACGCCGGGTACCCGGGATACCACAGTCCAACACGCTGCATACATGGACAGGCGGCAAGACGTTCGCGCTTCGTGCAGCTGACACGCCTACAGGGCCTACATACACGCTTTGCGTGCCCAGATTCAGGTATAATGGTGTTGAGCTCTGAAGAGACCGACCTGGGCAGCGGACAGGGGTGAGACCAGCCAAGCGAAGCTGCACATGACCTTGCTCTCTCTTGCCATCAAGCGGCACGGGCGTAACGACAACCAGCATGAACACCAGAAGCAGCAAGGCGGCGATGGTGAAACGGAGGACCCTGCGCCCGGGCTGAAGCTTCGATGTTGGAGTTGTTGGTCAATTGTGACCGGCTCTCGACTTGAGCAACAACCAAATCTTACAGTTTGTAGAGCGTTTGTTTAACAACATAATATAATGACATGATTCTACAAGAAGAGACTTTAAGTTTTAACAATAACATAAGATAATCGTCTAGTAATAAATGATACACTAATATGTGTCTATAGATGTTGTTCGAAGAAACAAAACATATTTAAACACAATAATATGACAAATGTGATCATTTAATAAAGTACTAACACAATAATCTAACAATCTCAAAGTACACTAGCACTAAAACAACTGAAAATATACTCATAGGTTAATCTAATAATATGACAAAATGAAAGTACACTCATACACTCATGCAACTATATAAGAACATAATCATATAGTAGTCTGTCAATATACTGATATACCAATATAGCAATACAAAATATAACGATATAACAACAGAACAATAAAACAACAGAACAATAGAACAAAGAACAACACACCAGTATAACACTACAACAACATAATATGACAGTACAGTAATATAGTAATGCAAAAGAATGCACAATATGGGCATATAGTGATATACATCTTTTGGGATGTTCCCCCTTAAGCTAACAGTCCCTATTGGGGATTATAGACCACCAATTACAACACCCCAACGCAGCTGAAGATGGCACTTTGTGGCCGTGTGGGATGGCCTCTTGTAGTAGGGGATGTGCAAGTTCTCCCACATCACATCGGCTGGATGTGGCGCCCGTCGACACCTCAAGACACAGCAGCAACTTCGGGCGCACAAGCGCGATACTACCGTGAATGGCATGCAACGCAAATGATTTCGTCTAGAACCCAGAGGTCTTGCTGCACTCTCAAAGAGTGCCGATTTTGTTTAGCGTGTACTTCCCCATGAATCTGTCTCTTGGGAACAATGCTTGATTTTGGTGTTGCCATTGTTCATGCTTGTTGTTGCTGATTTGTTGTTTCAGCAGGGGCTCTTGTTTTTGGCATGCGTGCTTTACGCCGCCGTGGAGGGTTTGCGACTGTCGAAGAATGGGGTTGGGGGTGGTGAGGGGAGGGGGGGGGTAATTACGTGCAGAAAGGCCGAAAACCATGGTATTTACAGTGTTTTCTGCACGGCTCCACTGGTGCTGCGTGTTGGGTTTCACGGCTGTTTGTCGGTCGAATGTGGGCGTTTACCTGGGGTTTTGCGCGTCATTTTTTCCCTCGAGGTCATTTTAGCTCCGCTGGGCTTTTTTTTTTCCAAGAATGGCCGCGGGGCTTGCGAATATTGAAGAATGGGGTGGGGGGGGTGGGCCAGGGGTGGTGGGGGGTAATTGCGCGCAGAATGCCCGAAAACCATGGTATTTACAGTGTTTTCTGCACGGCTCCACTGATGCTGCAATGAAGGATACTCTTACGCCCTGCTCACTGCGGCGGTGTGTTTCGTTTGGGGCGAAGAGGTTGGGCTATGCGCGATTGGCCAGAGCATCCACGTCCGCACGATGAGAACGTCCGTGTTACCAGTGCGCGCGATTGGCCAGGGCATCCCTGTCCGCACAAGCCCAAAGCCCTCAACCTCAATCTACAAGAGTGCAAGCCCAAAGCCCTCAACCTCAACCTGAAAAGCTGCAAGCACGCGACCCTGAACCTGAACCTTCAAACCCGTACCTCCCAGCCCTCAACCCAAACAGTCCTTCGACGTAAAGGTGTTCGAGGGTTTAGGGACCTCCGACATAACCCTGTCGAAGCCTTCGCCTCAACCTGCCCAACACAAAGCAGTGCAAGCCCGAAACCCTCAACCTGAACCTTGAAGTCCAAACCCAACCCGCCCCAACACAAAGCAGTGCAAGGCCAGGGCCCCACAGACCTGAACCCCCAAAAATGACAGAAAAAAATCAACTTTTGGTTTTCTACATTTGCGCACCGCGCTCTCGCCTTGCGCACGCACTGGACTGAAAATCGACAATGTTGCCAATGCTACGAAACCCCACGCAGGCCGATGAATTTCTGCTTTTTGCAAGTGGATGTTCTCTGTTCAAGCAGGTGATACCTTTAAACCGCTACGTGTAAAAAATGCCTCTTAACCCATGCCTGCCACACTTTTCGAGGCATGCCAATTTTAGCCTTTTGCATGCAAAGTCTCGAATTCACTGCGCCTGCCAGTGCTTTCAGTACTTCTGCATTCATCAGTGCTGGATGTTCTCCAAACGCAATCGCCAGACCTTCCACGGCGGCGAGAAGCGCGCGTACCTTTTTTTTGTTGTCGCTGCGAGACGTGGCATTCTGCTTGGCTGTTGCTGCGGGGCGCTGTGCTGTTGCTGTCGCTGCTGTGCTTTCTTTTGCTGGTTGCTGCCTGGGGGCTCGTTGTTTTTCTTGTTTTGGTGCTGCTGGGCGCCCTTTTGGCTGCAGGCTGCAGGGCTTCTTTGTTTTCTGTGTTTCTTATGATGCTGCAGGCGTCTGTGTTTTGTTGTCGCTACGGGCATGTGTTGCTTCTTGCCGTTGCTGCGGGGCGCGTTTTGCTCTCGACGTTGCTACATGGGCCTATTTGTGCATGGCGTTTTTGCCGCTGCTGCGGAGTTTTGTTTTTGTTGTTGCTGCAGAGCATGTTGTTTGTGTTTTGTTGTTGCTGCGGGGCGCACTTTTTGGTTGCTGCTGTTGTTGCCACGGACGCACTCACTCACTCACTCACTCACTCACTCGCCCCTCCATTTGTTGTTGCTGCCGCGGGGCGCGTTCTTGATTTTGCTGTCGCAGGCGTGCACTTGTTTGCCTGTCGCCGTGGGCCGCGCTCACTCACTCACTCACTGGCCTTTTGGCCGCAGCTGTCACTGGGGGGGGAGGCGTTTGTTGTTGCTTTTGCTGTTGTCGGCGGGGGCCGCGACATCAAGAACATGTACCGAGTCAGCCCGCGAAGACGAGAAGAGACAGGACCCATTCCTGGAGCTGACGGACCTCACTCATGACATGCCGATACTGTAGCATTGCTCGGCTCACCCCTTCCTCGATAGAAAACCCACACACACACACAGGTGTGGACGGCAGGCATGAGCATGCCCCACCAGCCTCAAGGTAACAGAGGCGAAGGGTGGCTGGCCGAAGTTGAAGTAGGCGTACGAGTAAAACCTGGGGTCCAGAACACTTCAGCCGCAACCATCATGGGAAAGACGGTCAAAAATCTCTGGGTGCTGTCAAATCACTTCCAACAGGACTCCATGTCTTCAAACAACGTCGCTTTGTAGCTTTTATCCTGCATGCTGGCAAGCTTACAATCAACGAGAAGCAAAGACAAGAGAACCCTTCTTCTCCGGATGCAGTGAGGTGTTCTGTGCAAGTGCCTCACAAAAACTTTACCCTCTCCCGCCTGGAAGGTCACAAAGGCACCTGCGTGTCGAGAAATGAATCATTCAGCAGGGCCAGTGAACAAAAGCAGTAAGCAAACGATACCAGTAAAACCACTAACCACATAAAGCCCTAAACAGAACAGCAGCGTGCGTGCATGACCAGGTATGCCCAGGTACGCCCGGTATGAGCGGGTATGAACGGGTACGCCTACTCGGGGTACCCAGGCGTACCTCCCGGGCATTCTCGGGCGTTCAGCGTGTCGCTGAAGGCGGCAACAATCCCAATAATCAAGGTACAATCAAGCTACATGTCCCGATCAAAGGATACAGAGTGCACCCAATTTTTGGCCCAAGACTACCCGATACCTATAAGTTAAATCCTAAGTATTGCCATCTGTCTGGTTAAAACCCTATTGACCCCAACATGCTGCCCTGGGGACTGCCACTCATCCGCTTGGCACGCAGCTCCATGTGGTCCAGGTCGGACTTCAGGTCTTTGGCCTGTCCAGGCCAAGAGAGGGCATGCCTCTCCAGCTTTTTTCGTAGCTTCGTAACTTAGCTATGCTGATTCTTCTTGTTTTTCTTGTTCCTTTGATTGTTGCAGCGCTTAAGAACAGTGCTGCACTCTGGGCTCTCGTTCGCCTGTTCGAATGTTTGCTCTATCGTTTCGAGGGGCCGGTGGTGCTCTGAAGCCTATGTACGTTTGCTGCTGCTCTCTGCGCTCCAGCCTGCGCACGGTACATGCTGCGACACTCCCGCCTCAAGGCCTCTGCATGCTCAGCTCGAACTCTTTGCTTGGTGTAGCCTTTTGGGTCTACAGCGGCATAGACCTCTCTACTTCTTGCCACTTTTTCGTAGCCCTGATTCTTGTTAATAACCGCCACGGACGATGAGGATGAGGAGGAGGAGGAGGATGAGGACGAAACTGGTGGCGGTGATGGTGGTGATGGCCCTGAAGAAAACGATGATGATCATCGTCGTCGTCATGATCATGACCATGCCCATGGTCATGATCATGATGGCAATAGTGATGATGCATGCTGCCGGTAATGATAAGATTGATGAATCTGATGATGACGACTTGACGAAAGTGGTGGAGACTGTCGTTCGTATGTTTCTGTTGAAGGATGATAATATCATTCTTGCTGTCAATATTATGGCCCGACAAACCAAGAACCTTACTACTCCTAACAACAATATATAGTAGGGTGTCTTTCCGGCTTTTACTTGAACATGACAAACATAACCCCTCACACGCCACCAATGAATGCTTTGTGGTGTCGCTGATTATGTCATTCAAGCTTCTGCTTGAGGTCTCGTTTGCACCTCTATGTGCAGACAAAAACAAGCTGCACTCCAGGAAGACTAGTAACGGGACAATGGCTGTGCAGACCCACCTTTCTCTCAAGCCGCTGGACTTGTCTAGACAGCCGCCACACGCGGAGTCTCGGAATACACCTCGCACGCAGAAAGCAATCAAGCCATCCTGTCTTCGACGTTAAGCCCCAACGAGTCTGGAACCACTACCCCACTGCCGATTAGGTGCAGACTTGCTGACAACAACTGACACGAGGAACGCGATCACCAGATCTTGCGTGCTTCCAGAGCCCCACATAAATCTTCGGGTTTCAGGATGTGTCAGGGTTTAGACAAACCCCAAGCCAGATGATACCACTACCCTCGAATCCCCTTGGCCAGCCGACCGGCAGAGACAGCTGTAACGGTCCAACTCCGCCTGCGACGGGTCGCAGAACTCGCCAGGGACCCAAACCCAGACCCTTATTGGAATGCGTAAAGGAGGCTATCATATACCCGAAAAATCATAAACAGGTATGTATAATATAGAAATATGTACATAGACATCCCTAGAATGCTTCAATCACTCTTGTTCAGGTACACCCTAGGTCACCTGTGCTTGCCAGCCTAAAGAGGCATAAGAGTCGGGAGCAGGGAGGCAAAACACAGCGAATGAAGCACCCTTGTGCCTCCCCAGCTGCATCGCTTTAGGAGACCCTCTTCCCCTGGCCTGAATGATGCTCAGCTCTTCCCGCTTCATCTTCAGCCTCGCAACAAGGCTCGGGCTCGGACTACACCAAAAAACCGAAGAGTCGAGCAGCTCAGGTCATATGGGCGCCATTTGGTGAAGCCGCAAGACGCAGCGAAAGACGCAGAGACATCCAATGCATACCCTAAAATACCCTAAACCCTATAACCCTAAACCCTAAACCCTAAACTCTTTTTGTTGGGGTGCCCTCTTGCCTGGCATGCGTCTCCTGCTGTCGGGCATCCAGGTCGTACCACGTATCCACCACGAAGGGCACGTGCACGCGGACAACTGAAGGGCTGCAAAAGGGGCTCTTTATGGGGCTCTTTATATGGTCCCTTCCTCTAGAAATGGCTTCCCGCTTCTGTAATACGGAGAATTCATGGTGCTGTGTCCTTGTAGCACACTTGCCAAGTATCCCTGACGGACTGAAAAGCGAGCCGGCCTGCTTTCTTCGCTTTTTCTTCGCTAACTTGAAGCTTCTTGCGGATATGCTCCTGGCAGGGGAGTTTGAGGCTTGCAGTTCAGGCAGTTGAAGGGCAAATCTGCAAGTGCCAGAGATTTCTGGCGCCGGCACTATGCTCAAAGATTCAAACTACTCCCCTCTCCCGAGATTTCCCTCCTACCCTCCACGCATACCAAGCTCAAGCCCTCGCACCTCAATCGCGCGAGTGAGGGACTGTTCGACCATCTGAAACTCCTTCACTCTCTGCTACAGCAAGGCTCAGCTGCGCGGGTGGCTTTGCAAACAAAGGTCGCAGGACAGTGTGGCATTCAACAACCGCAACTGGGCCTGATCTGTGAGGGAGAACGGCTTTCCGGTTAGATTGTCGCCCACGGGCAGGTGAGTCAACCAAACCGTGCGGTTGAGAAAAGGCATCGTCCTCGGCAAGGGAGACCCCACTAAGCCCAGTGATTCCAGTGGCTTCTTGGATGCCACAAAGACAAACATCTTAGCTTCCACCACATTGGGCTCCAGCTGTGGATGCATTGCCGAACGCACCCGCATGTGGACCTGCGTCGGGGTTGTTCTACACTACAGGATCATCTCTTTGTTTTTGGGGGCCTTTGTTTCAGGGCTCTCTTCGAATCGTGACCTATAATACAAAGGGAGCCCTGCTTCAGCCCTCCAACAGACCCCGGTTTCTGCAGAGGAGCAGACCTTCATCCGCTGCGTGAACATCAGAACAACCACACCGAAGACGGTGGCCAGAAGGCCTTGCAGCATGCACACATCTGGATTACCGCCTTGACTCTTGGGTCGCGAGGTTGCGCAGGAGTTGCGTTTGAGAGAACATACAACTCTTTTCACATTTCTCTGGCATTTTGTTCGCATTCAGACCCGTGGCAGCTGTATCGCTTCTTGACTGCGCTAGGTTTGGTTCTTGCTGCTCGGAAGATACTTGCTCTATCCTGGGTGCAAGTTCATCTGACACGTGGCATAAGCCGCTGCAACCGCATTGCTCCTTGCAGACATCTTGCCAAGACGGTACAGCCGTGCTGTTGCACAAGGCAGGCTACAACAGATAGCTTGAACCGCCCCCAGAAACCCGAGCAAGGGCTTGCCCCAATGCTTCCCGGGGCGCTGGCAAAGTAAGCAGATCCCGTCCGCACTGATATCCTGCCGCAGGTGATGTCTTTGTGATAGGCAAGCTCAGTCGTCGGAACCATGGATATTTGGCGTGGGGGGTGGGGCGAGGTCTTGCTTCTCCTCATTGCAGCCCCAAGAACCACAAAACATAGTAGAGCGATTGGCACACCGAGATTCAAAGCTTAGACGGACCTCAAGCTCTAGGGGAAGGGGGGGGGGAGTGGTTTGCTTCCGCCCTGCAAACTCTGCAGAGCACATCAGCACTCAGAAGGCGGCAGGACGTTGCTCCTGGGCGAGGGAGATCCGTCCGCGCGGGCCGCCGAGCAGCAGGGGCTGCACCTGAGCGGACTCGGCTGAATTAAGGAAGAGACCCCCCATGTATACTGAGGATCATGAATATGAGGGTCTATTCCTTAATTCAGGGGTTTTGGAAGATCTGGGTTCTGCTTGGAGTCCCAGAAGCCTCCGAAGTCACAAAGCGCGAGTGCTGAGAGCTGAGGAGCGGACGCCCCAATGAGGTATCACCAGAACGGCAGAGACAACAGTCAGCGTAGTACACATCCTCAAGGACTGTCAAGGCGGCCCCTCTTCTGTGCCAGCGACTGAGGACTCCGAGCGGATCACCCTTCAACCGTCGACTCTCGGCGCCCAAACCCTCACCGAGGTGCAGCCGGGCAACTCAGTAGCAATGCGGAGGAAGATCAAGTAGTTCAGGGCCTGAACAGATTTGAGCAGTCTGCAATGGAGAGACGTGGGTCACGCATGCATCAAAATTCAACAATCGCCTGAGGTTGACCAATACATCTTTGCAATTTGGCAGGAGGTACAGCCCCCCTGGTCAGAGTCACGAGAACCACAGCTCAGGCCAAGACGGTGCCATGGAACCTCGGGAATCGTATGAAGACGTACACAGACACAGCACACGTCTCTCTCCCTGAGCAGCATGGGAACATACGCTTGCGCGCTTGGAGCGGGACGTTGGGCCAAGAAAGGCGGAGGAAAACTCAAAGGCGTTGCGACTGGTGTAGTCGGCATAGTCGTCGTTGCCAAGTAGCCTGTCTATCAGGTGTTGGGGCATTGCAGTACGGAATCAACAGTATGGCTTCCCCTCCCAATGATCCCAGTAGACACTGCACTGCTTGCACAAAGGGGAAGTCAGGGAGCCTCACAACTTACGGTACACTCCAAGACTCCAAGACCAGTCTTGAGTGAGCTTCTTCTGGCCTCTGGGACGGGCTTTCTGCGTCGCTGTTGCGCCTGCACGCCGGAGTCACGCCGTAAAACCCTGAGCCCTCCCACCCCGACACCCCCTAAAACACTACATACTCCCCAATCGACAAACCCTCAACCCTAAACCCTAAACCCCTAAACCTCCGAAAGCCCGGGGCCTCCGCAGGTGACGGCACCATCTTTTCAAATGCCAGATGGCTAAACCTCCGCTCACTTCCATGGGTGTTGGTAGTAGAGTTTACTAGGGTTTAGGGTTGAGGGTTGCGGGTTTAGGGTTTTTAGGGTTGATGGGGTTTACAGGGTTTGTGGGCGTTCATAGGGTTTATGGGCTTTCTATTTTCAGTTCGGAGTTTGCGATTTGACATAACCTGACACGGAGAACAGTTCAGCAGGACATACGTAAATTATAGCAACACCTGGTAATTCGCCATGTGGAATTTTAACATGAAGTGGACCGTCATAACTTATCAAAAACAAAGACATGCTGTATAACATGATGAATACAAAAGACGATGATATCATGTGTATACAATGATAGCATTAGGCATACCATGATATAATATCATGCTATTTGATACAAAATGATCTTCATGCCATGGAAGATGACATCCTACCAGAAGACATGATCCTTCACATATGCTACAACATGTTATCGTACGTGTAGCCACCATGCCTTTGCTTTGTCGGAGCGGGTCCGGGGTGATCAGAGCAGCTTTGAGGGCCCGACCAGCTACCAACGTTGCGACATTGAGGGCAATGCTTTGGCCCATGCCAACCTCAGCTGTTAGGGTTTAGGGTTTAGGGTTTAGGGTTTAGGGTTTAGGGTTTAGGGTTTAGGGTTTAGGGTTTAGGGTTTGGCATTCATTGCTTTCCCGCCGACGTGCGACTGAGGGGCTGTAACTGGTGGCTGCGCATGATCCTTGAGCCACTGCCTGGTGTCTGCCTTCGTCGCGTTTGCCTGCAGAGGGATCAACTCGAAAACTCAGATTTCTGCATCTCCTTCTTAGGTACTGTAAATGGGCAAAATTGGGCCAACAAAAATTGGGAAAAAATGGGCGCAAAGATGGGCTACCATGACCTGGGGCATGCTGACCCCTCCACTCGCTCCTCCATGTTGGCCGCCAGGAGTTGCCATCATCTTCACGCGCGGAGCAAGCCAAACTGGCAATGGCCGTCTACAGAACGGTTTCGAAGAACCCGAGGCCCTTCTGCAGCCCTTCTTTGGGATGGTCAGAACCGGAAGTCTGCGTGACAATGATATGTAAGTGAGATGTCCTCTCGACTCTGTCGAGTTGCACCTAGAGCTAGATAGCAAGAGTTTGGAATGTATGGACTACTACTAACTCACAACGTGCTAGTATGACTAACACTGGGACAGCTTTTGCGAAGCATGCCAGCAGACACGTGCTTATACAGCTTTCTGCCGTGAGTAGAAGCCTGTCTGGCAAGGATGCGGATCGGAGCACGACCGGGAAGGCATGACTAGGCAAGCGAGATACGACACAAGCCGCCAGCCTCGGCTTCTGAAGTGCAGCACATGTCCAGACACTGTCGCTACGAGTGAGTCTCGACTGTTCCCTTTCATTACAGCCCGTGCTCGGTGAAGGAAACGAACAACATGCATGGGAACAAGCACAACCCAAATTCCATCTGAAACCCGAAGACCGGAAGGTAATCCGACGACACGGAGGCATGGGCTTTTCTCCATTGGCACTACGGCAGCTCAAGGCTCCCAAGGCTTTGGCTCGGCATTGACAGCCCATCTAGGATTCAGGGGTTTCAGGGGTTTTGTGACGTCTATGACCTTTGAAGTGAGACCATGCCACCAAGCCATTCTAAGCCCCGATGGCCCCAAGTCGGCCATCCCACCTCGTTTGAGTGGATGGCCGCATGGCCGCGCCCACACGCATCAGAAGTCCAAAGAGGGAGCGCCCCGCTCTCACCCCACTAGCTGCAGGTGTATTCGGCACTGCTCCTAAGGCATGACATACCCCAAGTAGCTAAGTAGCCACAAGGCCCGCAGGACGTGGCCATCTCAGGGGCTCCTTCCCTTTGTCGCAGTCAACTAGATTCGGGGAACCCCAGCTCAGGCGGCTGCAGATACTTTTGAGCTTCTTGAAGACCCTTGACATGGCTTTGTTTACAGCTTCCACGCTGAGGCGGCGGAAAAGCAACATGCCGCTAGGGTTTAGGAGAGCTTAGGGTTTAGGGTTTAGGGTTTAGGGCTTCGGGTTTAGGGTTTAACTGGCAGAGCACGGTGTTTGTAGTTTTGGACAAACAAGGGAAGCGCATTCAACAACTTCAGCCAGCACTGTGCAGGGAATCCCAGGCCCTACAAGGAAGCAAAACGGTCCCCTCTTCTCAGCTTGTGCTATATTTCGCTGAGAAGGACAAGGGAACATGACTGCAGCACCTATTTGTGTTGCACTCACTACTCAATCTACTCAGCGGTTGGCGTCTATCTTGTTCCAGACCTTGGTTGCTTCAAGATCCATAAACGCCTCAACCCTAAACTACCTTCAACCGTCTGTGAACCCCAGGCTGAACGTGCCTGGGAAGAAAACTCAGGGTAGAGTCCTGCTCGTGGAAGGCAAGTGAGCAGGCACCGCTAGATTCTACTCGCTAGAGATTCTACTCGCTAGATTCTCAAAACTGCGCGAATGCAACAAGAAGGAGACACTGGAAACAAAGCTGCTGTCAACAAAAGGGCTCAGTCATAGTCTGTGCTGAACTGACCACATGCTGCTCTTCAGACTAGAGTAAACGCAGCCCAAGCTACACCGCTGGGCAGCTTGATGAACTTGTCAGCATAGGCATCCATCTTGTACAGGCGGGCGCGCAGGTCGTTGCCCTTCTTGCTGGCATCGTTGATGTTGGCGATCATCGACGCATAGTCCGCGGCCAGCTGCTGAGCGTACTTGTTCTCGTACTCCCGCTTCTCTGGCTTGAGGTGCATGACGAGCGAATTGCTAACGTTCAGCACAGGCGACGTGGGAGCCTTGAGCGGGAAGGGGAAGCTGCCGTTGGCGCGCCAGCGCTCTGGGTGCTCGCCGTGAGGACCATACGGCGAGGACGTGATGGTGTTACCGACACCCCATCGCTTTCGGTCAATGATCGTGTTGTAGTTCCACACAGCCTCCATCTCCTTGTCCAGGTAGATCAGGATCTTGTTGATGTAGCGAGCACGAGGGGGAAGGTCCTTGCCGCTGACGCTGCGGCGGCGGCGGCCCCACGTGGTCTCGACCTCCTCTTCCTCGTCTTCCTGAAGGAGAGACTTGCGGTTCCACACCACTACGTGGCCGGTGGCATTCTCGACCTTCTCCATGGTGTAGTTCACGAACTTCTCCAGCTCAGTCAGGTACTGGTAGTTCGCCACGATGGGCTTCTGAAGCGGAGCCAGGATGTGCTTGAAGTGGTTCTTGGTCTTGGTGCTGATGTCCTTCAACCATGCACTGCCCTCCTCTTCCTCTTGTTCCTCCTCATCTTCCGCTTCCAACATCTCCTGTGCGGAGCTCTTCTGGCCCTTCAGCTGCAAGGCATTCAACACGCAGGACTCTTCGCCATTGCACTGGTCGTCACCAACCAGCGCCGACTCCAACGCCTCGGGCGAAGCCGACACCAGCGCCGCCAGCGTTGCCAACCATGCAGCAAGCAGTTGCATTGCAACTGAAAATTGACTCTCGGATACTCAGCGCTGTTGACAGGTACTGTTTTGGAAAGGCTTTGGCGGCGGGCGGGCGGCAAGCAAGTGTGACTCAAACCGTGTGCAACAGCAGCACGCGAACTCCTTCCTAGCAAGTGGCAAAGCTTGGGCAATTCAGACGACTTTCACCCATTATTTTAGGTTGCCTGGCCGATGCAAGTACTGATCAACTCCCTGCGCATGCCGTTCGACAGGAGCAGGTCACCGGCAGACCGCCGTTTCAGGAACTCCTAAGAAAAAAAGCGAATGGACCGCATACTCAGCGGTTGGCGTCTATCTTGTTCCAGACCTTGGTTGCTTCAAGATCCATAAACGCCTCAACCCTAAACTACCTTCAACCGTCTGTGAACCCCAGGCTGAACGTGCCTGGGAAAGAAAACTCAGGGTAGAGTCCTGCTCGTGGAAGGCAAGTGAGCAGGCACCGCTAGATTCTACTCGCTAGAGATTCTACTCGCTAGATTCTCAAAACTGCGCGAATGCAACAAGAAGGAGCCACTGGAAACAAAGCTGCTGTCAACAAAAGGGCTCAGTCATAGTCTGTGCTGAACTGACCACATGCTGCTCTTCAGACTGGAGCAAATGCAGCCCAAGCTACACCGCTGGGCAGCTTGATGAACTTGTCAGCATAGGCATCCATCTTGTACAGGCGGGCGCGCAGGTCGTTGCCCTTCTTGCTGGCATCGTTGATGTTGGCGATCATCGACGCATAGTCCGCGGCCAGCTGCTGAGCGTACTTGTTCTCATACTCCCGCTTCTCTGGCTTGAGGTGCATGACGAGCGAATTGCTAACGTTCAGCACAGGCGACGTGGGAGCCTTGAGCGGGAAGGGGAAGCTGCCGTTGGCGCGCCAGCGCTCTGGGTGCTCGCCGTGAGGACCATACGGCGAGGACGTGATGGTGTTACCGACACCCCATCGCTTTCGGTCAATGATCGTGTTGTAGTTCCACACAGCCTCCATCTCCTTGTCCAGGTAGATCAGGATCTTGTTGATGTAGCGAGCACGGGGGGGAAGGTCCTTGCCGCTGACACTGCGGCGGCGGCGGCCCCACGTGGTCTCGACCTCCTCTTCCTCGTCTTCCTGAAGGAGAGACTTGCGGTTCCACACCACTACGTGGCCGGTGGCATTCTCGACCTTCTCCATGGTGTAGTTCACGAACTTCTCCAGCTCAGTCAGGTACTGGTAGTTCGCCACGATGGGCTTCTGAAGCGGAGCAAGGATGTGCTTGAAGTGGTTCTTGGTCTTGGTGCTGATGTCCTTCAACCATGCACTGCCCTCCTCTTCCTCTTGTTCCTCCTCATCTTCTGCTTCCAACATCTCCTGTGCGGAGCTCTTCTGGCCCTTCAGCTGCAAGGCATTCAACACGCAGGACTCTTCGCCATTGCACTGGTCGTCACCAACCAGCGCCGACTCCAACGCCTCGGGCGAAGCCGACACCAGCGCCGCCAGCGTTGCCAACCATGCAGCAAGCAGTTGCATTGCAACTGAAAATTGACTCTCGGATACTCAGCGCTGTTGACAGGTACTGTTTTGGAAAGGCTTTGGCGGCGGGCGGGCGGCAAGCAAGTGTGACTCAAACCGTGTGCAACAGCAGCACGCGAACTCCTTCCTAGCAAGTGGCAAAGCTTGGGCAATTCAGACGACTTTCACCCATTATTTTAGGTTGCCTGGCCGATGCAAGTACTGATCAACTCCCTGCGCATGCCGTTCGACAGGAGCAGGTCACCGGCAGACCGCCGTTTCAGGAACTCCTAAGAAAAAAGCGAATGGACCGCATACTCAGCGGTTGGCGTCTATCTTGTTCCAGACCTTGGTTGCTTCAAGATCCATAAACGCCTCAACCCTAAACTACCTTCAACCGTCTGTGAACCCCAGGCTGAACGTGCCTGGGAAAGAAAACTCAGGGTAGAGTCCTGCTCGTGGAAGGCAAGTGAGCAGGCACCGCTAGATTCTACTCCCTAGAGATTCTACTCGCTAGATTCTCAAAACTGCGCGAATGCAACAAGAAGGAGCCACTGGAAACAAAGCTGCTGTCAACAAAAGGGCTCAGTCATAGTCTGTGCTGAACTGACCACATGCTGCTCTTCAGACTAGGAGTAAATGCAGCCCAAGCTACACCGCTGGGCAGCTTGATGAACTTGTCAGCATAGGCATCCATCTTGTACAGGCGGGCGCGCAGGTCGTTGCCCTTCTTGCTGGCATCGTTGATGTTGGCGATCATCGACGCATAGTCCGCGGCCAGCTGCTGAGCGTACTTGTTCTCATACTCCCGCTTCTCTGGCTTGAGGTGCATGACGAGCGAATTGCTAACGTTCAGCACAGGCGACGTGGGAGCCTTGAGCGGGAAGGGGAAGCTGCCGTTGGCGCGCCAGCGCTCTGGGTGCTCGCCGTGAGGACCATACGGCGAGGACGTGATGGTGTTACCGACACCCCATCGCTTTCGGTCAATGATCGTGTTGTAGTTCCACACAGCCTCCATCTCCTTGTCCAGGTAGATCAGGATCTTGTTGATGTAGCGAGCACGGGGGGGAAGGTCCTTGCCGCTGACACTGCGGCGGCGGCGGCCCCACGTGGTCTCGACCTCCTCTTCCTCGTCTTCCTGAAGGAGAGACTTGCGGTTCCACACCACTACGTGGCCGGTGGCATTCTCGACCTTCTCCATGGTGTAGTTCACGAACTTCTCCAGCTCAGTCAGGTACTGGTAGTTCGCCACGATGGGCTTCTGAAGCGGAGCAAGGATGTGCTTGAAGTGGTTCTTGGTCTTGGTGCTGATGTCCTTCAACCATGCACTGCCCTCCTCTTCCTCTAGTTCCTCCTCATCTTCTGCTTCCAACATCTCCTGTGCGGAGCTCTTCTGGCCCTTCAGCTGCAAGGCATTCAACACGCAGGACTCTTCGCCATTGCACTGGTCGTCACCAACCAGCGCCGACTCCAACGCCTCGGGCGAAGCCGACACCAGCGCCGCCAGCGTTGCCAACCATGCAGCAAGCAGTTGCATTGCAACTGAAAATTGACTCTCGGATACTCAGCGCTGTTGACAGGTACTATTTTGGAAAGGCTTTGGCGGCGGGCGGGCGGCAAGCAAGTGTGACTCAAACCGTGTGCAACAGCAGCACGCGAACTCCTTCCTAGCAAGTGGCAAAGTTTGGGCAATTCAGACGACTTTCACCTACTATTTTAGGTTGCCTGGCCGATGCAAGTATTGATCAACTCCCTGCGCATGCCGTTCGACAGGAGCAGGTCTCTGGCAGACCGCCGTTTCAGGAACTCCTAAGAAAAAAAGCGAATGGACCGCATACTCAGCGGTTGGCGTCTATCTTGTTCCAGACCTTGGTTGCTTCAAGATCCATAAACGCCTCAACCCTAAACTACCTTCAACCGTCTGTGAATCCCAGGCTGAACGTGCCTGGGAAGAAAACTCAGGGTAGAGTCCTGCTCGTGGAAGGTAAGTGAGCAGGCACTGCTAGATTCTACTCGCTAGAGATTCTACTCGCTAGATTCTCAAAACTGCGCGAATGCAACAAGAAGGAGCCACTGGAAACAAAGCTGCTGTCAACAAAAGGGCTCAGTCATAGTCCGTGCTGAACTGACCACATGCTGCTCTTCAGACTAGAGCAAATGCAGCCCAAGCTACACCGCTGGGCAGCTTGATGAACTTGTCAGCATAGGCATCCATCTTGTACAGGCGGGCGCGCAGGTCGTTGCCCTTCTTGCTGGCATCGTTGATGTTGGCGATCATCGACGCATAGTCCGCGGCCAGCTGCTGAGCGTACTTGTTCTCATACTCCCGCTTCTCTGGCTTGAGGTGCATGACGAGCGAATTGCTAACGTTCAGCACAGGCGACGTGGGAGCCTTGAGCGGGAAGGGGAAGCTGCCGTTGGCGCGCCAGCGCTCTGGGTGCTCGCCGTGAGGACCATACGGCGAGGACGTGATGGTGTTACCGACACCCCATCGCTTTCGGTCAATGATCGTGTTGTAGTTCCACACAGCCTCCATCTCCTTGTCCAGGTAGATCAGGATCTTGTTGATGTAGCGAGCACGAGGGGGAAGGTCCTTGCCGCTGACGCTGCGGCGGCGGCGGCCCCACGTGGTCTCGACCTCCTCTTCCTCGTCTTCCTGAAGGAGAGACTTGCGGTTCCACACCACTACGTGGCCGGTGGCATTCTCGACCTTCTCCATGGTGTAGTTCACGAACTTCTCCAGCTCAGTCAGGTACTGGTAGTTCGCCACGATGGGCTTCTGAAGCGGAGCAAGGATGTGCTTGAAGTGGTTCTTGGTCTTGGTGCTGATGTCCTTCAACCATGCACTGCCCTCCTCTTCCTCTTGTTCCTCCTCATCTTCTGCTTCCAACATCTCCTGTGCGGAGCTCTTCTGGCCCTTCAGCTGCAAGGCATTCAACACGCAGGACTCTTCGCCATTGCACTGGTCGTCACCAACCAGCGCCGACTCCAACGCCTCGGGCGAAGCCGACACCAGCGCCGCCAGCGCTGCCAACCATGCAGCAAGCAGCTTCATGACGATCACAAAAGTGGAAAACTAATGCTACACACAAAGCGCTGTTCGCAAGTGTTGCTGGGAAGCGGCGGCAGAATTGCACAAAGGTGTGAGGTTACAACAACCTGGCGTAGTCCGAAGAGCCTTCACATGCCATCCTTCTTTGGGGGCTATTGTGCTCTGATCTATTTTGGCCTCTTTTCCAGGCGGTCTCTTTTGCGAGACGCACTAGCATCCTTAGAGCTGGCCCACGGAACAAGCACCCTTGTCCAATGCCTCCGAAGTCACCGAAGGGTAGTCTGAACATTATTTTGGGGCTTGTTGGTCGTGTTTCTAGATGTAAGCACCGCCAAAACCTACGTTCGAGGATCAACTTGCCCCGAACCTACTACGTGCGTCGACAGTACATCGTCAAGACTCAAGACCAAAGGTTGTTGTATCGTCCGCAATGACAAATCGCCGCTTGCACGTCCTGCTTCACTCGCCCTGATGTCCGCGCAAGCATGGCAGAGTTGCAACTGCTGCTTCACGGCCTCACGATTCGCGGTGTTCGAGATGATACTCCTGCCTCAATCCTCGCGACGCGCAGAGCTGTTGTCGCTTTTGGGCCTTGGACCAATCTCCCGTGGACAGGCGTAGCAATTGAAAGCTCCGGGTGCAGGTGCTAATCCTTCGATTGTTCGCCACCAGCGGTCACCGCTTGACAAGTTACTGCTTCGGGTCTACGCCTACGCCCAATCAATTGGCATGTTTACTCAACTTTCTTGGAAGCTCTTGGGAAATATGCTCATGGTCCCTTACCGTTGAAATTAGTAAGAGATTGTCTGGACTGGGTACTGTGAGTTCCGTGGGAGGCAGATCGATCCTGCACATGGACATGCCACATTTGTGACAGTCCAGAGAAGCTGCCAGTGCTCACACATGTGCCCAAAGAGTCTGATCAGGCGGAGCTGTTAGTCTCACAAAAATGGGGTGCAAGGCGAGGTGAGCATGGCAAGCACGAGTGGCGTTAAAAGCACTCCTGGGTCCTTCTCAACAGCCCCTGTGCAACTATCGCAACGTGGCTGAGCCTCTGTAGCCCAACAGGATGAGAACCTTGAACAAAGGGGGGAGCCTGTTGCAGACCCGAGCTTATTAAGGTTTTACTTACACAGGTTTGTGAGTCATGTTGCTACCGCACAAAGCTATGCACGAGGCTGAGAAGCGTAGAACAGGAGCTGGCAGCCCACCCTAAGTCATCCACAGATGTGGAAGGCTTGGGTTTAAAGAAGTGTCAGGCGGCTCAGCGACCACAGCAGAGGCGGTTCAGGGTTCAGGTTTAGGGACAGCTGTCTCAGAAAGGCACACAACATGCACACGCAACCCTAGTCAAAACACCTACGAATGCCCCCCCACAACGGTACTCTCGGAAAATGTCAGAGCTCATCCGAGGTCCCAGCTACAGTTACGAGCCAACATGCAGCTTTCTGCATCGTGCCACTGAAAGGCAGCGGAACTGAATATGTCTTGCAGGGCATCCTGGGGTGTGGGGCATTCTTCATGGTGCGTGAAGGAGTCGGCTACCGTCCTACTAAGCGCCCGAGTCTGCTGCAGCACACGGAGCCACTATCTGTCGACTTCACTATCTCTGGGCATCGATCTTGTTCCAGACACCGCTGGGCAGCTTGATGAACTGGTCAGCGAAGGCATCCATCTTGTACAGGCGGGCGCGCAGGTCGTTGCCCTTCTTGCTAGCGTCGTTGATGTTGTCAATAAGCGATTGGTAGTCTGCAGCAAGCTGCTGAGCATACTTGTTGTCATACTCGCGCTTCTCTGCTTTGACGTGCATGACGAGCGAATTGCTCACGTTCAGCACAGGCGACATGGGAGCCTTGAGCGGGAAGGGGAAGCTACCGTTGGCGCGCCAGCGCTCTGGGTGCTCGCCGTGAGGACCGTACGGCGAGGACGTGATGGTGTTACCGACGCCCCATCGCTTTCGGTCAATGATCGTGTTGTAGTTCCACACAGCCTCCATCTCCTTGTCCAGGTAGATCAGGATCTTGTTGATGTAGCGAGCGCGGGGGGGAAGGTCCTTGCCGCTGACACTGCGGCGGCGGCGGCCCCACGTGGTCTCGACCTCCTCTTCCTCATCTTCCTGAAGGAGAGACTTGCGGTTCCACACCACTAGGTGGCCGGTGGCATTCTCGACCTTCTCCATGGTGTAGTTCACGAACTTCTCCAGCTCAGTCAGGTACTGGTAGTTCGCCACGATGGGCTTCTGAAGCGGAGACAGGATGTGCTTGAAGTGGTTCTTGGTCTTGGTGCTGATGTCCTTCAACCATGCACTGCCCTCCTCTTCCTCTTGTTCCTCCTCATCTTCTGCTTCCAACATCTCCTGTGCGGAGCTCTTCTGGCCCTTCAGCTGCAAGGCATTCAACACGCAGGACTCTTCCCCGCCGTTGCACTGGTCGTCACCAACCAGCGCCGACTCCAACGCCTCCGGCGAAGCCGACACCAGCGCCGCCAGCGCTGCCCCACACAAAGTGGCAACGATCTTCATGGCACTGTTCTGACACGACCTCAAGGGCTCTAAAAAGTCTCGGGATGCGGTATTCGAGCCAGCTGAGCGGGCTCCTTGACACCTTCGGCTGTTGGAGGTTGCCGGCTCGCTACGGCCTGCTCGGGTGGCCTCTGATCTGCAAATCTCTCCGAAAGCCCTGCGAAAGCCTGAACTGCGTCGCTGCTCTCATGTTCCGCTGCGCGTGCCAGAGCTCGTTTCTCTGTGCCCCGTGTGTGAAACGCGGATCGGACGCTTGACTCCCTCACGACTTCTGGCCTTCAAACATTCCCCAGTAGTCAAGTTTTCTCTTGTTGCAGAAAGTAAGCCTTACTAAAACTTTCTTCTGCTCGCTCTGGCAGCGGGCCGCTTTTCAGCCATCGAGCGCCAGAGGGATCCTGGTGAGGGGCTTAGGGGCTGCGCTGGTCGCCTTGGAGGGCGCTTCGAAAGCTGATCGTTTTCGGAATTCTGTGACTCCGCCCTCGGGGCACAGAGTGCCTCACGTCGGAAACCGCAGCCTTGGAGATGCTGAGATCACGGGGCCAAGTGGAAGAAACAGCTGAAGCTCCTCTCCGACCCCTGAATCCCCAAACCGCCAACCCCTGAAGCGCAATCGAATCCCGCTTCAGAAGGCAAGCTGAGATACGTCTTGCGGAAGTTCGACGGGTGGAGCACTTGCCTGTCAGCACATTGCCAGGCAAAGCATGGCAAAGCATGGCAAAGCCCCACAACTTCCCACAACGCATCCGCAACCTTGGGGAGAGGGCTCGGGAAGGTGTTGACAGTTCTCGTGATCGTCATTGTGGCAGCAGCATCCTAGGGGGAGCCTACTATATTTGATGATGCGCAGCATGTTGCTAGCAGGGTTCAGAATTTAGGAGCTAGGGCTAGGCTAGCTTTATGAAACCAGGGCTTAGCATTGCTGTTGCGGAGCGGCTTCCGCTGTTGCGTGTCAAGCTCCTGCCCTCTGCTTTCATCTGCGTTCCGTGGCTCCCCAGCACCGTCTGAACAGCACAGGCTTACACAGAGCAGCTTGACAAGAAGAGACCACATCAAGCAGCCAGCAAACGGGAACCTTGACCGCCTGGGGCGTACAACCCACCAACTTGCCCAGCCTGCCTGTCCTAGATTTGATGCGAAGAACTCATCATCTGATAGCTTCTGGACGGCTTGCGGCTGTCAATACCAACGGGTTCACCACGCAACACACAGCGCTACAGAAGCACTCCCAAGTAAGTAACAACAGATCATTTCCTGCCTGGTACGGGCACAGTGGGCGACACACAAGAGCAGAAGAAAGAAGTCCCAAGAAATGTCCCAAGGTTCCCTCTATCGGCCATCGGATATCAGTTGTCCCAACGCGCAAATACCGATTCTGCCCCCACTACTTTGCCAACAGTACCGGACCAACGAAACTGCTCCACCAAGCAAGCCAAAATCCAGACATACTAAGACAATGATCTCCAAGAACACCTGAATCCTCACGAGTTCACCGACCCACGTAGGTAACCCCGCCTACAATCGCAGGCAAAAAAATTAGAAAACCACATTTGTCAGGCCATAGTGCGGGCACAGAGCGTGCATAAGACCACGACGGTGGCGCTACAAACATTTGTTACAAGATCACGATCCAACCCGAAAAAGGTGCAAGTTCTGCACTTCAGGGCAACCCTTACCGGGAACCACAGCCTTGCTACGAATGAAACAAAGTACTCGTGAAAACCCTCGACCCCGAAGCTCTCAAAGCCATGCCGGCACGGCTGAGAACAGCCCGCGGGCACAACACACAGAGAGCCAGGGGGGCCGACACCTTGGGGAGTTGAGAGCCTAAGTTTCAGGGTTTTTGAAGTTAGAGCTATGGCAGCTATGGTTTTAAGCTCTAGGCTTTCGGGAAGGTTTGGGGATGGGGGGTATCGGCATCAATCATAGGATGTTTTTGCCGTGTGCAGTGTCGTTTTTCGCGCTTAGGGGACTCCACAACCGACAGACGGGACGGTCAAGGGGGGAGAACTCTCATGGCAACGTCATGACGGGGCACTGTTGAGTGCTGTAGTCTGGGTGGGCTGGGGGTCTGACCGGCTAGTCCCAAACCCAATGCGATCGTAAGCTCATATCCCCCGTGCTTGTTGCGGATGCTTCGTGGGCACTACTGGGCCGATTCTCTGAGGGTGGATACATGTGGGCGCCTGCGGGAGGTGGGATTCTCTGAAGTTGAGCACTAGCACTCCAAAAACACCGCCAGAATTCTCCGCGGACTTGTCTTGGGGCACTCCAGGGATACTCAGAGACACTCTCTGCGGGATTCTCGGGGCGGGAGCAGGCGAAGAGCATGGGGAGAATTGCACACTCAGAAGCCTGGCTCACACCGGGGGTGGACACAAGAGTGGCAACGCCAGCAATATGAACTGGCAAGTGTAGGGCGCTCAATGCACTTGAGTCGAAACCCTTGCGCCAAAACGGCTAGGGGTTTTGGGATTTGTGAGTCTTTAGATGGGGTTTAAATATTAACCATTATTCTTATTGTTCTTAAGCTGTAACCATGAAGGTTGTGTGCTTGGCGCCTGTGCTTCGGCGTTAAGGCATTTGGCTCTTCAGGGTGAGGTTCAAGATCCTAGGTCTTGCTTCAGTCGGTGCCGGAGAACTTGCCACTGCCGCAGGGCCTTGAAATCCACAAAATCCGCAAACTAATCCAGAGGAAAGGGCCATTAAACGATTGGGGTTCAGAGGGCTTAATTAAGGGTCGACATCCACGGTTGGTCCAAAAGGTGGAGGACACTACTAGGGCACCACACCCCCAGGAAAAAATGATCCACAATACCCACAACCTCCCGCAGAAGCGCTTCGAATCCCTCAGGCAGGCGCTGGTCGCTTCCACCGCCAGGCCCACGAGCAAGGCCGGCACGTATCGCTGCAGGGTCTGGGAGAAAAACTCCACCTGCAGGTTCGGGTTTCGTGGGTTAGGGGTTGAAGGGGTGATTTTAAAGGGGATCCTCAAGGAGCGGTGGCTCAGGGTGTGAAGAAACGTGTCAACGTGCAACCTTCTCAGATTCGCAGGATGGCTGCTGCAGTTTCAGACATTTTGCCATAGATGCAGCACTGTGTACCCTGGCCATGAGACGAGGTTTGCCGCGACCCGCGCGGATGTCCCGGCACCATGCTAGACTTCCGTGACCAAGACATACGGTCAGTTCTCTCTATGTAGTAGGGTTGATACTACTTGTATCCCGAAAAGGACACCCAACACATACACTCACCAGGCACCCAATATACACCCAATAGCAGCTGCATGAACCCTGTTTCAGACTGAGTTTGTTTACCCAACCTGAAGCCCTTCCCTGTACCAAGCCTGGCCCTCTACAGGGATGAAGCCGCGTGGCATGGCGCCTGAAACAGAGTTCGGGCCGGGGGGGGGGCGGGGGGGGGGGGGAGGCGGGGTGGAGAATGTTTTCCGGCCCTTTCTGTCGGTTCTTTGTGGGATTCTGGGAGTTCGGGATAATCTGCTGCCTTCTCCCACTGTGGGATTCTCTGAGGAGGTGGGGGCTCAGTCAGGAAGTCAGTGCAATCGCTGAAGCCAAAACCTAACAACCCCACACCAAGGGTGGGATATTTGGCCCAACGAAGACTTTGGTCTCAAGCAGGCGGGTAAGAACCAGAAGAGCAAGCACGCGTAGTACCAGAGCTCATCGTGCTAGACTACTAAACATCTAAGAGATCAAGCAACGATGACAGCAGCGCAAGAGTATTGACGTTGCGTGTGCAACGCCACGACAGCGAAGAACATTCAAGGCCAAGTCGTCGTCACCACCCACACATCGCCATACGTGTAAACATACCCTTTGCAGTCCTCCCGTTTCATACTTGTTTTTGGGGGTTCTGGCCATGTGGTTGTCTGGGGCGCAGGTGCGCAGTTGCAAGCAAGATGCCTCGATGATGTGTCGTCAGGGACCCTCCAACCCTCAGTCCTGCCCTCTCGTTAACAAAACACACAACAGTTGTAAAAATAAGAAATTGCAAGGCAACATACGTACATATATGTACATAGAGCAACATAGCATGTTTATAGCAATGTGTACATGGTATAGAAAGAATGTGCCATAACGATTGCACAACATTGAAATGTCAAATTGTATGTATGTGTGTATATATATATACATGTATATGAACGTCTATGCGTTTGTAATTTGTTGCGCATTTTCATGTTCGCGTACAGATAGCAACATAACATGGAATACTATATCACAAAGGAACAGAAATTAAGCTTACACTATATTAGGCACATAATCAGAATATCAATATGCAATAACATGACAACTCCCAATATATCAAATAAAAATTTCTAGCATATAGTAACAAAAATAGTCGCAACATCATATAGTAGCATTACATCAACATAACTGTTTCTAGTAACAGATATATGCATAATACAGAAGTACAAACGCAAAAACACTGATACTCACAAGAAAAGCATAGTGATTGAGAATATAATATCAAATAGAGACATTTTATGTGTATAGATAGATAGATATCGCACCTCGTAGTAACGTTCTGAATGTAATACCAGAATGCTTGCCGACGCTTTCCGGCCTCCGGCCGGGGCAACATCGGCCACTGGGGCCGGTCTGAGCGTGGGATGTGGGGACAGTCATCACGGGAACCGAGCCTTAAACCTCACGGAACCCTTTTGTCCGTAAATAGGGCTTAGGGTCTAGGGTCTAGGGTCTAGGGTTTTGGAAGTTTGGGTTCCTGAACCCTAAACCTGGAACCTGGCGCAAGACAGAAAAGGACTGCTGGCACCTGAGCTGTTCGAGTTGTTGGGGGGCATGAGGGCTCATTTTGACCTCATCTGGGGATTGCTCACTGGGAATGGGTAGCTTGCGCAGAGCTTAGGGCATAAGGGGGGGGGGTTTCCGAAGTCAGGGGTAGCTTCTTAGGGTCCTTCATTATAGGGGGATCCTAGTCGCAAACCTTTATAGGGTGTTGGGATATTGGGTGCCGTGCCTCATGGTGGGCCACTCCTCCTTCCGATGGGAGCGACTCGGGCATCTTGGGTCTTCAAAGCTCAAGGCGCAAAAGCAGCGCAGCAGACACGATAATTCAGGAAGAAGGAGCTCCATCTTCCCCCGAACTCTTAAAACAAAATGCAGAATCGTCACAGAGACTCAGCACTAGTACCACCTGATACTACCGAATCATGCACAACCCACGTAGCAAACAGCAGAAGGCACTGAAATCCACAAATCGCCCGCCGCTAAGGCTCCTCGGCTCTCAGCGGCCTTCCCACAGCTGCAGCCTCGAACTCTTGGGCCGGCTCGGGTCACAGCTACATAGCCATATAGTGCTGACATAGTGCTTACATAGGGCTACATCGCTTGAACAAAAGCCTGAACAAAAAAAAGAGGCCTGGCCTGGGTGCTCTGCAGAGCTGAGTTTGAGGTGCCTGACGGTGTAGGCCACAGGGGTGGCTGCTCGGTACCAGGCCAGGTTGCTGGAGGTGGTAGCGGCGGAGGCTCTGAGGGCATGCCGTTGACACCGGTGGCACCGATGGCACCGGTGGCACCGGTGGCACTGGCGGTGCCGGTGCTTGGCCCGCGCGGTGGATGCCAACGTGTTCGGGGGTCTGTGGCCTGGTCTGCGACCTGCCTGGGCTGGCTGACCATGGCTGACTGCGCGGCAGGACTCGTCCCGGGAGCCATCACGCGCGCCTGGGTCGACCCAGCCATGTTGACACCTTGCTGCCAAGGCGGTGGCTGTCGAGCAAAGGAGGTCTGGGCCGACCGCGGGCGTCGCGGCTGCGATGGGGTCTGCGATGGGGTCTGCGATGGGGTCTGCGATGGGGTCTGCGATGGGGCCTGCGATGGGGTCGAGGGTGCAGGCACGTGTTGAGCCTGCTCTGCCTCGGGCATCCTGGGTCCTCGTTGTTTTTGCAGCTCCTTGGTGGAAAGCTTCCAAGAATGTCCAGACTTGTGGGGCAAGGGAAAGGCGAGCGCTGTTCACGTCTCGTTGAACAACTTCAGATCTAGGTTTGTGTTATAAGAGTTTGAGGATGCAGGTTGGGGCCCGGAATGACAATCAAAGCCCATTCATCCCCAATCCCAACCACCAACCACCGCAAGGCCATCACTGGACAGTCAAGCTGCTTGCTGGAGAAAGGCGTCCCATTCTTGTTGGGCACTACTGGGAGGGGCCTTCGCAAGCTACAGCAAAGAAGACTGTGCCGCAAGTTCTGGGAGGGAAAGGGGCTAAGTGACCAAGAGCGGACGTGCCTGTTGCTGTACGAGGGCCTGCCACTCCAGGTCCACCACAGAAGGTGCTTGGACGGCACGTGCAGGCTGTGCCTGTGCCTGTGATGCCAGTGGAGAGGTCATATCAAGAGAAAAATCACGACTCCACGGGTGATGATGTGAGCATAGGAGCAAGAGAAAGCGGGGCAGCTTGCCTGCTGCTGCAGCAGTGCTTCCCACTCTTGGTCGGCCGCGCTGGAGGCTTTGTGCGCGCTCAATGCCGGTCCGCGGCTCGACCGCTGGGACTGCACGTGCTCTCGCTCTCTGCTACAAGGAGTGGCAAACGAGTCTCTGCAGGGCATCACTACACAGACTGAAGCAAGATGCCTGCTGCTGCATGAGAGCTTCCCATTCCTGATCTGCAGCGCTGACGGGTCGATCAGCTCTGGAGTTTGGCACAGGCCGCGGAGCATGCGCCTGGCAGCGCTGTACATGCGGCTCTCCGCTTCAGGCCGCTTTGGCTGGGCCGACATGGGGGCAACTAGAATGGAAGGAAAATGTCTAACCCCAGCAACACATCCCCGCCCCATCCATTCCCACTTTTCGTCAGCAAATGATGAAGCAAGAGATCCATCTCTTTGCACGTTCACCGTCTATTTTCTATCCACTTCACCAGGTCACTCACTTCGCTCATAATCGAGTTTTTTGGAATCACCTTCTTCGGCCCCTTCGTTGTCTACAGACCAGTACTTGCAAGGCTTGGCAAAGCTTGGCGACGCAAAGCTGCCTGCACATCCGGCATTGAAGGCCGCGGTGTGGCTCCAGGCGTGAAGCCCTGTTGATCTTCGAGGCGCCTCAGCTGGGTGCTGGTGAGTTTTTGCTCAAGCGACACAGCTAGCAGCTAGCATATGCCCAGTACACCTCAGTACCCGGAGGCAGCCTACTTTCCTGGACACGAGATGTCTGCTTCTGATACCAACACGCCTCATGCAGCGCTAGGTCCCAAACGCTACATCCTCAAGGAGCACTTCACGCCTCGGTGGGCAACAGTAGTCCCATTCCTCTGGGTGCCCATGCGTTCCATGCGTTCCAAGTTACTCAGCTGCGGAATCAGATTACCCTTCATAACACAAAAATCGGTGATGCTGCTTGGGATCATGGTGGACTTGCCAGCTGTGATTCGTACGTGTCTGAGCCCGGCGGCTGTTCTATTCTCTCAAGTATCATAAAACTGCTACAGGGCGTAGGTTTAGTCTGCGTGGGAGTTTCGACAGGTTCGACTCGTCGGAAAGCTAAAGAATCCGAACGAACGAGGGGTGGGCAGCCCCTGAGACCTCGTACGAAGGACTCCCGGTCCCAAACCTGGAAACTCCCGAGCTTTATGCAGCTGATTCCGACTAATTAGCAGTAGCACGAACCGGCAACACGTATCAACTGCCGAAATATTCATCCTGTGCCTATTCTTTCAGACCAACCCTAAACCCTAAACCCTAAACCCTAAACCCTAAACCCTACACCTAAACCGTTTCAGACTAGTCGGGGGAAATTGCCACCCATCTTTCGGGTCTCGTCAAGCAGCGCAAAGCCCACGGGCATGCCAAAGGAGATCACGGCCTCTTCCAGACTGTCCTGTGCTTTGCCCACAAGGTTTAAGCTTTAGGGTTTAGGGTTTAGGGGTTCAGAGGTTCAGAGGTTCAGGGGTTCAGGGTTTAGGGTTTAGGGTTTAGGGTGTAGGGTGTAGGGTTTAGGGTTTCAGGTTTAGGGTTTCAGGTTTAGGGTTCAGGGCTAAGGGATTTGGTGTCTTGGGATGAAGGGACTTCGGATTTCGGGGGTACCCGGTGCCCGAGATCCACTTTGTGCAGGCAGGTTGCAGCGCGCACTTTCCTCGCCCCCGCAACACGGAGACTGCCTGCCAATGCGAGTACTTAAGGTTTGGGGGCTAATCAGTTCGCGTCTGAGACATGTGGATGTATGCTCATGGAACTAGTGACAAAGATCTCCAATCCCGAGGCACAGAACAGATGTTAAAGTCAAAGCTGTGGACATTTATGCCTTCCGTTACCATGCATGTATCAAGAGTGTGTAGCTTCAAAGATAGGGTCCCCATTCTGGCGGTTCTTGTTTCGAGGGATTCTATGATGATCAGAACGACTCCCAATGCCACAGGGTAGACCGCACCCCAGGAGAAGGCACAGCCTGCGTTAATGGTAAAGGCCAGCTCAGACGGCGTGAGCTTCTGCTTCACCTCATCCGGCACGAGCACACGTGCGAAGGCAACTGATATAGCAAGACATGGTAAACGTGCATGGCCTGGAAGGTCGGCCCCAGGACTGTCTGTGTCTGTGTCTGTGTCTCTCTGTCTGTGTGTCTGTGTGTCTGTGTGTCTGTGTGTCTGTGTGTCTGTGTGCCTGTGTGTCTGTGTGTCTGTGTGTCTGTGTGTCTGTGTGTCTGTGTGTCTGTGTGTCTGTGTGTCTGTGCGTCTGTGTGTCTGTGCGTCTGTGTGTCTGTGTGTCTGTGTGTGGGTGGGTGGGTGGGTGGGTGGGTGGGCGGGTGGGTGGGTGGGTGGGTCTCTGCGCGCGCGCGCTTGCGCGTACTCGTGTCCGCACTGGAAACACAGGAAGCATTGTCACGAGAATGTCCTGCAAAGACTCCAGAAACAAATCCCCACAAGACTTCATGAGAGCTCACCACACGGAAATGCAGGCTGCAGGCAAGCAACCATGATAATGTTCAGCACGCCATCTGGAAGGCAGACGCCAACCGAAAGGCGGACCATGGGAGACCGCATGGTAACCTCCAGTCCGGCTGCGTCTCAGTGTTTCACTTGCATGATGCCGCAATTGTGCCCCTTCTGCCGCTGGGTGGCATTACAAGAAGAGGTTTGTTTTAACTTGGCCTGGGAACAACACTCCTGCATCTCGTTTACTGCCACGGCGTGCTCTTCTTCGAGCTGGACTCTTTCTGCGTGCTAGAATGCACAGATCGCTACGGAAAGCCGTTGCTGCCAAGGAGCTGTTTTGAACTGTTCAGGGAGGACTGTCAACTCCTCGACACGATCTACAACCAAGCCCCAGCCCCTACGTCTGCTGGTGTGGCGCTGCCGACTGAGCTTTTGCTGATAAGCCCAGTCGAAGTCACCCAAGCACACAATCTGAAAATCCTTGGAGTTAGACCCGAAAGTCGACCCTCGAAAGCTTACATCCTACAGGTTGAGAGCATGAGGGTAAGACAGTGTGAGAGCGAGAGAGAAGTATAGAGAGATTGGTTTCCTCACTTGACACAGCCTGTGCAAGCACAACCTCTATTGTGGACCCGCTGCAGCCCAGATTCCATGAATGGCCGAGTGGTCTCCTGAGCAGCATCAGTGGTGGGAACGACTGGAATTTACGGAACAGTACAAGACCTCTTCTCTCGGCCGCATCGTCTCCGAGCTGCGTCACACATGAGAGAAGAATCATTATGGTGCGATGTTGCCATTTTTTAGGATCCTGAATATCCCTCCACAGGAGCGCAAGCATCTTCAACCTGAGCCGTTTTGTTCATAACAGGCCTTCCTGGGACCACTTCCCGGTCTTCGTGTCTTCTGTGTGCTGACCCATCCGAACTCTTCCCGTGCAGCCCAGGCTTCGACGATCAGCTTGTACTGCTCGCGGAGCCTTCTGGCATGCTCCTCCCTGCGCTTCCTCGGGCTTCAAGCGGATATCGTTTAGGGTTTAGGGTTTGGGGTTTAGAGTTTAGGAAACCGCAAACCTAAACCCCAAACCATGGAAGCTGCAGCCAGCGTGCCCCACGATGGGGATGCCAGTGTCGAGATCCTCCTTTGCAGCCTAGGTCCGAAAGGCAGGATGGGTCGGATAGCTCGACAGCCATGGCCTGAGACCTCGGAGTTCCACATGAGGCCCCACTGATACCCCCCGCCTGCAGCATGCCTTCTGCATCCTCTTCCAGCAGTATGCGAACCTCTGCGCGGGTTCACCAGCTTCGCCCTATGGGCTTAACACGAAAGCTGGCCTCTATAATTGTAACCCAACATCCCCGAAACTTCCCCATACCACCGGAATGAAGCCTAAACGAAGACACCCGTTTGGGCAACAGGACTCGAAGAGGATGCACGACTTGAGCACAATAACCTTGAGCAAACTCTTAAACATCCCTGTTGCTCCAATAGACCCAAAACCCTGAACAACCCCTACAACTCCGAACCCGAGCTGCAAGGAACTGACACATCCTTCAATGGACTCTAGTGAAGTTCCGCGGTCAAGCACCAAAGGACGCAACAGCAGCTGCCCTAGAACATTTGGGCAAACAGCGTCTTTCAAGGTAACGCAGGCACGCGATTGCCCCCCCCCCCCCCCCCAACCCACAACCTTTGAAAAAATCAGGCCAGCCCTGTCACCGTTAGCCCGGCCTGGGTGTCCAACATGTTCTGGAAGGTGTACTTCTGGCTCTTGAAGGTCTGGGCACCGGGTCGGGCATCTCTGATGGAAGGACACTTACGGCACAGCAGCGTCTCAGGCATGAGCTGACATTTTCGCCATTTTCTCCGCGCCCGAAGTCATCCTAAGTTAGCGGAATGTTGCTGTGACGAGGTTCAGCCAAAAGCGACAGCCGACAGCCAGAACGGCCAGTTCATCTCGCACACTGACCCGGAGAATCGTAAGAAGCGTCTTGTACACGGCTGCCAAGAGTGATGAGACGTGATAAGGCCACGCACCATACATTCCATGATTCCAGCAAACATGATACATGCTGCAAGCACCCCTTGTAGCAAAAGCAGCGCCCACTCTGCAGGCATGCCACTTGCGGAAGAGATGCATGTCCGCTCCTGCCGCGGAAGCTTGGTCCAGACATAGAGGGAATGTCAAGATTCCTATCCCCCGTTGTAAGGACCCAACGGAGCCCAATAATGACCCTTCTGGGCTCCGATCTCTCTAAGCCTCCAAGAATTGTTCGAGAACGGTGGGGATGCGTGAGGTGGTGGAGATCATGATGATCAACGTTCACATCTTTGAAGACTGCCTTACGTACACAACCTGTTCAAGATCACCGTGACCCTTCTTGGCACGGCCAAGAAGACACCACTTTCCAGCGTCGAGCCCTCGACGAAACATAATGCCTCCACCTCAAATGTCTCCATCGTCCTCGAAACAACCCGAAGCCTTACCCCCGATGAAAATGCCGTGCCCTGAATAAAGAGGCACGCGTCCTGGCTCAGGCCCCGCGGCGCTGCAGAGGCAGAAGGCAAGAGGGTCGCTGCAACGACGACTTCTTTCTAGTAATTGTACTGGTTATACTTTTTTTTCGTTAGGCTCGCAGCTTGCAGTTTAGTAGCAATACCGCAAGGCGCCTGCCAGTCCTATGACTCGTGCGGTGCCTCTCCAGAGCTGCCAGAACCTCTACGAGCCCTCTCCTTGCGGCGTAGGGTTTCCTAAGCCCTGAAAAGCCTTACCAGCTGTTTTGCCCAGAAGGCCTGGTCACACGGGTCTTTCTTGAAGTGCACGCGAGTGCTTGGTACGAGAGCTTATCGAGGACACGCTGTTAAGTGCCTAAAGGTGGCTACATGTCACATCATCTCCAAGCTCCAGCCAATTTTTTGCTGGAGCTTGAGCCATGCAGCAGCGTGCCAGCTGGTGTTAATTTTCCATCCTGGCAGTGCTACAGGCTACTCATCTGCAACCCTGAGACCACAACCCTCTCTCAACCGCACCCGAATGCCCGAGACTCATCCCGGAGTCCAGGGGGGACCCACATCTCCATGCTTCACCTTTTGATCCCTCATCGCTCACAGCGATTTCGCATAGCTCTGGGCACAGTCCGCGCCAAAATTTCTGGAAACGGGGCGGCTCTAAGTCTGTGGCCTCGAGGGGCGCACATCATCTGCGCATCTCATGCCAGCTTCCGCCTCGCAAGGGCGCAGCAGACAAGAGGGACTTGGACAGCAGCCACATTCAGGGTATTCAGATGGGTTGCTGCGAAAGATCAATCCGTGTAGTTGGGAGTAGAGGAATCTTCATCCGAAATGCGAGCTCTGAGCACCGAGCTGGATCACCATGTGGACTTCCTGGCTACAAAGTGTGCTGACTGACAAGAGCTCCTTCCAAGAAGGAATTGAGGGCTCGGGGTGTTCGATGTTCAGGCCCAGATACTTACGTAGAAGAACCTGCCAGAATCTGCCTCCGGAACTGAAGCACCGGTTGTGAAAGACGCTGCCGGAAGTACAAGCGCGGTTTTCAGCAGCTGCTTCACCGCCTCGACTTCACCTGGTGGTCACAAGGGACTGCAGTGCCGTTCTTGGATCATGTCAAGCTGCCCCCACCCCCTCTTGCCCAGACAACCCAGCATAGGGATTTACGAAAACGAGGATAATATCGATCCAGCAATAGTAGGATCCCCGAAATCAGGACTCCAAGCAAATAAGGTACCCCAGATGTCGGAGACCCCCAGAACACGCTGCTTAGGGTCCCTTCCCCAACTCCCTGCAAGCGACATCCCTTCAGAGTCCCCGGCACTCGCCATTGACAGAAATGATGTTGTCACGAGGCATCACCTCACAATACACAGGCTCTGCATCACCTCACAATACACAGGCTCTGACTCCTTACATAGAGTCAGACGACGTCTCTGGTTTGTAAGCCACTATGGGCTGCATACGCAGCAAGGCAGCTCAGAGACCCTGGCAGCTGGAAGAACTGACACATTTCGCTGCGCGATTGGCTGCTTGAACAGCGAGAACCACATCGTGGAACGATGTGCTCTCCAATCTACGCCGCTACGCGAATCATGAGGAGATCAACGATCTCACCCAAATCTAGAGCCCAAGTGGTGACAGCTGTTCACACGAGCCAACAGCAAGAAGACTAGTAAACAAGCCATCTGATTTCCTACAAGACTGCGTCACCACCTGACATGCAAGGTGTTGGTGGCGCTGTTCTTCTTCAGAAGTTGCTGCTCGATTACGCAGTCGAGAAAAACCCTTCCTCACGGAGGACGCTACCAGCACCCTGCGACCAAGATTTCTGCGGCATCAGGGCTTCAAAACAAACACGGAAAACTCTGTTAACCCTTCGCCCACTTCTGGAAACCCCTTTCCGGGTTCTTTTTGAAGCCCCCCTCCGCCATCGCTGTCCTGAGCGACTCGACACCAAGGCCACAGAGTCAAGAAATCTTTACCAAGGGTTGTAGGGTCTTTGGGGTGAGCAAAGGTCTTAGTAGGCACGGGGGAGTTTGGGAAGCAGTGGCTTGGCTTCGGGTTCAGATTTTTGGGAAGGCTTAAGTGCCATCTTCAGCAGTTGGAAGCTTGGGATGTTGCACGTACTGGACGCCAGTGTCTACTCTCGACCTAAGTCTTAAGTAGGACGCGCAGAATGCACTTCGCTCTCATGGCCCAAACAACCGCACCGTGGCGGATCGCAACTGCTCAGAAAGAAGGAGCTGTCTTTGGAGCTTTGGGGAGGAGTCCTCCTAGAAGCTGCTGAGTTCTGAATCTGTGGCATGTGGACAGCTCCTTCGACCCCATTGCAAAAATGAAGATTTGCACCGCGCTGTCAGCCGGGCAGCCATGTCTGGCAAAAGGGCCTTACAGCGACAGAGCAGTGAAAGCCGCGACCACGTACTTGCCACAAGCCATGGAGTGTCATGGAGTATCATGGAGTAGTTTCTGCTTTTGCTGTTATTCTTAAACAGTTGAATCTTGTTGCTTGCAACCATTGCTTTTTGTACTGTAATCATGATTCTAGCTATCCAGACAAGCCGACATTCAACGGTGTAAAGCCCAGCACCGAGCCTTCTCAGGCTTTCAGAGAGAATCGGGTCTCGCCTTGCACAACGTCTCTTAAGAGTGGCATCTCCTACATGTGCATCAGCCTCTCTCAACAGCCTCTCTCGCCTAAGCACTTTACTGTGTGGCTCCCGGTAAATCGGCTTGCGCGTGGACAGGTCTATCAGCTTCTCTTTGCAAGGCACCCTTCTCGAAGAAGCCCACAATCTGGTTCGCCGCCGCCACACCAGCATTGTCATTCGCCTGCCCAGCCATGCAGACTTCCCCATAAACCCTCAGCTTGAAATCTTCCCCCTTATACTGACAGTCCTTACTACGGATTAAAAGTAGGGGGGTACTATGATCCCTATGAAGGATTGTTAGCATAAGGGGGAACATCCCAACCCTCAGCCCCAAACCGCCTTTGAAACCTCGGATCCTGTGCTCAGCAGTAGGCTCCGGCCAGCGAAAGCATGTCGTGGGTGGGGGGCTGTTCTGCATTAGGGCCCCCTTGGGAAAGAGGAGAACTGTTCCACTATCTTGGAACCCCCCTTCCGAAAAGAATCCCCACCAGGGACCCCACAAAAAAAACAAACTCTACATTACAAGGCCCCCGAAAGCAGGGGGGGGGTTCTTTTGGGCACCCCATTTATGGGGCTCCGTATTTCTATGCAGGATTTTCATGGGGCTCCGTATGTCGATACGGAAATCCCAGAGAAGCGACCATCATGTAGAGAAACACCCCAGGGTGGTATTAAACCCTAAACCCTAAACCCTAAACCCTAAACCCTGAGCCTCTGCAGTCTGGGCTCCCATCTTCTTCTTCGTGAAGATCAATCGCTTGCCGTACCTGGGGGTTGAGGGCTCAGAGGGCTTGAAACTGCAGGTCTCGGCACTACGGCTGCGGCTCTACTCCACATCTCTCACGAAACCCTAAACATCCCTAAACCCTAAACCCTATACCCTAAACCCTAAAACCCTAACCCTAAACCCTAAACCCTCAAAGCTTTGACCCTGGCGCCCGAAGCCTTGAAAATTTGAAATCCTGGAAGCTGCCAGCCGAGATGCTTGTCTCCCACAGCTGCCTTGAAGGGCTCGATGTCCTCACTCAGCGGTTTAGGGTTTAGGGTTTAGGATTTAGGGTTTGGGGTTTGGGGTTTAGGGGTCTAGGGTTTAGGGTTTAGGGTTTAGGGGTTTAAGGCTCTTGGAAACTTCTCAAGTGTCGCCACCCATGCTCGGACTGGTAAGACACCTGACATGTCCATTCTCCAAAGCAAAGCTGTAAAACCTATCGATGCGGACTCTCAAAGGTCTTCCAGGACATTCCAAAACCCATCCCTCGCTCCAATGTCCAATGCAGCTCCTTGGGCGCAACGTCGCAGAGATAGCAAAAGTCAGGGCGCGTCTTGAGAATCTGGGCGCATGAGGATCATGGGTGCTTTGCAGCTTTTGCAGGTTGCGATTCACAAATTCAAGCACACAAGCACTGCTGAAGACTGATGGAGGGAGTGAGATGTCTATGGAGTCTACTACGCATGCGGATAAACCCACATGGCGCTTGCATCAAAAGAAAGGAGACGGGGTCAAGCCAAGCCCAGCCTCTAGCATGTCTGCTTCATGGACCACCTGCACAACCCGCTGGAATGACGGGGGCAGTGGCTGCAAACACGAAGCGAGGCAATGATACAAAGTTTCGAAACCCTCCTAGACCCGAACACCCCTCAACCCCCGAAGAGAACGGACAGCGCTACCGTTTCCTCACGGCGCCTCCAGTCGCGCAGTGTTGATCAGGGTGCCCCCCTTGGGCATCTTTCCCAGGAGATCCTAGCGGTCCAGCTGGGCATTTAGGGTTCCCCCGAGTTGCGGGAGTGTGTCCCCAACTCTAAACCCTAAACACCCTAACCCTAAACCCTAAACCCCTAACCCTAAACCCTAAACCCCTGAACCCCTAAGCCCTAAACCCTGAACAAGGCCTTGTTGATCGAAGCCTTGGTCTCGTCAGTCAGAGGCACGTGGAGAGAAACCTGGATGGTGTGGGGCAAGGGGCCACTTCCAAAGCCCCCAAGCGGCCAAAATGCCAAGAACGCAACGAACCAATGAAACCCAAACCTGAAACCCCAAACCCGACACTTTCCATCCATGCAGCCCGACACCTTAAGCCCAGAGCCCTTTAAACCTCAAGACCCTGAATCACACACCGGGTCCAGAGAAGAGAAGTGGCATACTGGTGCTCAAAGAGGCCGGCGACGGTTGAGACCGGTTCGGCGCCCATCTCCTCTTCAAGGAGATGGGGGAGGGGGGGAAATCTGAAGAGAGCGCGCTTTTGAACTCCAGCAGTTCGAAGATTCCAGTGTCCACACGTGCCGGTGTTGGAGTGTTTGGGATACATGCCTGGCATCCTTACTGATGGCCACGATGGGGCAGGGCAAGACATGATGCCACTAAACCCATGAGTGAAGAAACACACACTGGCAAAACACGCTGAAAGCCTTGATTTTGTCTGCAGGGATGTAAGGATCGTAGGCGAAGCTCTTCATGCCAAAGCCTGACCCAGACTATGGCATGGAGGGTTTTAGACACACTCGCCCAATGCTTGCGATGCTCTGGAAGAACCCTAACAGCGAAATGTTGGGTATGATGCTGGAAAGACAAGAAAGTCCCCTTGCAGGACGCATATCGCGACCGGTGTGCTTTAGACCCCTGTCATATTGCTGTGCCAGGTGGGAACCTTGTGCCAGCTTATGCACCGCCCGGGCCACGGCCCCGAAGCCATAGAAGGCAATCTCGCGGTTGACCTCATTTCCCACACAAATTCCGGGTGGAGCGAGCTTCTCTGACTACTGCAGAGCCAAAGAGCCAGCTCAAAACCGCTGGTGCCGTCGAAGTTGTTGCGGGCGCTCACAATCATCATGCCTCGGACAAGAACCCTAGGAGAGCGCAGCTGCGCGTTGTCCTTTAGCCACCTTCTAAGCCTTGGATGCGTGTCGACAAAAACACTCAGCAAGCCAACAATGCCTGCAGCTGATCAATGGTAGAGGAACCTGTACTCAACTCTCAAGTTGAACAGAGCCACTTCCTAACCTTGCCCGGTCTGCTTGATGCAACCTCACGAAATGGCCCTGATGGAGACCCGAGGCACCGAAAACGAGCTCTGCCACAGCATTGGCGTTCTGGCCCGGAGTGTTCATGGCCTTGCAACTCGATGCTCTACCGGTGGTCCATCAGTCCGTGGTCTAGTCTAGAGTGGAATTTCGGGATACAAGTTGCATGGGCTGATAAGATTTGTGAGAACCTGGGCTTCCATTGATCAAACGTTGGGAGGGGCTTTCTTCCTAGAACCTGCGTCCGTGCAAGCAGTGTCCCTCCCCGAACCTCCTTCCACCTTCTGCCCTAGAGCCAAAACACCGAACCCGCCAATGCTCATCTTCGGGTAGTTACATGGCCCCAAATTGGGGAACCCTTTTTTCCCCCCTACGACCCAAGAATTAACCCTCTTAGGCCCAAGGAGGCTCAAGCGACTACCCCTTACGGGGTAGAAGGAGGGACCCCCTAGAAACGGACCCCTAAAATAAGGACCCTTAAGGGATCCTTATCTAGACCGAAGTAGCCCCTAAGTAACCCCCTAACCTCGGGTCCACTTGACCCGGGGCTCCCGGCTGTGATCCCCTTGCCTTCGCAGGCCTGCGCGAGAGCAACGGGGATTCGGGGCTTCGGGCTTAGCGGGGGTTCTAGGGTTTCGGGATTTAGGGTTGGGAGTTTGGACGCTACGGAGATGGAGGACTTGTTTGAGGCCCTCGCGCCTCACAGCAACCGTCAACCCCAACATTGCTTGTCGGAACACCACTTTTCAACATGCCTAAACCCCCTATTCCACTTGCTTTGGGTTCCGGGCTTTGAGGGCTTCAGGGCTTGGGGTTGGGATTTAGGTTAATATCACATTTTCCCTTCTTGGCTTTCAGGGAGGATCATATTCAGAAGAGTATTTTTGAAAGGGCTTCAAGGGCCGTCCGAGACAGAAGAAACAGGGTTGCTTCAGGTCTCAACGCGCCTTGAGATCGATGTTGTCGTAGCCAGCACCTGCACACACACACACACACACACACACACACACACACACACACACACACACACACACACACACACACACACACACACACACACACACACACACACACACTGGGGTTTAGGGTTTAGGGTTTAGGGTTTAGGGTTTGGGGTTTGGGGTTTGGGGTTTGGGGTTTGGGGTTTGGGGTTTGGGGTTTAGGGTGCCTCCCCAACCGACATGTCAGCAATTCGTCCACATATATCAGCTCAACTGAGCCAGCTGTGACAAGTGGCTCAAGGGATCCTGGGAGCCTCAAAGCCGCACGTCCCAGCCCCAAGTCTTGCAAAGTCCTCAACCCACCGGAGCACGAGGAGGCCGAAGCCGCGGGCAACTGGAGTTCGGTGGGGTCTTGGTTTGGGCGACGCCCGATGCAAATGCTTCAAGGCCCCGAGGCTCACAGTTTGAGGGCTAGAGAAAGCCTCGGATGCAGCGGTAGCAGTGGTTAGGGCTGGGCCCGCTCTGGAGGGCAGCAGTGGTTAGGGCTGGGCCCGCTCGGGTTCTGGCCCCTGCAAGCGAGAAGGGCCTGCACGGACCACGATCTTCATCTTGCTGGCCTTGTCCAGCACTGCCTTCCGGGGCGTGGTGGCTCAAAGCGAAAACTAGGTCCTTGAAAGAGCACACTTGTGGTCACCTGCATTGGATCGCGGCAAGTAGCGCCCTCTCCACGTTCTTCCACACCTAAGGTTCTGACACAAGAAGGCACACTTCTGCGGCCTGATCCACGATGTCGCTACGGATGATCATGGCATCGGCGTCGCCCACGGCTGCGAGCAGATCGTCCTGGCACAGCTCTTGTGGATGGCTTCCTGAGGCTTCCTGAGGCCTCCTAGGCCTCCTAAGGCTCCTAGGCCTCCTAGGCCTCCTAGGGCTCCTGGGGCTCCTAGGCAGGCGGAGTCCTTGCTCTTGTAGTTTTCGAGCTTCTTCATCGTGTAGTTGGCGGCCTGGCAGCAGGTGCATCTCCGGATCGCAAACCGGGGGGGCGCAACAGGCTGCGGCCTTGAGGACTTCTTCGATCTTTGTGACAGCAGCCGCTGCGAAAGCCTGGGAAGGTGCAGGTCCTAGGCAGTTCTCGGCATAGTTCATAATGTGTATAATGTATATATATGTATATATTGCCCCTCATACCGGACGCCCTGAAGACCCGAAACTGTTGAGGCATGTGGGGTATTTGGGGGGGGGGGGGGGGACCGGCCCATGGCTCCGACAAACTTCGCTCCCGGCCTTCTCGGTGGCCAACAAAACCGTCCTTGCCTTGCCCGCCTGGCAAAGTGCTGCACTAAACAACTCACCCTAAACCCTAAACCCTAAATCCTAAACCCCAAATCCTAAACCCCAGGGGGGAACAGCTTGGTCCATCCAAGACCCTTACGAAATGCCGTGTGCGCAACAGATTCAGCGCTGTCAGGTGCAAAGCAATCTTGCTGGCGCCTCTCCAGCCATGGTTGCGGGATGCTGCAGGTGCTCTAGCGGTCACGTCCAAAATGTATGCTTCTAAGCCAAAATCTGCAGAGGGATGCTATTCTACACTGTGGGAGCTTCGCTTCTGACCGCAGTACCGTGCTGCAGTGAGATCTCGGACTTCCTTTGACCCTCAGGCCAGTGAGTACACGTGAAGAATGTAGTCCCCGGCAAGGCACTGCACCAGCACAACGGAAACTAGACCGCAGACGATAGCACTTGAAATTTATGCACTGCGAAGCGGAAGCTTCGCGACATTGGAAAAGCGCCTGCACTCCCACAAAACTATTTCATGCAACTTCGCCACGAAATCCCCTCCATAAAAACTTGCTTTACTCTTGGTTCAGGATGAAGAGGGTTCGAGGTTCGGGTTGCTTCCCTTGCTACAGGTGCCACGGGTAACACGGCGCGGCCTGCCGTAGGTAGCAAAGCGATTCTGGAGTGTATCGACTCCTGCAGCATGAGAAAGATGTTGGAGAACCATGCCAGGTGTGACATTTGAGGATGGGAGCATAGGTCAACATGTTTGCAAAGGTGCACATCATATGCTACATGGAATGATTTTGCCTGTGTTGCCTTCGCTTCTCTTGTGCCCTGCTATCCCGCCCCGTGTCGCTGGAATTGTCGTTGTGAAAGGGTGCGAGATGGCCAGACACCATGGCCCTCAGGTGCGTGATTCCATGCCCTGAACAAAAATGACAGTGTGGAAAGTCCGGGCTAGTCATACCCAAGATCGCCCCAGAATACCCAAGATGACCAAAGATTACCCTAGATTACCCAAGATTACAAGTATAACTCAGTATGACGCTCACAACACCTTCAAAGGAATGTACTTGCAACCTCACCTGCTTGAGTCACTTCGGGAATGGTCCCGAAGTGCTGCATGTATCTAGCTTAAGCTTGCAGTGAGTCTGGGCGCGGAAAGTCATACAATGAAGGAGATTGATACGATGACATGACTCCATGCTCTCCGGGAAGGTGACAACTCTGAGGCGCCACCAAGGCCACGGCATCTCTTCGTTGTGCCTTCCCACGAGGCCTTGATCCCTTGGAGCGGAAGTTGGGTGTCTTGTTTGCTGCCACTCTAAGTCGTTCAACCATGCGACTTCACCTGAACCTGATCATTTCGTGCAGCTTGACGCGTCGGCTTTTTCAGCTGCACGGATGGATTCTCCACTCTGCGCCAGGTGTTCCCACCACGAGGCATCTCCTGCCTGCGAAGGGTGGCATCTACAAAAGCTCAAGCGATTCTTGTCGCTGCTCTTTCTGGAAGCTCCGAGAGCCCCCCGGAACATCTAACTTTGTTTGTGCTGTTGAACGGCTCTTGGCCCAGGCGCACTTTAGTGCCCTGGAGCTCCCGACTCAATCAGGACGCAGCCCTCGTGCCAGGTAATGCCCAACTCCTCGCATCTCTCCTGCTTGGCTTTCGGGCTGTTTGAACCTGGTTTCGAGTCTGGCCGGCCTGGAACAACCACGTTACGCTAAGCTGGATTACGTTGGACTATGTTGGGTTCTAGCTCAGGTCCTTGAGCTCGGGCGCCTCGGCGCCCGGCTGCACGAAGACGTTCTTGACCTCAGGCGCATTCCCAATGCACCGCTTCACCAAGCACCTCCAACATGAAGACGAACACGCAGGAGAAGAAAAAAGAAACGAAACCCCTTAAAGCCCGAGTAAACCCGGTTAAACCCCATATTAAGCCACCATCCATTAAAACCCCCCCCCAAAGAAAATATTAAAGCCCATTAAGCCGCCAATAAGCCACCATTAAGCCCATTAAGCCCCCCATCAAGCCCAATCAAACCCCCATTAAGCCCCACGAAGCCCCATGAACCCTCCCCAGGGCTCTTGTTTCCTAACACACACGATGTGGTCAGTTCTCAAAATGATGGCCCCTTTCCCCAAACTGGATCATAATTTTGGCAGCCACCCCAATGTAGAGAGGTCTTGAGGCTCAGAATCTGCCGCTTAGCGACACCCAGCTTGTGCATGTCATCGATGACTGTGGCCTGAGCTCAGGAGCTGGTGGTCACCAGGGTTTCGAGCCCTACTTGGAGGTTCGGGTACTTATTCGCCCAATTATACTAACTGCACTTCTGACCCAATTATAACCATATTGGGGCGCTTAAGGGGGGCATAAGTGGGTTGTGCGTGAAGTTATAATTGATTAATGAGTACCATGAACCTCCAAGTAGGGCTCGAGGGCATCTAGGGTTTTAGGCACTAGGGTGTTTGGGGTCTTTTCGGGTTAGGGTGCCCAGGGCGCCCAGGCGTTTCAGGGTTTTGGAGGGCTTTTTGGTTTCAGGCGTTGCCGTCAGGCTTTGCTACAGTTTGGAGCCCGATCTGCGTATATGGTTATGGTTTGGGCGGTTTAACGTTTAGGTTTAGGGTTTAGGGTTTAGGTATGCACCCCCTTCTCAGAGATGTAGAAAGCAAAGGGTTCGGGGCTTAAGGGGAACAAGCCAGGCATGCCAGGCCAGCGAAGGTGCAAGCAACTGTGCTCCTGCGAGTAGTGCAGTACAGCATCCACGAATATTCCCTTACCTGCAGACAAGGGGCCCCTATCTTGGGGTTCGCGCACCTGCATTGCGACCGCAGGCTTGGAACGAATCGCACTCCCCCAGGGTTGAGGGTTGAGGTCCACGAGTCCCAGGAGGGCACATACTCTTTCGGAGAACCCCCCCCCATCTGACTCGGCGCGCCGAGCTGCCAAACACCCCTGCCCAGGGCCCGTCGGCAACCGAGATGCAAGTTCACGGCGTCCAGCGGCTCCTTGACATCTGCCAGAGCCTTCCTGCCGTTGCTTTGAGCCCCAACGTGAACCCTCTTGACAACTGCATCCACAGCCCGGAGCCCCACTAAATCTGTTCAGAGGCTCGGTATGCCAGGCTCTGCACCGCTGGAGGGGTCAACATGGCTGACCTCTTTCCCCAAAGCCTGCAAGGAGGGTAAGAGTTTAACCCGGGAACCCAACCCGGTTCGAAGGCGTTGAGAAGGAACAGGATCAAAGCGTTGTTGTTGGCAACCACACACACATGGCAAGGGAGGATAGGTTAAAAGTTCCCCCGAACTGTTGGCAGGTGCCCTTGAACACATACATACCTCTACCTTGAACTTTGCGTTGCCATTGATCATTGAGGGCTTGGGTGAACCGATTTCCAAGCTCCGTGCCAAGCAAACGACTCACCCACGAACCGATTCGGCACTTGCACAATTCAACATGAGGCATTCGCCCACTTTATCTCGTGACTGAAAAAGCTGCAGCACCCGGCAGAGAGAACGCCAAAAAAGCCCCAAAAGCTACGAGTGCCGAGCCTTGAGCCGCGCCAGGAGCTGAACCACAAACTGGCAGATCATGCGGCTGCGACTCTCAATTTCTTAGAGGGACTGTGGGCCGCTGCCCTAGTTCTAATTGCCAGGGGTTTCCGAAATTAGGGGTACCTGATTGGGGTCCTTATTACGACGGGATCCTGCTACTTGGGGATCTATATTGGGGGTCCCCTACTTTCGCAACCCCCTAGGTGTGAGACTCATAGCTTGAATAACCCGGCACCATGCATATGCCCCAGTAACTGCTCTAAGACCCCAATGAGGACCTGTCACAGCACACAAGCAAGATGCAGATCCCATGCCAATCCTTCATGGAGACTCTGTTGCCACAATCACTGGAGTTGGGATCTGGATCAGGGAACCCTAGCTATAGTCTCAAACTTCGTACCCTCTGTCACTCTGAGGCACTTGGTTGCTGCCACGGCCGACGACGGCCCAGCGGGGCAGCCTGCTTGTGAAAGCTGCGGCACACTGAGGTGCTGGAGGAGGATGATGAGAAATCTGACGGTCTTCACATGCAGGCGGTATTGGTCATGTTTGGTCTGAGAGTTTTTGCAATTCTTCAACGTGGGCTTTTCGACTTGAGTCTTCATCTTCAACGTGGGCTTTTCGACTTGAGTCTTCATCCTCAGGAAGTTCAGTCAGGGGTATCTGGGGCCTCTGGCCCTGATCACTTTCAATTTGCCTTTTTGCATCTAGCCTGCCTCGTTCATGTTTGCCCTCTTCCATGGATGCAAGGTCAAGGAGGTACAACACTCACCGCACGCACGTCCCCGAAAGACCCTAAACTCCTAAAACCCCCCAAAAGCCTGAACTCCTGAACTCCTGAACCCCTGAACCCCCCTAGTCTCCCGTACCCTTGGCACCAAGCGGCTCGAGCATCTTCTTGCCACCGCAACAAGCATCTGCGGGGGCTGCCATGGCGTCGATCTACCCTTGGGGTCACTGGCTATACCATGAAGAGAGTAGCTGTGCACAAGGAGTGCCGTGGACACTCGACTTTTTGTTGTTTAGCCATCTTGGTGGACATGCTCGTTCTGGGTGGTGTCCTATGTGTCCGCAAATGGAGACTTCCCCGTCTCAGCCACTGCTGAGTATGCAAAGCGCCTGTGGAGCAGACATTCCATCGCTTCCGTTTCAGCTGACTTTGAAAAGATGAGTGTCGAGCACGACCTCATGTACCTTGAGCTGGCCATCTCGTGTCACCTTAGCATCCAAGATTCATGTGCTGCAAGTGCCCAAGAGACTTGTTTACAAAGGCGCTGGAAAATCACCAACACTATCCAAGGAGCTCGTGCCGTCCACTTGCTCACCAACATGAGAGGATTAACTAGCGGAATATCAAGTCTTGCTGTCCAATGATAAATCTTGTTCAGGAATGCCTAGATTGCATAGCTGCGGAAGCCAGAAAGACAAAGCAAGGGAAGAGAGCGACTTCTGCTGCAGCACGTGCAGCTCTGTGCTTGGAGCCGGGCGTGTTTCAGGCCGATCTTGGTGTCGAGACTGCTTCTCAACAGAACGACCTCCCAGTCAGAGGTCCGACAACAGAGTGAGGTGAGAGTTTGAATACGCAAAGGGGAGCCGTAGGCCTGGAAAGTAAATTCATTCTGTCTGCGCGGCAACGCGGGCTCCTGAGGTGGCTCCTCGCAGCTCCGATCGACTCATTTCGTGGCTCGCGCTGTGGCAGAACAAGTCTCCTTCATGCCCTCAACAAATACCGCTCAAACATGACAGGAGCGAAAAGAGGCGATGCAACTCTGTGCAGGAGAGAGGATAACCCCTGATGGCAGCCCTGACGGCACCCCTGGCGTCCGGCTGCGCGTTCTTCCTGGAAAACACCTTGGCATGCGCAACCGACTGAAGCATCGCCAAGCGATGGAAGTCATGTCACATCTCCCAGAAACAGTAGACGGACTGCAGCAGCTCAGGGCTTCGTTGCAGCGACCTCAATGTCTAGCCGATTGCCATGCCCGAGCGAAACCAAGGACAAGGCTGCTTCCAGTCGAAACCACGAACCTGACACCTGAAAATACCCCGGCTCTGAGGCTGGTGACCTCCGCGATCTCCAAGACAGAAGGCTTGCCACCGCTGTTCGCCATCAGGTCCAGTACTAGTACCAGTGATCCGACGGATGACAGCATGTCATTGGCAGGCAGAGTATCTGCTTGACACGCGTGCAATGCCTGTGAGTTGCATGGCCAACACCTATTGCTAGCAGAGCCCAGCGTGTGGTGCTTGTGCTTTGCCATGTTGTGTTGCATCGGGCCATGCTGCCAACGTGGCAAAAGCCATCAAAAGCCCTGAGAAGGTGGCAAGCAGCCTGCCAGGATCCCGGGAAGCTACCGATCAGATGTCCGATGGAAGCTATCAAAACAGGTGACACGACTTTCTCGGCTGGACATTTGGGCTTACAATGCTGTGGGTTGTGGGCACCCCACACGCCAAAAGATATTCACTTCGATCATCCTCACCCCGAAGCTAACCAATGTCGGAGCCATCCTGCCCTTGTCGGACAAGGAATCAAGGATACTTCGGACAAGGACTTACGGATACTTCGCCCAGGAGGACTCTGTCATGGTTGTTCTTGAGGCATACTCTGCTGGATCGGGGCCAGCCAGGCAAGCCCAGAGGGATTCTCCACTGGCTTTTCACTCCAGACTAACATGGCCTAAACTGAACGTGACTGTGCAGACGCGACCAGGCAGAAGAAGCACAGTTCCACTTCTTTTCCTTCGGTGACGCTGGGGAATATCCTTTGAGTCTCAGAGGGATCTACCCTACAGTGCCCTACAGTATCTACATGTAGCTCCCGGCCCAGGGGGTTGCAGCCGCCAGTGCGGGCCCTAGGGCAGGGACTACCTTCACCCCCTGCACCAGCCCGACGCATTTTGCAGGGACGTGGTGGGTGGGAAAAGCAAAATGCTCAAAGGGCACTACTTCCTCTACTGATTCTACTTGCAAGCTGTGATGTCACAATCTTGCAGCGAACGTCACATCAACACGTGCAACCACGCATGCACTAACCCAACACAAGCAGGTACTCACAGACGCGTGGAACTTGCGAGTTGTTTAGGCTCGTCCAAGTGTGGACTCACTGTTAGCCCAAGTGAAAGAGTTATCATGTCGCTGGCTCCATGACGACACTCTTTTGGGGGGCTCAGCTCAGGCATACTCGGCGGGCTTCTCTGCGAGTGGGAACTTTAGGGATACTGGATGGGACTCTCTGGATTCTCTGCCGGTCGGCACTCCAGGGCAAGGAGACCGGGCGGGACACCGGGCGGAGCACGGTTGACTTAGACTTAGACCCTAACAACCCACGCCGAGAATGAAGAACAACCCGAAATTCTGCAAAAGAACACACATGAGTTGACGTCCCGCATTCCTACTGCGCTTGTGCTTCCTTTTGCATCCAGCTCGCCGCGAATACTGCTCGAAGCGCCAAGCACTCACCAGTTCCGCCCGCCACCCTTGTATCCGCCGCCCTTGTAGCCATCGCCCTTGTAGCCATCGCCCTGGCAGGAGGGGCATTCATTCTCTTCAATCCCAGCCGGCCAAAGTCTGAAGCGTGGATGCTCCGCAGCAAGAAACGCCTAGACCAAAGACAAAACACGTATGCATCTATTTGCATGCATGCATGGGCCTACTCACGCATACACATACATACACACGCCTGCACATACGTACATACATTCACATACATGCGCGCACTCACAGAGAGACACACATACTCTGCATACATTACATACATATTACATGCATTACGGGCATATTACATACATTACACACATTACACACATTACACACATTACACACATTACACACATTACACACATACACACATTACATACATTACATACATTACATACATTACATACATTACATACATTACATACATTACATACATTACATACATTACATACATTACATACATTACATACACTACATACATTACGTACATTACATACATTACATACATTACATACATTCCATACATTACATACAATACGTACATTACATACCGTACATACTTTACATACTTTACATTCATTACATGCATTACATACATTACATACAATACATACATTACATACATTACATACATTACATACATTACATACATTACATACATTACATACATTACATACATTACATACATTACATACATTACATACATTACATACATTACATACATTACATACATTACATACATTACATACATTACATACATTACATGAATTACGTACATTTCATGAATTACGTACATTACATACATTACATACATTACATACATTACATACATTACATACATTACATACATTACATACACTACATACATTACATACATTACATACACTACATACACTACGTACAATACATACATGACATACATTACATACACAACATCCGTTACGTTCATTGCATACGTTACATACAGTACATACCTTCTTAAATTTTTGCACCGCAAGCGCAAGGGCTGAGCGCGATCCAGGCGAATACGCCTGAAGCTGTACAGAGCATGGTGGAGAATTTCTTGTAAACGACCTTGCAACGCCAGTGAATGTAAGACTGATTAGCTGGGGAGGAGTTTATCGTGACTAAAAACTATTGTATCTTTCGTACTCTTTGCGGAGCAACCCTTCTTTTGATCTTTAAGACCATTCTTTCGGTGTCGAAGATCTCTCGGTGATCTTTCGGTGATGAGGCTTTCGGTGACGAAGTATACATAAGTTGTTAACTAAAGCGTGTTTGTCTGGTTTGTTGCGCATCCATGTATATAGTTGAGATGTTCAACACATACATGAACCTCTAACCTTTACGCAATCTCAAATTGAGACCAGCGCGCGGTACTTCGCACCTACCCCACCTGGCTATTGGCACCGCGACTGTGCGAGACGACGTACAATGACGCACTTAGCTGTCCCATGTCGGGTGTAGAAAAACTTGGCTAGATCGGGCAAAAACACACTGCCAAGGATGCCTTAGCTTCAAAAAAAAAACTGGGATGGACCTCCCAGTGCTGATGCGGCAGTCGCTGCTGCCCGCCAAAAGGCGACATCGGCCGCGTCTGGCCGTGGTTTCGTGGTTTGGGACTTAGGCTGCAAATTGGGGTCATCAAGCGTCTCCTCAGGACTTCGTGAGCGCATTTTCTCAAGTCCAGGGTCTGCAGACACCACATCTTTCCAGCTTTCTTGCGTCGCAGGTCCTGCCCCTTGAACTCTTGGCTGTAGGATTGAATAACAAGACTCTGAAGTTAAGAAACCTGCGTAGCTCATCAAGAACTCGGACACCGCACAGGCCTTTGTGCTGACACCTCAAAGGATCACTGCCCAAGCCAAAACCAACAGTTTCCCCGCGCCACCACCAAAGTCCTGGACTGTCCTGGCCTGATATGGGGCCTGTTGCTGCAGCCATTGTGGTCTGATCTGCTGGGCCTGAGCCTCACTGGAAGTGGGCTGGCCAGGTGGCTCTGCAGAAGCGAGGGCGGACAAACACAATCTGCTGAGGCTCGAACGAAAAACTTTGGCTGCGCGGTGTTGCCGTGGCCTGCCATGGTCGGGCCAAAGTCCCCCGAACACCATGAAGGAGGGCGCCATGCAACTTGTGCAACCTACCTGTCGGGCCCTTGTCTGGGCCGACGCTCACGAACATCCAAGACCCAACATGAAAACAAGACTCTTGGAACGTCTACTCTGAAGATGTCCTCCATCTTAGTCTGCATTCATCACCAAACGTCTGGAGCGAATGACGGTATCTAAGAGTCAGTGGAAGCTTGAGGTTTAGGGTAATATTAATGGCAAGAATACGAATGATATTCATAACATGAATGCGATTAAGAAGAGGTTTAATTGAAAACTGGGATCAGGACTTCTGCTTCTCGCAGCTGCGGCTCTAACACCTCCCACCCCTGTGGGTCCAACTCG